TCCGTATTTCGTATCTTACCGAAGATAACCATATTTGATGCTCCCAGATCCGGTCGCAAACCTGATACTATGATCCCGGCAAACATCAAACTGATATGATTTCTAAGGATGGTACATTCATTATAACTGGACTTTGTATGATGTCTGGACTTAGGTATACTTCAGTACAGAAAATTCTGACCCAAAAGCTGATTTTAAAGTGGTACATATTCAATACAAATACGACGTAAAATCCTGAAGTTACTAGTATTACATTAATAACTGCTCCAGCTACCTTCCCTTAAGCGCAGGAAGATATCCCTGGACTGTGGCGCCCACTCATGATATATGAACAAATTATCATATTCCATTGTTCCCATATCATATGAGTCTAATGATTTGGTTCCAATATCAAAGCATTGCGTCAATTAATATCAAAGCATTACGTCAATTATGAAGCCAAAACCAACACTTCCCGTCCGCCATCTTTGATGCGAAGGTGACGGACGTTACCTTTGCTTGATACTGACCAGTGATATGGTAAAAAATGTCAATGCAACCAAAGCAAATTAAAAAGTTTATGGCACTTCTCTCATAAATTAATGATTTCTAAATGTATATTTGTAAGTAACTTTTTAAATTATTTAAGCGAAGGTAGAGATGCCCCTTTTGGGCGATTACGCAGTGAAATGATGGAATTTTGTTTAAATAAACAGTATATGATTAACTTTAAGAGCTAAGAGCAGGAAACATTTATGATATTTACAGTAAGGTTAGAGGATGTCTCATTATGGATAATGCGCATTCATTATTTACACAATACTCTTAAGATTTTAGGTAAATGCGAAAAATGTCGTTTAATCAATAACCACTCGTCCATCACCGTCCTAGAAATACAATAACCAGAATACAATAACCAAGCATTGTATTCCATTCGATTTCTCATTGTATTCAAATAACGCATATGTTTTGTGCTTTTGTTCATACTTGAGCGTGGATTGTACGTTTCTTCTTTTTTTAAATTTTTCGTATACAATATCATCTTTTAAGCTTCGAGATTATTTCATTTGAGGGTTCGTACCATAACATTACTTTAGTTGGCTGAGTATGTTTTTGCAGAACGACTATTCGGTCAAGATCTATTCCTTCTTTGGCATCGTATAATCAGTTTACTTCTTCACTCAAGTGTCATTCTACCTTTCTTTACTGCGAAATAATCGTTTCTCAGCATATAAGGTATTTGGGGATTACTTACAAACGTGTAACGACCCTTGATAGCAAGTTGCTACTACAGTCCAGCTGTAGTCCAGCTGTAGTGGCTTAAGCCTTTTTTAGCTCGGTCTGTTGAGGTCCTAGGTTCGATTCCCATGCGGGGCATTGAATTTAGCCCACTTTCTTTCAATTTCTTTATCTGGCTTGTTACACTATGCTCGTTAGTTAATTAGTTATTCCCCTGGGACGCCCTCGGGTCATTACAAAAGCATTATATTCTCTGTTACATTTCAAATAGTTTATACTTTTGTAGTATGTAAATGACCGTACAAGATGCTATGGGATATCTCGTCACGTCCAGTTTTAATCCAATTGTTCCTTGCATTATATACTTCAATATTTCACAAAGTCAGGCTAAGAAATATGTCTCTCTATATTGTCGTACGAATTAAAATTGCAATTACATTATATGGATGTTTATTTTTCTGTCTATTTGTTTATTTTTTGTCATGAACAGGATATAAAATGTCATATCAGTTTCATGAAAGATCAGATTATGTTGACTTGAACGAAGTGATCACCGTCAATTGTTAATTGACTTCCATTTATAATGAGGTTTCACTATCAGTTATTTCATTCTCATATTGACTCAATGGTCTCGCCCATTATTATATCAACCAGCCGAACAAGATATAAACTCCTGAACCAAAACTCAGTGATAATCTAACAATTAATGTAATTTAAAAGCTGAGACGATTATAGATGGCTTATGATACATGGTTCTTTTTCAGTGAAGAGGGGGAATAACCCCAGAGTTCAAAGAGCAAGAGGACACAAGATGAAGAAAGGTGTAAGGAATATGCTTACATCGATTAAAACATCACAACGACGTATTATTCGAAAACTAGATAGCAGGTGAGAATTTGCGCAGACGAATGTAGTACGCACCTCATTACCCTCCTCTTGGTTCAGTGGAGCAAATCGTGACGTCATAAATTACAAATAAAAAATCACTATTTTTCTGATGCTTGATGTCATAAGTCATGCTTTGATTCTGTGTTCGCAGTTTCATAGAGGTTTTTGTTAGTTGTTGGTGTGTCCAAAATCATAATAGTAAAAAATCTCGATTTTAAAATGATTGACTGGTCAATAGAAATTGTTGAAAAAGATAAACTGATCAGAAATCTTATAAAAAGAGTGACAATTTTTCTTTGTAATTTGTGACCTCACGATTGCTCAGTTGAACCTTACTATTGACAACCACCCTAGCCATATTTCTAGGTTGGTTAGTTAAATGTACCATTGTACTCTTGTGCATTTTGGGCCATGGATAGGCCTATTGCAAAATAAAGTTTTAGGGCAAAATAGCTTTACTTGAACAGCATGTACATCAAGAATTACGATTGAAAATAAATAATAAGCATATAAGAACCAAATGTTCCAAAGGCCCCAAAAACCTTCAAATGCTCAATGCTGTTTTTTGTCCAGCTCATACAGTAGTATATACACCATAAACTATTCATCAAGCAGTGAATAGATGTTTCAACATCGTCTCTTTTTAAAAAATCTTTAAAATTCGTTAGTTTCCGTGAAGAACTTTTTGTGTGTGTCTCGTTAAAAACATGAGTTCTGACCAAAAACCAGGCTAAACACTAAAGAAAGGAGGAGGGAAGTTAGCGCAACAGATTTTTGACAGTCATATGTTTGATTTCGGCCATTTCTTGGGGATTTAAACAGGTGCATATGTTAGGCGAATGTTTTACCTCCAGGAAAATCACTTCTAAAGATGATAAAATAATTTCGACTTTGAGACAGGGTAGATGCAAACAACCCACCCACATGTTTTTTCTGAAATGTTTTCCTGATTTTCAACCCCTTCCATCCTTGCTTTTTTAATTTTTCTTGCATCAATATGTTCCGTTTTGACACACAGTTAATCCCTTAAAAGGAATAAATAATTCCATTTAGATAAAGTGGAAAACAAATATTTCCCATGTTATTTTCCCATAGGAAAAATCATTGCTTTCAGCTAAGTTTGGTCACCCATGATGGGTATCTTTAAAACCCCTGAAGGAATCACTTATTCCTTTTAAGCGGTTAACTATGTGTCAAAATGCAACATATTGATGCAAGAAAAATTAAAAAAGCAGGGATGGAAGGGGTCGAAAATTAGGAAAACATTTCAGAAAAATCATGTGTTTGGGTTGTTTGCATCTACCCTGTCTCAAAGTCGAAATTATTTTATCATCTCTAGAAGTGATTTTCCTGGAGGTAATTTACTGGCCTAACATATGCAATTGTTTAAATCCTCAGAAAAATGGCCAAAATCCAACATATGACTGTCCAAAATCTGTTGCGCTAATTTCCCTCCTCCTTTTGATTTCTATTCGTTTAAATGGAGTAGCTCATTTTGTCTTATTTTCCACTCAAATGACAAATGTAATCGTAGTTGTTATTTGGTAGATAAATGTGTGGTATTTCATTTCTCATATCGTGGTGTTCAGTAAATAAGCTGAATGGGTCTGGTATTTCGTTAGTTTAGGTCCAAACATCATGAAAGCTGGGAATATACCTTTGACATTTCTACATTGCTATATGTAAAGATATCAGGTCTACTTTTCGATTGGTTGATAATATGGTTACCATAGCAACTGAAAGTATGGGTACCTGGAGTATTTTCAAAAAAGAAAAAAACTAAGTTCATTGTTTAATCCTACAGGGTATTTATAACACTTAATATTCCATTCACATTTGTTTGATAATACACTGTAAATCATACATTAAGTATACAGTTATAACTCCTTTTCAATGTCCTTTAAGCTGAATGTATTTCTGGGGTCTCTTTGCCTATTCTCTGAATACACTCTCGAACCCACTATTTCTCATCTGGAAGAGTTAAGCAAGGATGGTTTGTGTGAAGTCCATCACCTGAAGAAAGAGCATTCCCTTCAAGCCACTTTTTAGTTCACCATGAAGATAAAAGTCAAGGTCAAGCAAGGTCCGGTGATTATGGAGCATGTTCTATCATAATCATTGGAGGTTGTAACTGCTCTATTGTAGTCCGTGTAAGACTAGTTTTGTGTGACGGGGCCTTATCCCAGTGGCATTTTAATTTCTGCCTATGGTGTTTCTTCTTCAAAGCATCTTTCAATGCATAGAAGATGGTGATTTCATTTTCATCTATGACATCATTAGTTATAATTAAACATATGTTACCATAAAAACAAACTGACAGCATATCAGAACTTTTGAAAAATATTAGTTTACTGTTTTGATGATGTTCTCGCACCTGAAGTAATAGCCAAATTATTATGTAATTTTCATGGATTCGATTTAGAGCTAGAGTGCTCCAGGTACCCGCACTTCCGGTTGCTATGGTGACCATATTATCAACCAATCAAATTGCAGAATAAATATCTTTAAATAAATCAATTTAGAAATGTCCAAGGTATATGCTCACTAAATGCCATGATGTTTGGACCAATACTAACAAAATACCAGACCCATTCACCTTATTTACTGAACACCCTGTACATGAGTTCTTCGTAATTGTATCACGTTATTATTGAAATGTTTATTTTTAATCCTTACTGACATAGGGTGTGATCATAAAATTGGTCTGCTATGGGGTATCAAGCTAATAGTTCAAGCTAATCGGCAAATGAAACACCCATTGCATGGATAATGCATGGAATATGCTAATTATGTTAATTTCATCATCTTCACTTTGTTCATTATAACGAAACTTCTAAGTTAATAAATAAAAAATATTTGAAGTTATATTCAGTTCAACTTGTATTTTATTAATACATCTTGTTTTTGTTGTTTGCTTGCTCATGTTTTAGCTATGTAGTCTTCTTTCTTTCTTTTTTTTTGTTCTTCCCTCACCTCAGTCTCATTCTTATTATAACACCCATCTACTTAGTAAATATACTTTATAACGTTGCTCTTGTTCTTTTCTTAAAGTATCCACTTTATAACAATTATGCAGTTATTTTATGATAGCTGAAATTTCACTAATAGCATCTGGATCCTTAAACAGGATAAAGTTAGCCAACCTTGAAGGCAAAATCCCGTCTTTAATAAGACTTTTCATTGTATATGTGTATTGTCGGTTGTTTGACACACAAGTTTGATAAAGAGACTGTCTAGCCTGATAAGATAAATTAAGCTTCCATTTAGCTTTCATTGCATTGATAGATTAAATGGATTCATGTTGCTGATCATTAATTGCATATCTGTTAAGTGACTTGAGTTTTTGGTAATCTTCATCTTTGGCCCCAAGTATGGTTAAGATAGAATATATTTCACTACGTTCAGGGTTTGACGCATCTAGGTAAGCTAATGCTGAATTGCCTGAATCATCAATAGCATTGACATCTGCACAGGCATCTGTAAATATTCTGACCCACTCGATGGATCTTCTCTGAATACTTATCATGAGTTCAGTTTTGTTTTTGTTATTCCTGGAATTGGCCCTTGCATTTACATCTGCACCATGCTCTATTAAACATTGTATACTTTCCAGAGAGTGACAGGAGTCGCAAGCATACATCAATGCAGTCCTGCCATTGTTGTCCCTAGCATTTACATCTGCACCATGCTCTGCTAAACACTGTATATGTGTACATTCCAGAGAGTGACAGTCAAAAGCATGCATCAATACAGTCCTACCATAATTGTCCCTTGCATTGACATCTGCACCATGCTCTGTTAAACACTGTATATATTCCAGAGCGTGACAGTCAAAAGCATGCATCAATACAGTCCTACCATTATTGTCCCTTGCATTGATATCTGCACCATGCTCTGCAAACCACTGTATACGTGTACATTCTAGAGAATAAGAGTCAAAAGCATGCATCAATACAGTCCTACCATTATTGTCCCTTGCATTGACATCTGCACCATGCTCTGCTAAACACTGTATATATTCAAGAGACCTAGACTTACAAGCATACATTAATGCAGTCCTACCAGCATTATCCCTAGCATTGGCATCTGCACCATGGTCCGTTAACCACTCTGTACATTCTCGAGAGCTGGAGATCGCATACATCAATGGAGTCTTACCAGCTCTGTTCCTTGCATCAACATCTGCACCATACTCTGTTAAACACTGTGTACATTCCAGAGAGCCAGATTCACACGCCAACATCAATGCAGTTCTATCATTATTGTCCCTAGCATTGACATCTGCACCATGCTCTGTTAACCACTGTACACATTCCAGAGAGCCAGAGTCACAAGCCGACATCAATGCAGTCCTACCATCATTGTCACTAGCATTGACATCTGCACCATGCTCTGTTAACCACTGTACACATTCCAGAGAGACAGAGTCCCAAGCCGACATCAATGCAGTCCTACCATCATTGTCACTAGCATTGACATCTGCACCATGCTCTGTTAACCACTGTGTACATTCCAGAGAGCCAGATTTACAAGCCAACATCAATGCAGTTATATCATTATTGTTCCTAGCATTGACATCTGCACCAAGCTCCGTTAACCACCGTGTACATTCCGGAGAGCTAGAGATACAACAATACATCAATGGAGTCCATTCAGCTCTGTTCATAGCATTAACATCTGCATTATACTCTGTTAACCACTGTGTACATTTCAGAGAGCCAGTCTTACAAGCAAACATCAATGCAGTACTACCATACTTGTTCCTAGCATTGACATCTGCACCATGCTCTGTTAACCACTTTGTACATTCCAGCGACCCAGACTTACAAGCCAACATCAATAAAAATCTCATCATCATTTCTCCTAGCATTGACATCTGCACCATGCTCTATTAACCACTGTGTACATTCCAGAGAGCCAGATCTATAAGCCAACATCGATGCAGTCCCACCATCATTGTCACTAGCATTGACATCTGCACCATGCTCTGTCAACCACTTTGTACATTCCAGCGACCCAGACTTACAAGCCAACATCAATGCAGTCTTATCATCATTGCCCCTAGCATTGACATCTGCACCATGCTCTGTTAACCACTGTGTACATTCCAGAGAGCCAGAGTCACAAGCCAACATCAATGCAGTCCTACCATCATTGTCACTAGCATTGACATCTGCACCATGCTCTGTCAACCACTTTGTACATTCCAGCGACCCAGACTTACAAGCCAACATCAATGCAGTCTCATCATCATTGTCCCTAGCATTGACATGTGCACCATGCTCTGTTAACCAGTGTGTACATTCCAGAGAGCCAGACTTACAAGCAAACATCAATGCAGTCCTACCATACTTGTCCCTAGCATTGACATCTGCACCATGCTCTGTCAACCACTGTGTACATTCCAAAGAGCCAGAATCACAAGCCCACATCAATGCAGTTGTACCAAATATGTCTCCAGCATTGACATCAGCACCATGCTCTGTTAACCACTGAGTACATTCCAAAGGGCCAGAATCACAAGCCCACATCAATGCAGTCACACCATCATTGCTCCTAGCATTGAAATCAGCACCATGCTCTGCCAACCACTTTGTACATTCCAGAGAGCCAGACTTACAAGTCCACATCAATGCAGTCCTATCATTATAGTCCCTAGCATTGACATGTGCACCATGCTCTGTTAACCACTGTGTACATTCCAGAGAGCCAGACTTACAAGCCCACATCAATGCAGTCTTATCATTATAGTTCCTAGCATTGACATGTTCACCATGCTCTGTTAACCACTGTGTACATTCCAAAGAGCCAGAATCACAAGCCCACATCAATGCAATTCCACCATACGTCTTCCTAGCATTGACATCTGCACCATGCTCTGCTAACCACTGAGTACATTCCAGAGAACCAGACTTACAAGCCAACATCAATGCGGTCATACCATTGTTGCCCCCAGCATTGACATCTGCACCATGCTCTTTTAACCACTGTGTACATTCCAGAGAGCCAGAGTGACAAGCATACACCAGTGCAGTATCATCCTCATTGTTCCTAGCATTGACATCAGCACCATACTCTGTTAACCATTGTGTACAATCCAGAGAGCCAGTCTTACAAGCCCACATCAATGCAGTTTCGTTATCATCATCCGTAGCATTGACATCTGCACCCTTGTCTGTTAACCACTGTGTACATTCCAGAGAGCCAGACTCACAAGCCAACATCAATGCAGTCACACCAGTATTGTCCCCAGCATTAACATCTGCACCATGCTCTGTTAACCACTGTGTACATTCCAGAGAGCCAGAGTGACAAGCCAACATCAATGCAGTCCAACCATCATTGTCCCTAGCATTGACATCTGCACCATGCTCTGTTAACCACTGTGTACATTCCAGAAAGCCAGACTTACAAGCCAACATCAATGCAGTGTCATCCTCATTGTTCCTAGCATTGACATCAGCACCATGCTCAGTTAATCACTGAGTACATTCCAAAGAGCCAGTCTTACAAGCCCACATCAATGCAGTTTCACCATCCCTGTTCCTAGCATTGACATCTGCACCATGCTCTGTTAACCACTGAGTACATTCCAAAGAGCCAGTATTACAAGCCCACATCAATGCAGTCTCATCATCCGTGTTCCTAGCATTGACATCTGTACCGTGATCAGTTAACCACTCTGTACATTCCAGAGAGCTAGAGTTACAAGCATGCATCAAAGCAGGCCAACCAATATTGTCCACAATATTGACATCTGCACCTCTCCTTTCCAATAAATCCATTGTTTCTTTACTAAGTTTCATATTTCCCTGCAATACCCACAGAAATAGGTCTTTAGGGCATTTGGATATTCTATGGAGAATCGACTGCAGCTGGTATTCATCTTTCCTATCAAGTGCATTTTTAATCTCCTGATCCAACAGATCGGTATAAGCAGCCATTTCTGCGATATGTTTGTTATTTCAAATGTTCACACATTCCTATAATATGTTAACACGATCGTGTTGTCCAGTCAAAGTAATCAGCGGCATGATAATACACGCTCCGACTCATTGAAAAACTCATGTCTATATTTACATAATGTTTGAATTCATATGCATTATGTATGTACGCTTTTGACAACCGTGTTTGTATTGAACATTAATTAAACTTTATCGATTGAAAAGGTTATACGAAACTCAAAACCTCTTTGTCATCGTCATGTCGACATTTTGACAAAAGGTGTTTTGAGTCAGTTAAAATTTTTCAGGAGTTAAACAAATATACTTTTAGCCATGCAACCTGTGTGTTCTGTATTCAAACCTAAATAGGCATAACATCTGCATTAAGCTGATGCAAATGTTAATTTCTATATTCTATTTTATCAAAGGCAGAAATACTGACAATGGATACAGGTAAGCATGGTCTTGGTACACTAAACGAACCCATATATTCTATGTTATCCCATGATGCTACTACTTCCCGGTGAATAACACCCGGGAATATTTTTGATATTGAAAAAATCGTATTGTCCCACCCAATCCCGCTCATGAAAATCGTAATCACCTACCAATCCCTTGCATGAAAATGGTATTCACCTCCCAGGATTGTTTTCCCAAACAAAGCTTCCTATTACCCTTTTTGAGTCGATAAATGCGGGAAACGATATTTTCCAAACAAAATTGAAAATAGAGATTTTGAAACGTATGAAGTATGAAGATTTTAAGCCTGTTAAACATACATGTAGGCGAATTTCTTCATCATGCTCTAACACGGACAGGCATCGTCATAGAAATCTGAGCAATATACGAATGCCCTGTAATGGACATGTACACGCATTGTTCAATTTCTATTTATGTTGATGTGTTTATGTTATACAATAAAATTGTTATTTTTCAAAATGCCATAAAGTAAGTCCTATTATTCCATAGTTAGCATGATATTCATAGGATAACATGTGAAAATAAAAACGGTATTTTTGTAATCAGTGGTAAAATATGATATTTTTGACAAATTTTCACTTAACCATAGCATACGGTTTATAGCCATGACATACGACGTCGTATGCGATGGTTTATGGATTTTTGCTTCTTCAGACTCAAAACGAGGCTAAGTGTCAACATCGCCGGATCGTTTGGAAAATTCGAATTAAATGACTTAATTTCCGACGATTCTGATGATGACTTTAACTATGGAATAAAAAGAACATCCTATGATTTACTCGTGATATGATTTTAATCCACTCATGGTTATTGATATCTGCACTCTCTCGCTTCGCTCGCTCGTGCAGATATCATATCCATTCTAGGATAAAAATCATATCACTCATAAATCATAGGATATCCTCTATTTTTGTAGACTAAATGGGATTAGTCGTGACAATATGATATTCCCCGAGGGTCCGGATAGGGCCCTCGGGAAATATCATATTGTATCTCGGAATAAAACCCATATTGAATCCCTCCTAGTAAATAACCTCTATTTATTCCTTGGTTACTTAAATCAGTAGTTGACTTAATATATTGCTTTTCAAAACTAACAGTTAACTTGTCTGCAACCTTATTTTATAACACTGAATCTCAAGGTATGGTTGTTATTTGGACCCTCTCGGCGATTATTTACGAGGGGTGATCCAAAAGTCTTGGACGCCCTGCTCTAATTTTGTTGGTTTTTGAGAAAATTACTTTAAACTTTCCAATAATAAAGACCAACAACATAACTACTTTGTGTATTAATTCCATGATGAAATGATATATTTTATGTAGTTTTCTAGATAGTTATTAATGGAGGGACCCTGCCACCCGGAACGGTATTCGCACATGGCAACCTTCAACCTTAGATGTTGCCGCTATTTGACTTGTTTTGCAAATCATGACCACTATCTTTCCTTAAATTTTGAATGTTAAACCATGTTAGTTTACTTCCTATGTTACTAGGCAACCAATTAATTGTGTTTTAATTATAATGTCACATATGACAATGGCCATATATGTAAAGTTCTAAGAAAATGACAATAGACAATCGACCCTCATTCTGGTATCATTTTTGCTTCAAGATGGCTGCTGAAATGCAGAACATGAAAGAAATCAAAGTGGAACAATGAATACTACAATATATTTTCACTATTATTGACCTTGAGCAGCTACCATATGCACGATACGGTCTAGATATGGCTCCGTGTGATTTTCTTCATTTTCTCTAAGTTGAAAGGAGGGTTGAAAGAAAATGTTTCTTACTCATTGGATGAGGTTTAGAGTGGCACTCCAGCAGCATTTGTATCACATAAGCAATGGCGGTTTCTTAAATGTCTTTCATTCATTGGTAAAGCAGTATGAAAAATGTGTTCAAATTAGTGGAAAATATATTGAAAAGTAGGTCTTAATATGTGAAAATGATGATGGCAGATGACACTCAGACTGAATATCTGAAAATCTCTCATATCATGACTGGTGTTAGGTTGTGCACCTGCACCTAAAGTATTTGCCATATTAAAACAGTTGTGACGTGATTTGCTATATTTAAATACCGTTCCGGGTGGCAGGGACCCGGTATTAAAAAATATTCAGAAAAGTAGCTAAAATATATTATTTTCTGTTGAAACGTATACACAAAGTTGTTAAGATGTTGATCTTTATAATCTGAAAGTTTCATGTAATTATATTAGAAAATAGCAAAGTTAGAGCGGGGCGTCCAAGACTTTTGGATCACCCCTCGTATTACTTGTCTGATTTCAATAATGCTGGTATTATGGTAAAACTCTTTTTAAAAGTTGCAAACATGAAGTTCCATTCAATAGAATCAAAAGCTTTCGTAAAATCTAAATACAGAATTGATCCTTGCCATTTGTCATTATTATTTCAATACTCAAAAATATATATTACTAATCGGCAACTGTTACCAATGTATCTACCATGCAGTTTGATATAAACTATTAAGTTTCCGGGCTACTATACTACTACTAACTGTTGCCTGTCTGCAATTGCAAGTGCCAGTATTTTATAGTCAGTTAGTGATAGACTTATTGGCCTATATTTTTTTTTAATTCTTTGCCTCCTTAATAACAATGAGATGATGGTTTTTCTAAATTAAAACATGATAACAAACACAATTTCATTAAGATAAGACTTTTTATCATGTTTATTAACATACACCGAAGTTACCGTTCATGATGAATTGACTTCAATTCATATTGGAATTATCATTGATAAAAACCTGTAAAGAGCACATAAAATCTGTTGAAAAAAGGTTTCTCGCGGTATTGGTTCTCTTTATCACATTTGTTTTGACTAATAATTATTCGTTTTTTTCATAAGGAAAACAGTCTTCTAGGTCTTCTAGTTAGAAGTCAAAATTATTTTTCAAAAATTGAAATTACAAAGGCGTCAATGTTCATATGAAATCCACTGTTATGTGGGAAATAAAGATACATACAGTGTATATACATTCATTAAAAGGACCTGAATTTTAAAATTTGAGGCCCATTTTCCTTTTATTGCTGAAGGAGCAAAAGTTGGGCCCTAAATATTTTCGGGAACCAATCTGCCCCCATCCCAGGTCCGAAATCAGGCTCAACTAAATTCGTATACCCGCGGGTATCTGAAATATTTAGTCACAGTAGTTCACACTGCCATCTTTTAACTAAGAAAGATTACTCGTCAGTTCAGAAAAATACCTGGTTTTATCCAAGTTTTATTTTATGCATAATGATAACCCACATAGGAACCATTAGTAACACTTAACGAAACAAAGCCCGTGTCAAATATCCACAGCCACAAATAATTTGATCAATAAAGCAAATCAAAAGAGCTCAAGTGAGCTTGATATACCTTGGTTGATCACAATATAAAAAGCGGGTTTGCAAGATATATCCGACATCCGCTGTCACTTAATCCGATTTTGATATCATTATGATCGGAAAATAAACCGACGTTGATGTAATAACAATCAGATGTATGGCATGGGATCTATATAGGTATTTATAAACAGAAGATAAGGTCAGCGTGACTTACTAAATCCAGCCTGCAAGATCCTCAGTTTTGACTCATGTTACACATCAGCATTTTTGGCTATTTTTGGCATAGCCTAGATCGTGTAGGTAATACATAAAGCATACAAGATGGCTAAGGAAATTACACCGGTTGTAGAAAGTTTCTGGCTTGCTCAACAATTAGAGAAAAATGATGGGACGATTTGCTTGCTTGATGGGTCTTGGCATATGCCTTTTTCGAAGAGAAACGCCTGGCAGGAATATTACCGCAGACACATACCGTATGCATTGTTTTTTAACATAGAGGAATGCTGTGATAAAAACTCCAATCTTCCGTTTATGTTACCAACAGCGGAAGAATTTGAGACATATGTCGGATCATTGGGCATCAGCAATGAAACCCATGTTGTCATTTACGATAATCACGCAGGATTGGGTATGTTCTCTTCCCCCAGGATATGGTGGATGTTTAGGGCATTTGGTCATGAAAAGGTCTCTGTACTAGACGGGGGTTTCCCTAGATGGGAGAAGGATGGATTTACAGAAACAGATGAGATACCAAAAGTCGGGCCAAAAACATTTAAAGCTAACTACAGGCCCGATCTTGTAAGGACATATGAGGATATTGAAAGGAATTTAACGAGTAATGAATTCGTTCTGGTAGACGCTAGGCCCAGTGGACGTTTCTGCGGAACTTCCCCGGAGCCAAGGCCAGGTAAACATGACTAGATACTCTGATAAGTAAACATGTTGGGAATTACTCATTCCAGAGGTGAGTTAATAGGCTAATTGTACTGAACCAGGAATATGAGTCACAAATGCGTTTGCGAAAATATGATACATCGGGCTATTCACCAAAAGTAGGATTAAATAAATATTTGTTTGATTATTCACTGTTATATGCATAGTCCTCACTCACATTAATGGAATAACAAACCTATTGATGTTTAATTAATAACAACATGGTACTCCCGAGGATATACAAGATAAAAAAATCGTCGTGGCTGGTGAATGTCATATGACAGTGATGTAATAAAAATTAATAGGCCTATACAAGAAGAAACGAAACTGGTAACATTCATCGTAAATCAAGACAGTAAACAGACTACCCCTACCAACAACCCCCCCCCCCCAAAAAAAAAAGAAAAGGATGGAACTTAAATAATGATTTTCAAAAAGCTTCACTTTTTAAACCCGCGTCTTTAAAATAGTCCCAAAAAATTCAAAAGTGTTACAGTAATTCAAAGACATGAAATAGGAGACATGAAATACTTCCCCCCACCCCCTTACCTCCCGTTGTCAGTTCTCAGACAAGCCTCCTCAGAAATCAATCATGATCGCATGGTATCATAACAATAACAATACGCAGCTAGATGAGTAATTGTACCTGAATCAAGATGGACCTCTCATCCTTCATCTTTCCCTGAAGATATGTTCATCGATGATTTCTGGGTTATTACCTCCTCTTATCTAAAATTTCAGATATCAAGGGAGGGCATGTCCCAGGAGCCATCAGTATCCCATTCTCTTCCCTTCTTCTACCACAGAGGAAGGCTCTAAAGATGCCGGAGACCAATGAGCGAAACATGAAAGAGGCCGGCGTGGACATGGAGAGATCCATAGTGACCATGTGTGGGGATGGTAAGTGGAGTTTCCACTCTATAATTAGTTCACGCCGAAAATGTCCGTTTTTTGTAATGGTCATTGTATAACATTTTCCTCGATATAAAAATAACGTAGGATAGCATGGTGCTAGTATTCGGAACAGATAGAATTGTCGGAATAAAAAACCCACCCCTCACTATATCTGCATAGCAATGCCTTGGTATACGGAGAGTGCAGATGGATTTACTTCTCGGGACATCTCCACTATCTGTCCAGATGTCTGTGGTATTAGTGCAGTCAGAATGTGGGTTTCGGCGTGCGTTGAAGAGGGATTTTATGAGACATAATTTTTCATGTTACTACTATGATTATACATATTTTTATGGATTATTAGATCTTAGTTTTTCAGCTTTTAGATTTTGTGGCCATTTAACCCCCCATGGGCTAAAATTTGGACCCCTACTATAAATTGGGCAAGAACTCAAAAAATACTCAGTGGAATGTTTCCAAATTTCATTGTTATATTGGTATAGGCTAATTGAATATATGATAAAAATTTCATGTCACATGGTTAAGTGGTTGCCATGGAAATGGATAAAACATGCCCTTCGGGTGTCAATTTTCAGGCCAATTTTTCAGGACTGACAGAGTCATTTCATGCATATTTTGTCCCCAATGTGTTAGGAAGGGTTAAAATGTAAATAGAAAACTTCTATAATATATTAGCAGCAATTGTATGTAAAGATCAGTCCACAAAACCTCAGATTTTGGCCTTGTATTGGTCCATGACTTATACAGGGGTCTATTTCATAGACTCGAGCTCCCACATTGGATGGGTGCTATAACTTTTGAAATAATGGAGATACAGGTCTCATTTTTTCAGATCTTCATAAATGGTTAATTTTAAGTATTTTAATATACTTTGGGAGCTGACATGTGATTGGTTGCCATGGTAACCAGGGTTTTAGGGAAATTCTGGCCCCAACATTGGATGGATGCTATAACTTTTGAAATAAGGGAGATAACATGTCTCATTATTTCAGATCTTAGACAATGATTGATTATTAATACTAAATTAGACTTCGGGAGCTGAAATTTGATTGGTAACCATGGTATCTAGTTTTTATTGAAATTTGGACCTCCTCAATTGATAAATGCTTAACGTTTGAATTTAAGCAGATACAGATATCATCATTTCAGGTCTTAAAAATTAATTAGGTTTGTGTATTGAATTAGACTTTGTAGCTTAGCATTTACTTGATTGCCATGGTAACCATGTTTCGTCGTCATGGTACCCTTAATTTTTTATTTCATTTTTACCTTCATTTGAGAATGGTCAATTCACAACATGTTATACCAAAACGCTCAAAATTATCATTTTGCTCTTAAATTCAGCAATTTATCCTGTATGTCTGACAGTATAGCCTCATTCCATTCTACTAGTTCTCACACATATTCTGACTCCCAACTTGTTTTTACTCATCATTATCGTTTTCATCTTCCACAATTACCTCTTAATTAAAAATATCAACAATTTCTATTGGAAAGAAGGATTCTTTTGACCATTCTTGTGTTAAAGATTTGTCAGGGAATTCACAGTTCATTCATGCAGTGTTGGGCATAATGGTAGAGCTGGGTTTAGGCTGGTGGGAATGTGTCCATACATAGGTTTGATAATTTACCCTCTTCAAATGTGAAAGAAAATGTCAACACCTTCATAAGTGAGGGCAGCACTGTTCTGTTTTGTTCTGTATCTCATGGGAAACAGCTCATCTTGTAATCTATTAGTGGCAGTTATTTTTCTATTTCTGCTGTATTTTTGCAGGTGAACAATTCAACTTTCGATTTTATGGTAGCGGGAATTCCTATATTGTTTCCTATAGAAGAAAACAACTTTAAGAATTGTTTGTCTTCCGTTTCAGTTGATTTACTTTTCCTTTGTTCTGATCCAGTAAACGCATTGAAGGCTAATATGGCTTCACACAGGACTTAGTCCTAGGTTTGCAGCTACAGGGGTTGGGTTTAGCTTCTGACATCTAATGGGACATAGTTCACATTTGAGGTTCTTAAGGTTGTTTTCTTCATAATAGGAATCAATATAGAAATTTCTGACACAAAAAAATCCAAAGTTGACTTGTTCACCAGTAAAAGTACAGCAGAATTACAAAAATATGTTTGTAACTTACATCAATAGATAACGATATGAGCTGTTTCACATAAGATATTCTCCAAAGCAGAACAGTGCTGCCCTCACTTATGGAGGTTTTGACATTTCAACTCTTCCCATCTTTCAAGACTGGTCCTTCACTGCTTTCATTGCAACTAATATAATGCAATGAATTAAATGATGAACTCTTCCACCTTGTAATGATTGCTCATTATAACATTTGAAGAGGATGGATGATAAAACTTATATTTGGAAGTGGAAACATTACCCCCCCCCCTCGTCTCCCATCGAGTTACCTGTATATAAACCTTGAGGGGATCCTCAGCTCAGGTGGGGTGCTTTTGACATTTGATATGGCAATGGGCTCAATTTTTAGGATCTGGTATGAGAATGCTCTCCAAATTATGACTTGAGAGGTATGGCAATGGTCGGATTTGGGAATGATTGTGAAAAATATGTTGCCCCACACTTGTTTTACATGTATGGCATTGATCTAGTATATTCTTAATGTGAGGTTGTTTTTGGTTGTTTTCCTCAATGATCTGCCTTCTTCTCGAGGCATTAGAAATTTTGAATGGCCATGTTTTCATATCTGGATATTTGGTATGGCACTGGTCCTATATTTGGGCATTTGGTATGGCTTTTGGGCATTATTTTGGTTGATATCGGAACACATTCAAATTTGACAGATTGGATGGGAACATATTGATATTTGAGGGTTCAGCCAAGGATCCCAACCACATTTTATATACAGTGAACCCAAAGGGACCAGTCTTAACCCATTCTACCAAGTCCAATACTGCATGAATGGACTATATCCCCTAAGGATCCTTATCTCCAGAATGGTCAAAACAATCCTTCATTCCAACAGAAATTGATGATAAGAGGAAATTGTGCTAAATGAAAACAGTAATGATGAGTACAAATGAACAAATTAGGAGTCAGAGCTTTTGTAAGAACTAGTCCTATGGAATAAGGCAATATTGTCAGACATACATGTATTGTTTACTAGTATTTGATATTTTATGAGCCAAACAATGTTTGCATCTCTAGTATTATTGAGTCATGAGCATGTATATCATATAAAATAGAAAAAAATCCCAAAATTAAGAATAAAATGGTAACTTTGAGCAACTTGGTATTTTAGAATAAAGGTGAATCTGAAAACGAAAACAGCAGTTACCGTGACAATGAAACATGGTTACCATGGCAGACAAATAAATCCTAGCTTCCAAAGTCTAATACAATACACACATATTATTATTATCTTACATCCGAAAAGATTATATCTTATCTGGCTGTATTTAAGAGTTATAGTGTTCATCAACTGTGGAGGTCTGAATTTCAACAAAACCCTGGTTTCCATGGTAACCAATCAAATTTCAGCTCCCAAAGTCTAAATCAATACTTTAAATCCATCATTGTCAAAAATGTGAAAAAAATGAGACATGAATCTCCCTTATTTCAAAAGTTATAACATCCATTCAATGTCGGGGTCAGGATTTCCTTAAAACCCTGGTTACCATGGCAACCAATCATATACCAGCTCCAAACTTATATTAAAATACTTAAAACCAACCATTTATGAAGATCTGAAAAAATGAGACCTGTATCACCCTTATTTCAAAAGTTATAGCATCCATCCAATGTGGGAGCTCGAGTCTATGAAATAGACCCCTGTATAAGTCATGGACCAATACAAGGCCAAAATCTGAGGTTTTGTGGACTGATCTTTACATACAATTGTAGCTAATATATTATAGGAGTTTTCTATTTATATTTTAACCCTTCCCAACACATTGGGGACAAAATATGCATGAAATGACTCTGTCAGTCCTGAAAAATTGGCCTGAGATTGACACCCGAAGGGCATGTTTTATCCATTTCCATGGCAACCACTTAAGCATGTGACATGAAATTTTTATCATATATTCAATTAGTCTATACCAATATAACTTAGTAATTTGGAAACATTCCACTGAGTATTTTTTGAGTTCTTGCCCAATTTTATAGTAGGGGTCCAAATTTTAGCTCATGGGGGGTTAAATGGCCACAAAATCTAAAAGCTGAAAAACTAAGATCTAATAATCCATAAAAATATGTATAATCATAGTAGTAACATGAAAAATTATGTCTCATAAAATCCCTCTGAACGCACGCCGAAACCCACATTCTGACTGCACTATATGTACATGGGAACTAATCTCGCTTATCTCACTCTTTTCCGCTTTATTTCGTAATGCCGCATTATGCCCATCATTTCTCATTTCAAGAGCTCTACCACAAAATATAAGAAATGAAAATGATAAGTAACTTAAACATTTTATAGAGATGGGAAAAACTTCTTTTCTGTAATGTTATCAATTTCAAAGCTTGAAGATAATTCATTTAGTGAAAGTGAATTAGTGCTATATGTTATCAGTTTGATTATTGCTCGTCTGGGTCCTCGTGTATATCTACGTCAAGATGGGTTTACAATACAAATTGAAAATGGAATACAACCTGGGGGACAATTTTCTGTCACACAAGGATATTACTTCCTGGTCGTGACAGTTTTATTATGTCACCACCACAAGCGGTAACATACATGTATTGTTATAGTCTGCATATTTGGGGACGGTTTTCGGCAGTTAGCGTCTGTAACAAATGTTATGTGATGACATTTTGCATTTTATGCCTTGTCTACATAGCAATTATTTTGTTCTTATAGGACTGAACTCTGCTTTTATCAGCCTTGTATGCCACCAAATGGGCAAGACCGACGTCGCCATATACGACGGCTCCTGGACGGAGTACTACGCCAGAGCGCCATTTGACAAGAAAGAAGACGTCCCAGCCCGTGCATTTTAATCTGGTCGATTACAAAATACAAAATCACATTAACTAAATGCTTGGGCATCCATTAACTAGGGATACTACCGTTTTTTTGCCTGAAGAGTCAACGCCTATCACGATATTCCGTAACCACACTTTATTCTAACGCAATCAATGCTTACAGGAATATAATGGTAACATCTATTTACTCTGGGCATGGATTAGATGCAGTGAAACAAAAGTACATCAAAACTTAGTATACTGTTATGTATCATGCAGGGAAGCTTTTCATTGTATAGCTCTTTCTGCATCAAGACGCTGAAACCTTTATACAAAGTACTTGGAGAAAAATTTTAGTATACGAGCGATCAAAGAAAATATTCCCATGGATGTTGTATTATTATTCCATAATAATTCTGTTTTCCCAGGGAAATATGAAAAAATCGTATTGGAGCGTATTACATGAAAAAATCGTATTGTCCCCGGGAAAAAATCGTATTGGAACGTATTAACCTATTTTTATTCCTCGGAAAAGATGATATTGTTCCTCGGAATAAAACCCATATTCAATCCCTCCCAGTAAATGACCTTTATGTTTTCTAGTCAAGGTGGAAATGGACACATATTCTTGAATTTAATTCAATTACCTTAGTTTTGACTTTTTTAGAATCCGAGCCTGAGAGCATCACCGTGTTAATCCCACCCTCCACTATATCACTTATTATTCAGAACTAGTCATAAAATCATTCATAAATTAAAAAGCACCTTAAAACAGTAATTTTGAATGTTCTTCTATTAAAACAGCTTTGACTTTCACTATCATGCCTTGTAACTTTAGTTTGAGGGCCATTTCTTGAATTATTATTGAATCTACGTTTCAGTCATAATAAACCTTTCCAATAATTCCGGGATTTAAAACTCACAGCTGCTTAACTGACAGTGTCATCCAATTTTGACTTTTGGCAAAGAACTTGAAAACTTAGTTGCCTTAGACGCTGGACTGAATGCATGCCAAAATGCTAAACTGGGCAATACATTTATCTTAGCTTGTCTACGCGAATGCCAATAATGACTATCGGCTACCAGATTAACCTTCTATTTTATGACCAACTCATTTAAATATGAATGGAATAGTAGCAACTAGCAAGTACAATTCATATTTAAATGAGTTGCCCATAAAATAGTAGGTCAATCCGGAAGCCGACAGCTGAAAGTTGCATTCGTGAATACAAGCTTACGTGTAATTTATCACTTTATGTGAACCAGAGTAACCAGGGTTCCTTATCTACAATCATGATGTCACATTTTGCAGGCAGTAATGTTTGTAGTCGAAATTGAAAGAAGTTTAGAAAATTATTAAGTATTTTAATGTCAACAAATGAATTCAACATTATTCAAGATATGGCCCTCTTCAAGTATTATAATTTTTTAAATTTTGATCTCAGAACTCAATTAAAAGTAATATTTTGTTTGTAACTATTTATTAATTATTTTATTTACAATGTACAATAATGTTATAAAAAGGCTAATAGTTGTCTTATAATAAAGTATAAATCCTATACATTGTATAATAAAGCAAATTATTGCGAAATGTAGTTTTTCTAAATATACATGTATCAGTTATCACAATAAATATATACACATAATTTTCTATTTGTTACTAGAAAAATACACCAACTCAAAATAATAAGGGGCTAGTTTAAATTACAATATCCATATTTTCACGAAACTAATTTTGTAAGTGGTAAAAAGACAGGTTTTCCAGGGATAAAATAACTTCTGAAGTGCTCCCCAAGGTTTAATAAACTGGGGATAGGAAAAAATTAGGGTCTCATCTGTACTGTGATTAGTTTTGCAAAACACATTGTATATTGATCTAGTTCCTTATTGTATTCTCTCAATATGCTGCAACTGGAGGCCATAAACGGTGCTTTACAAGGCACATTTCACTATCACAAGGTGAACCAAATATTGGAGATTTCCCAATTTACTTGGATAATACAATTTTTTGTTTTGATGCTCAGGTGTCTTCTTATCCTTGGGATGCCATATGTCTTGGAAATATTACATGGTAAAAATGATCCACAATAGTCTTGCACTAAACCCTTGTACCTTTAAATCCGCTGCACTCCCCCCTATATTTGACATCCCGATCCCCAGAACTTCTCCATTCCTTTCACATGCCAATATCCAAATCCCCAGCACCTTCCTATTCCCCTGGGCACATCAATCCCCTGAACTTCCCCAATCCTGTGTACTCTCCCCTTTCTGTATGCATCAATCCCCTGAACCCCCACCCTACATACTTCCACCCCCAATTCCCTGTACACCTCCATACTCTGTACCCCGGGCATCCCCCAAAAAACTGTTTTCTAATGCATTGAAACCCCTGTACTAAATTCATTAATGCCAAGAAAATGGGAACAACTGGTTTTAGTACAAGACTATATTCATGAAATTAAAGCTCAGAAATCGTGATCTCCAATATTTTCAATTAACAGGCCCTCAGAATAGAAAATCCCTAACACATGTCGAACACATTACGTCCAAAGCTTAGTCCAACACAGCCATAGCCTTGTATACAATGTCTGGTTGTATGAGGCCAAAGTCGAAGAGGTTAACAAAGTGTAGTAGGAGATTACGCTTTAGTTTCTTACGTTCTAGCTCCTCTTTGAACTTTTCTGCAAAGTCCACACATGCCTGTCCCATTTCACAGTCACCAACATAACTGAAACAAACAATAGCCTAGTACTTTGGGTCTAAATATGTGTACGAGTTAGAAAGTGAAACTAATATCATGAAAGCAATACTCTGAATGGAGTTTGTCATCAATACATTTAATATGTTAATTGAAACATATTAAAATTACATCATTACTTCACATCATTTTTGGAGCAATATGAACTTGCTGTATTTTAAGTATTTTCATTGAAGCTGAAGCTTTTCTCAAAAAGGAGCTAACATTCTAATTTCACATGTTTTAACAAAGTATACCAATATTTCATCTTATTTCATCTTTTTGATGGGTGATGTTCAACAGGGTGGTAGGTAATTTCCACAATAACAGCATCTAGTTGCTCTGTGCTGTTGAGATCTCTACTTTCATTATTTTTACTTACTTGTTGTGCATTGCATGATGGTTCCACATTTTCATCACTTCCTTCTCTCCTTCATTCACATCACTGAACTCTTCAATAAGCTACAAATATACGATAATCAGATTTTCATCAACAATTTTTTTTGCCATTAACCCTTAACCAGTTAAGCAATAGAGAATGGATAAACAATAATATTAAGGTGTTTTATGTATCATTGGAAAGGTTATTCATTTCCAGTGTTTTGAGAATTTGGGCATGCACTAACTTTAACCAGCTCTAGCTTTACTCCCAGGGGAAAAGAGTTGCAATTTTTCTGTTAAAACATGCCTTATTGAATTTTAAGAAAAGTCAGAAAGTTACAAGTCAAAATACCAACTACAACTAACCTAACCATTTACGGGTTAAGTCAATGAGCAATGGTACTTTGAAAATGCTTCATTTTACATTGAGTCAATGAGTAATGGTACTTTGAAAATGCTTCATTTTACATTGAGTCAATGAGTAATGGTACTTTGAAAATGCTTCATTTTTCATTGAGTCAATGAGTAATGGTACTTTGAAAATGCTTCATTTTACATTAAGTCAATGAGTAAGGGTACTTTGAAAATGCTTCATTTTACATTGAGTCAATGAGTAATGGTACTTTGAAAATGCTTCATTTTACATTGAGTCAATGAGTAATGGTACTTTGAAAATGCTTCATTTTTCATTGAGTCAATGAGTAATGGTACTTTGAAAATGCTTCATTTTACATTAAGTCAATGAGTAATGGTACTTTGAAAATGCTTCATTTTACATTGAGTCAATGAGTAATGGTACTTTGAAAATGCTTCATTTTTCATTGAGTCAATGAGTAACGGTACTTTGAAAATGCTTCATTTTACATTAAGTCAATGAGTAACGGTACTTTGAAAATGCTTCATTTTACATTGAGTCAATGAGTAATGGTACTTTGAAAATGCTTCATTTTACATTGAGTCAATGAGTAATGGTACTTTGAAAATGCTTCATTTTTCATTGAGTCAATGAGTAATGGTACTTTGAAAATGCTTCATTTTACATTAAGTCAATGAGTAATGGTACTTTGAAAATGCTTCATTTTACATTGAGTCAATGAGTAATAGTACTTTGAAAATGCTTCATTTTACATTAAGTCAATGAGTAATGGTACTTTGAAAATGTTTTCGACTTATAGAGAACATTCACTTGACAGAATTAACATCAAGAAATCAAATGGAACAAAAATGAACCATATGGTGTCAGTACTTACATTAACAGTCTTCTGTCTCATCCAGAGAGGGTCATTCTCTTCTTCACTGTCAACTTCAATCTCTTCTGGCCACAATGGTTGGGTCCCTACAGTGTGGTAGTACAGTCTGCAAGATAAATGGGAAAATATGGGTTATGTGTTGAAATTGTAGACAAGATTAATTGGAAAGCCCACCAAACTGCCCGCTCGACCTGGCCATCTGATTACAATATAGTACCTAAGGGTGTGATAAAAAGAGAAGGAAAGAGTGACGTTGGAAAGTATTAAACAGCCAGTAATTGTATAAAAATGCCAAAAAATCAGACACTTCATTTTACTGCACAACCCAGGTAAAACATATGGGTTAAATGGCAAAATTAAAATGCTAACAATCTGAGTTGCCACAATGAGGGACTTCCATTTGTTTTCGGTATAATGCTATTCACCTTTCCCTTACAGTATCAAAATGTCATCTTTACTGCAATATTTCTTTAAAAAAATGAGACCCTCTCATGAAGAAGCGATTTGATGATGAAGTCAACATCACTCTTCAGCATGACTACTTAATTAAGATATTTTTTGGTCAGAAGGCCATAAATTATGGCCTATACATACATATTATGGCCTGCACATCCTTGTTACGGCCTGTACAAACCTGTTATGGCCTTGCACATACTGAATGTTGTCATAAATGTCTGCTTCATCTTGTTCTAGAAACTCTGTCAGACTCCATAGCAATTTCTTAGGTCTGTTCACCAATACCTGTAAATAAAGTGTAGCATTCAAGATCAAAGTTCAGGGCACATTCCACCACATACAGAATATACAGCCAGACAATGCAGTCTTCACGTTAATATAGTAATCCTTTACCCTGTTAAATTTGATTGTATTCCTTTACTTACCTTGTACTGAGGTTCATTTTGTGGAATACTATAAGTATAACGAAGAATTATCTAAGTATATATCTTCAGTAGCACAATTAGTCAAGATCAGATTGTGTTGAAGATGTTACTTGAAATGAAAGGAGAAAATATGGATTGGCTGAGAATGTTCCAAAGTTAAGGTACACTTTAATGAATTTTGCCAGGTCCATTATCTGGTACCACACCAAAATAAGCACTACAATTTACATCTTCAATTTGTGAACGATTAAGTGAAAAAATTTGGTCATATATGAAATCCAGAGATTCACAGGATATCTTTATACCTGAGTTATCTCTGTGCGCCTTGCTGGTCCATCCCTGCTGAAAGCATAGCCATGGTGGGAGTGGACATCCTGAGGGTTGCCGTCATAAGACCCGTCATAGCACTCATTCACAGAGACATCTATCTTGGCACCTTTGGCGTGAGGCTTATAAAAACGAAGCGGAAAAATATGAATTAAACACAAAAAGGCAGACCTTTTCAGGAAAGTGGAAAAGTTTACAAAACACATACATTTAATCATTTATATCATTTTTATATAGATTTGCAGAACTGAAGTCTCACACTCATACATTCAGCAGTATATACTCATACTCATGACATTAATTAATTCTCATGACATTAATTCAATTGTGATTGCAATATTTAGAACTTGCCATTGTGAGAGATTACACCTTTCTATCAATTCCTTTCTTGTATGTAAACAGGGCCGTCAGATGGGGGGGTGCGATGGGTGCGACCGCACCCCCCTTTGTCACCCCCCAAAATAAATTTGAAAAAAAAATTTTGAAAAAAAATATGTTAAATTTAAAATTGTAAAATTTTCTGGGGGTATTGGCCACCCCTCACACCCCCCACAAAACAATGGAAAAGTTCTAAATTTATTTTAGTGTTTGTCTCAGACACTTTTAAAGTGCCCAGACATCATCAAATAGCTCCTTGATATAGTTAGTGTTTCTGGGGGACTTGCTCCCCCTTTTGCATCTTGCACTTGGATAGCCCCCCCCCCTCTGGCGCCCCCCCAAAAAATTGTGATTTTCTCAAATTCTTTAATTGACTCATACACTTTGAACAAAACAATGGAAAAGTTCTGAATTTGTTTTATGTATTGTCTCAGACACTTTTAAATTGCCCAGACATCATCAAATAGCTCCTTGATAAAGTTAATGATTCTGGAAGACTAACACTTACTCGCCCTCTGGAATCCCCACTCCACCTCCCCTTCTGGCAGCCCCCCCCCCCTTAACACCCCCCCCCCCCAAAAAAAAAGATTTTTCAAATATTTTTTATTGACTCATACCCAGAAAGCACCAAATAGCATCTTAAAATTGTAAAATTTTCTTGGGAAATAGGCAGTTTTAGGCACAGACACTTTTAAAGTGCCCAAACTTCATCGAATAGCACCTTGATATTGTAAATTTTGATATGGGGGACAAACACTTGCTCCCCCTCTGGCACCCCCCCCCCCTTTGACACCCCCAAAATTTGAAAAAAATTGTGATTGTTTTTCAATGTTTTTATTGACTAATACACTTTAAAAGTGCCCAGAAGCACCAAATATCATCTTTAAATTGTAAAATTTTCTAGGAGAGTTAGCCACCCCTCACATCCCCCACAAAACAAAAGAAAATATTCTGAATTTCATCTATTGTCTCAGACATTTTTTAAGTGCCCAGATATCATCAAATAGCACCTTGATATGGTCAATGTTTCTGGGGGACAACCCCTTGCTCCCCTACTGGCACCCCAACCCACGTCATCCTCTCATCCTCTTTGACACCCCCAAAAGAATTTGAAAAAAAAATTCTTAATGACTCATAACGCACAGGCGTACCAGATGGTTGCAAATTCGCTCCAAATACAACCAAATTTCAAAATTTCCCTGGTGGAGAACCCCCAGACCCCCCTGAATGCTCGGTTTTTTCACTAAACTCTTATTCCCGTGGTGGTGGCGTACTACTTGGAAACTTACACTTTTAAAGTGCCCAAAAAGCACCAAATAGCATCTCAAAACTGTAAAATTTTCTAGGGGGAGTGGACCACTCCTCACATCCCCACAAAACAATTGGAACCTTTGGAAGTTGCATTTGTTAATTCCAAACCAATATAGGGAGTAACTGAGCCCCCCCCCCCTTCTGACTTACGCGATTTGATTAACGCGGCAAAAAAATTGACAATTTTATATTCTCTTTAGTAAGCTAAAAACCGCACCCCCCTTGGAGAAAAGTGTCTTACGGGCCTGGTAAACAGAAAGAGACGATAAATATCAGAATGAGTACATACCGAATAAACAAAGTTGAACCTGGCATGGTTCAATCTGAGGTGTTTCAGGAGACTATATAATTGCATACAGTTGATCAGGCACCATGGGCAGTGAACGTTATCATAGGACTCAGTTTGGTGTTGGGTTCCGTTGTTGTAAATGAAATTGTAGAACACACGTGAGCTCTTCTTCAACACGTGACCTTCCTTGGCATCTATGCCTTTTGTGCATACTGGAATGAAGATGGGTCATTTTAATGAAGGTTCACATCGTGATTTACAATTTCACAGAGACAAGATTTCAAATCAAGACTATTTGATAAGCAAAGGAAACCTGATACAACTAGATTAAGCAACACCTTTTTTATTCATCATGAAAAAATTACAAAAAAATTGTCTATAGCACTAACTGTTGGAATTTTTAGAAGACGGCATCCAATTATGAGCAAAAAATGTAAAACAAATTAGGAGAGTTATACTCGCAACTCATCTATTCTCCTTCCTTTTATAGTCACACAGAAGAAATATAAAAACAAAATATCAGAACAATTTTTTGCTGAACTTTTAGCACAATTAAACATCCGATAAGAATAATATAGAAAAGAACATTTTGAAACTTACATGAATTGGAAAGAGAGTCAGATAATGTTGGCATCATCTCTGTACTGATTTCCTGCTTTACTTGGGGTTGAATAGAGGGTGGAATAGTAGGTATAATAGTAGATTTTAAATCTGTTGTGCTTGTAATATCAGTTGTTACATTCGATGTGGGTAATATGGCTGGTTTAGAGGGTGATATGGAGGGTGCTTTTGATGGTGATATAGACTGTTGTTTAGTGGTGGGTTTAGAGGGTGGTTTAGGGGGGATAATAGGAACTGATGGAATCCAGGTGATGTTCATCTTCAAAACAGGACTCTTTAAGAAACTGGTAGCTGGAGAAATATCCTAAAAGTAAATCATAAATTATCTCCAATTGTTTTCTCTGTGCATTATGAACATGATTTTTCATTTTCATCCCAAAACCAAAACCACATGCAAAAATAATCAAATAAAGTTGAAATCTAAAAGTACGAATAATGGAATTTTCTGCAAAACAACACTGGATATTTTTTATAAAAAAGCGGTTTATTTAGGTATGTATACTTTAAAGCTATATGACCACAGGCAAAAGGTAAGTTTCATATCACCTGAGCTCAATTCTTTGACATAACGTAATATTTAAGAGTATGCCTTTTCTTGTGCAAGTAATTTCTAATTTTGGTAGATTTTCATTAACTCAATATAACAAAACCTGCCTTAATATGAGGCACATTTTCCCAGGCAGAGTGCATGATTTGGCTTGTCTTGAGTCCCACATCACACAAAGACAGTTCATATTCTCCCTCCGTCAGTACAATCATATTGCTTTTATCAAACACCATCAATTCACCGCCATAGACAGGGTTGTAGTTCTCATACCAATATTTGCCAATTTTGGTTCTTTTAACGGGAACTGGTTCTGCAAAAATGGGTGATTCAATCAAATCAAACTTAATCACATGTCTATTGCATTTAATTGATCAACTGTACCGATATATAATTGAAAGAATAATTTATCTTCTTTTGCATTGTGCACCCAGGAAATGTGGCAATCATATGTTTTATCATTATGACTGGGGTGTATTTCTACATATTTCTCATTCAAGTCTGAATTAATGTTGCATAAAAGGGGAAAAACAATCTTCAAATAGAGACAAAGCATTAACATGCAAAATGTCACCACCTGCCATTTTTACAGACACTATCCACCGTAAAATGAACACTATCCACAAAAAAGTTGGAGACTATAACCACGGTGGTGACATAAAAAGAACTTATAGAACCATGCATAATCACAAGTTAATATCGCAATCATACCTGCCATGTTGTCACGTTCTGTAAGAGCTTCTTGTTTCTTGTTGCAAGTTCTTAGTAAAAGAGTAGATAGGGGGCTCTTGGAGGTGGGAGCCAGGAGCTTTGGGGGAACACAAATCTTGGAGGAGGGTGCACCAGCAGGGGGGTTCACACCAACTTCAACCTGTCCAAGAACTATTCGTTCTTCACTCTCGGGAACATCTTGCTGTAAATAAAATTGTTTTACAAATTATGGTATGTCTTGTTTTGATGATTCTAAATTTAAAATTTTGAAATTATGCCCTTTTTGCTTTCCTATTTACCTGTACTGTATATGAATTTCTCATAACTAGGCAAAACCAAAATAATGTGAAAAAAATTGTGATAATTTCGGAAAAAAACTGCTTATCATGTAACCTATGATACTGAATCATAGGTTTTTAAGATTTTTTTCTTATTAAGAATATTTTATTTGTCTATGTTAATCTTTACATTATCTTATAGTATTATAGTAGTCGAGAAGATATGTTGATAAAATATTTCTTATTTATATAAGCACTTTCAAGTATATTTACCTTCCTTTTCTTTAGAGGCATCCTCAACAAGATAACCTCAAGGGTGATTTGGTCATCCTCAATGAGGTTTTCTAAAACATTCATAACAGTACAGTCTTCATTAATTGTGATCATCAAAGAGATATACTGTATGTTCAATATATTCTACAATCTTCATTAATTGCAATCATCAAAGAGGTATTGTTCAAATAATTTGGTTAGAATCTTTATAAGTAAGGACACTGCTATTGGAAATGAATCCCATGCACTGATTGCAGAGTATTATAATAGTTCACCTGACAGCCATCTGAGATTCATGCTACATCACTTGCCATCCTTTCATTGGCTGTCTGGTTTACTAAATTACACCTTCTATTTCTTTGGTTTTATTCTTAAAACCAATCAGATACTTATGCTACTTGGACCAGCCAAAAGTGTTCAAAATGGTAGGTGTTCACATTTCAAGGAAGTCAATGGCAGAAATGAAAAACTGGACCCAAAAAGCATTCACAGTGAGAGGTGTTCAGATCAGAGAGCCATCCAGATATACAGTTTTTACTGTTCAGTAATTTTAAGTGTTGTACCTTTATCAATGAACCCAGTGAACTTTACACAGAGAGAGTCTGCTGGTTGTGATGTCTTCAAAGGAACCATACTCCCCTCCACACCTTGCAAGATGTCATTTATCCTAAACCCTGCTCTGAAGATATGAGATAAGCACAATTTATAGGAAATACATAATATCCATGTACTGATTCTTTTATTGATAAAACATTGCAATATATTCAAAAGGTTACTTTCTATATTTTGCCATTATGAACATGGTAACTCGCATAAATCTAGATAATATAGATAGAGCCAACCACATTGAAAATGTTTTAAACACTCAGATATTGTTACATTGGATGGAATCAATATTTGATGTTCAGTATTTTGATGCAATTCAATTGATACGTTAATACAAATTTAACACCTTCTTTTGCTCAAAGTAACGATTTCCTGATTTCTTACATACCTTGAACGATGAGATCTGGACATTCGCTTCCTCATATAGCTGAGTGTGCGATGCAGAAATATTGGCTAAAAAATAAACAAGATACGTCAGAAGACACACACTAATAGACACTGTACAAGTGTAAATTACTAGCATGCCTAAACCTTATGAGATCTTAGAACTAGTCGACTCTTGCATCTGATTGCATATCTGAATCCAGTAAAATTGCATGAATCAAAATGCTGAACTGTTTTCAAATAAAAAAAATGCAGATTCTGCATCATAATAATATATAAGTGAGTATATATAGGGTTTTGCTATTTATAACTGAAAAACATTAGTAATACTGATAAATAACTTATATTATGCATTTTAATATGTGATAATGTGATGTAGAAAAACAGAATGCTGAAATGTGCCGATACCCGATACACTTGTGATTATAAGTTTGTAGCTAAATATGATACACACAATTTATATGTAAGGAAAGACTGTTTTAAATATTTCCATGAAGTACATATAAGTAGTGACATATTGAATAAAAAAACATTATGATAATGTACTTACGGAAACAATACTCCTATTCCTGAGGTATCTGTATATCTGTGTGGGTTCTAGAAAAAGAGAGTTTTACAACTAATATTGTAGAACCCATCCAAGGGGAACACCTTTGGTACCTCTAAAATGTGTTCCACTTGGGAGGTGTTTCGCTTATAGAGGTTAATTTAACATTCCCTTTTATTAACTCTTTACTGGCGTTGCTAGAGCCCAGATGTACCAATAGATGGAGGATTTTTGATGGTTGAATTAAGTTTAATAACACAGGAAAATTGCAATTCAAACGTAAATTTTCATGTTCAGAGACAATTGGGGTTTCAAACAAAACGTCTCCTTAAATACTCAGGGATTTATCGAGATATGCTATTTTGTCAGTTTTATCCGCCCTAAACTAATAAATAGTAATCCTGATGGTAGAAAACTAAATGTAACATAAAGAATAAAGGACTATCGTCCTGTAGGGCCTACTGGATATTTGTGAATGCAAAAGTGACGTCTAGAAATGTAACTAGAAATGTAACATAAAGAATCAAGGACTACCGTCCCGGCTGTAGGGACTACTGGGTATTTGTGAATGCAAAAGTGTGCTATGTAATACAGTAAGTTTGCAGAAAGTGGTCATTGTGAGAGTTCATCGATAACATCATGATATAACATTTGCAAAATTACAGTAGAATTCGAAGTAAATCTAGATCTAGAATTGAAAGTAAAAATTGATTATGAATGGGCGATAATAGGTGATAAATTAGTTTCTCACTCTCAAACGCTTGTAAGAACAGCTCGTGGTCAGAGTTGGCGGACTCAAACTGTTCTTTGGCTTCCTGGCGATCATTGCGATCTCTCTTCTTTGGTCTCATATCGGTAGATCGTTCATAAATCCCAAGTTGTTGTTTATTCCGGGAAACAAAGCACGAACTATGCGTGAAATTTCCGAACGCCAAATTCACCGAACAATATATTGAATTTTCTGTGTTCGTACAATTACTCATTGTCGATGTGTCATTTTTGAACGTTTGAATTTGTAAAACACGGTGTTTTATTATGAAATCAGTATCATAAAAGGGTTTCATGAAGTAATTAAGCTGAGTTGGACAAAAGGCTACATTGGGGGAAAATTATATGCAAATGAAGGTGACCATTATCTAAAAGCGATTTTTTGAAAGCCTTTGACTCAATTGATCATACTATTATTAGCCTGGTGAACTTTCAAACTATAAAATCAACTGTGGATTAGCGGTAACATGGTATAAAAGCTATATGACAAGAACATCAACATAGTGTCTCATTCAACCACCCTTCATTATTATTCATGGTGTGATTCAGGGATCTGTTTCTTGTTATATTATTTTTCTACCAAACACCTGCTTAAATCAAGTATAAATTGAATTTGTCACTATTGGTTATGACACATATCTATTTTTATCATACAAAACTTGATATCTATAAATTAATAAACTTGCATATAAGTACACTATCTGAAAAGTTATTCTTGTATATTTTAAGATGATCTTATTCATTGACAGAGCTATTATTTTTACTATATTTTCAAAAGTTATTTTGGCAACCAAATTAAACTACTAATTTAAGGAAACAACCAATTAGTCAGTACATTCCCTTGTATTGCAAGCTTGATTTTACAAAATTGAAAATATTTTAAATAAATGCGAAATGCCAATTATACGATATGCTAATTTGCATATATGCACAATATCTAATAAGTTATCATTGTATCTTTTAACATTATCTAATATTATTTATTGACCCTGAAAACATGGGGATGTGGCACAACAATTGTGGTGCTATCATTCTTACTTTTTAAGGTATGGAAGATATGAAATAGTTGAATAATGGTCACCAAAAATGTGCATATATACTTTCTCCTAAAGTTATTTTCGGCAACCAAATTAAATCAATATAATAAAGAAACCTTCAATTATTCAATACTTTGAAAAAGTGCCCTGCAAGTTTGATAAATAAAATATGTTAATTTGCAGACCCGTAGCCAGGATTTGCCAGGGGGGTCACCTGTGACAATTTTGGTCCAAAAATGGCCAAAAACAATCAAAAAGTGCTCAGAATGATGAAAAACTGCATGATTTTGAAAGATTTTGTGGCGGGGGGGGGGAGTGGGCGGGGTTCGAACCCATCGACCCCCCCCCCGCCTACGGGCCTGATTTGCATGTATACATAAATATATAATGAGTTATCCTTGTATCTTTTAACATTATCTTATTCATTAACCCTGAAAACGACTACTCGTTTATTCATGGTCCAAACTGAAGCAAGAAGTCATACTTTTTTGGTATGAAGCGTGATCTGATCTAAAAAAAAAAGCAGGCATCAAGAAAATGTTAGAAGCAATGTTTTTCAACACATTTAATCCAATGGTGATATTTAAAAAAGTAGAGTTTAGAAGCAAAATAATCATAATATGATTCATTTAAAATTGCCCACGTATTTTTGTTTAATTTATACCTGAAAAGTTGAAGATAAAAAAGGTCCAAAAAAAGATTGCTGTCAACAGATAATATCTTTCAAACTATATGATGGCACAATATGGGACGCGTATAAGAATTCATCTTTTGAAATAAAACTTCTTCCACCTTCCTTTATCAAGATGAGAATAATTTATAATAGTCAAATATTGTTCGAGTTATGAGCGATCAAAGATAAAAAAATTATTCAAAATGTAACGTGTCAACATCGGATATTTGCCAGGTTTTTATGTACATGTAAATAACTCTTTTGAAAAAACGAGCAAGAATTATGAAATTAGTTTACTTAATTTAAAATCTTCATAAAAGTAGCTTTAAAATGATACATTACTTTAGACAGAAAACTATCTCATATTACGGAGAATTAAAGATAGTCACATTCATGCGACACCCTAACACACGTGCGCGACCTTTTTGCGACGTGTCATTGAAATCTGACCAAATATGGATCGTTGCTGAATGATTATCGCAAAATAAAGTCAGGACTGTTGGACATTTGAGAAAATAAGCCGTCTTTGACAAATACATTTTACATTCTAAAATTTCGTGCCCCTTTAAAAAACACGCACTGCAGACAGAGCCTGTGGGAAATATTGGGTGCGGCGCAAATGAGCGGAGGGTGTGGAGCTAACGGTCATTTTTGAATTTAAAATTGGGATATTTCTGAAACTAAGCCGTTTTGGGACTTCAAATATACCAAGATATGTGTATTTGACACCAAATATCAATAAAATTGTGAAAATAGTAGTGCAATTCATTTTATAGCGACGCAGTATGCCTTAAACATTTCCCAGACCTATATATTTTGAGACTATCCTTTTAATACTGCGTCCCAAGCATTCATAAAAAATGGTGTTCAAGATACACTACCCATGCAAATTATTTTTGCATCTTGGAAGCCAGGCAGTATCTGTGTGATTTTATAAAAATTCAGAAATGTTCTTCAGATATGAGCCCCCTCTAAATATTGGGTGCGGAGGTACGTTTATGGAGCTCCTCCGCACCCAATATTTAGAGGGGGCTCATATCTGAAAAACATTTCCGAATTTTTATAAAATCACACAGATACTGCCTGGCTTCCAAGATGCAAAAATAATTTGTATAGATAGTGTACCTTGAACACCATTTTTTATGAATGCTGGGGACTCAGTATTAAAAGGATAATTTCAAAATATATAGGTCTGGGAAAGGTTTAAGGCACACTGCGTCGCTATAGAATGAATTGCGCTACTATTTTCACAATTGTATTGATATTTGGTGTCAAATACACATATCTTGGTATATTTGAAGTCCCAAAACGGCTTAGTTTCAGAAATATCCCAAATTTAAATTCAAAAATGACCGTTAGCTCCGCACCCTCCGCTCATTTGCTCCGCACCCAATATTTCCCACAGGCTCTGTCTGCATAGGGTGTACTATTAATCAAATTGTACATCCACTCGTAATGTCAAGATAAAATAGATAAACAACATTACTAACAAGGAATGTATAAAGTGATCGTCTATTTTAGCCACGTATTATTCAAACAGTGGAGAGGTTAAGCTAACGATGTTTTTCACAACGTAACCGTGAACGCAAAGTACAAAAATTAACAAAGGAATGTATCGAGCGCTCATAGTTTTATGCGCGCTTAGTCTACTTCAGATACTCTTTCAGCTTCAGAGTTTCGGGTTTAGAACGGGAGATTTTGAAATTTGACGTTGGGTCAACGGGAACCATTTTACTCGTGTCTATTGAACACTATGCTGTCAATTTTGATTTCGATGCACAGTTGAATTCTTTCTGAACACGATGATGTATGTCATGCATGATTAAGCGCCAAAAATCTAACAAACGAGCTCGTTTAAAATATGTATTAGAAAACCAGCTATAAAACCGCATCAATGACATACTATAGAATCATTACACGCTATGGTGTAGTCTAAACAAACACTGGATTTGAACGGCTATTTATATGAGAAGGCTACATGAATTTGTATATGGTCGAGTGATACGTACAGGTTCAGTTTCGATTATATATGCAAAGCTTAACCTCTCAAGTTTATATCTGATACGTAAAATGATAACTTTGCATCAAATAGATATTAGAAGATCAGATAAGATGGGAGTGGTTCAGGGAGATCCATAACTTTCAGATGATTCCTTATTGTTATATCAACACTACAAGTAGTGTCATATTGTTATAGTCTCCAACTTTTTTGTGGACGGTGTTCGGCGGTCGGCGTCTGTAACAAATGATAGGTGGGGACATTTTGTGACTAAATGCCTTAACATATTTTCATTCATAGTAGCTTAACTTTGGCTAACAAACAATAAGAAGATAAGTCATTAAAATGTTATACTACTACGTTTATTTATTTTATATATTATTTAGCCTATAACACTGTACAATATAAAATAACAATAATAAAAAACAATTCAGTTTTATTTACTGTCTGCCTATAATGTGTCTTGCTCAAATTATTTTGAGTAGTTGCCTAAATTATCCTATATTCACTGGTGATCCATTCGATTACGCTGGTTACCGAAACGGTTCGTTTTGGTAACAAAATGTCGGAACATCGAAGGTACGATTTTTCATTTTTCCTTATTTCACACGTTGTAGGCAGAATTCCCACGACATTTTTAATACAAATGTGTATCCGTATCATATGTTTAAGAAAATGTACATATTTGCGAACAAATAGTTCAGAAGACAACAGAATCGTCGATTTAATTCCTCACTTAAGTTACATAAACGGTTTTTCGAAAAACAGTTAAGATCTGCACTTTTAACCCAAACCGTTTATGTAACTTAAGTGAGGAATTAAATCGACGATTCTGTTGTCTTCTGAGCTATTTTTTCGCAAACATGTACATTTTCTAAAACATATGATGCTGATACATGTTTGTGAGAAAAAACGTCGTTGGGATTCTGCCAACAAATCGTGAAATAAGGAAAAGAGAAAAATCGTACCTTCGACGTTCCGACATTTTGTTACCAAAACGAACCGTTTCGGTAACCAGCGTAATCGAGCGGATCACCAGTGATATTGCCTAAAGTGTCCTGATTTGCCTGAATCATCTTGTATTGCCTTGCCCTGTATTGTCCAAATTGCCATACATTTATATAATACTTAATAATAAGTTTACTTACTTACTATTTTGTTGCAATACAATCTTAAAATAAATTTGTCAATCCACAAAGTGAACCCTGTGATACTGAATACACCAAGAGGCGTTTAAGTCAAACACTCATCTCATTAGTCAAACTCATAACCTCTGAGGTTAAAAAATCTGAAGTTATAGCAATCACGAATTAACATATTACTCTGTGGTTCTGTAAATGCCAAAACATAATGTTCCAAGAATACTCCTTCGTGTAATACTGTCATGTTTAGTTCTTGCTTATGTGTATGTGCTGTTAAAAAAGTTTTGTTGACTTTTTCAAATTGATTTGTTTCCATTTCGGCATCTTCTCATAGTCGGCTCTTGCCATGCCAAACACTTCAAGAAATTCTTCTTCACTTAAGTATTGCTGGAAAATAATTTTTCAAACATTGTTTATAAATGTAGCTGAAGGTTTGATGTGCCGCATCAATAACTGCTCATGATATATTTACCGATTGTTGTAGAACAAAATCATGACATCCCAGCATAGAATATGTCAGTACTGGAACATGACTGGGACTTCTTTGAATTTTTAGCTCAAATATGTGTTTACCATAAGGACGTGTATTTACTCACCTCTTTACATGTTGGATCAACTCCCTCTGGAGGTGGGCTTCTTAGAAGTTCTTTGTAGGAGTATGGTTTAAAATACTTTTCAACCTCCTGCAAAACACACGTACAGATATACTTGTTCTATATGTAAGCGTAAGTGGGAACGGTAAAACACAAAAAATGGTAACAGAATACGGCAAGAAAAAGAAGACATCTAAGAGGACACCAGTCATAAGGAAAACAGACACCAACTATCCCAAATCATAATCCAACGTGAAAAGAAACAGTGTCTAATTCCCCCTCCCCACCACTCAAGCATCATTATCACAATCCGAGACCATAACACTATAACCATAAATTTAATTTAGCACCACACTCACACGTGAAAATAAATAGTAGTACAATGTATAACAATATATGTACAATAAAATGCTTTTTTCTGAACTGAAATTAATCTTTCTTCAGATTTAGATATTTATTACTTTTTATGTATGTACCTCTTCTACCAAAGATACTCCAGCATTCTCCTCGCCAACTTGAGCCACCAACTGTTCCCACGTCAGACCTTTCTGTAAAATCATATATGTGATCATTGCGATGGTTCCAAACTTTCAGAAAAAATGAAATAATTTGGAAATGTCATCGTCATTTGATTTTAAACAATGCATTCCACCATAACATGTAAATATCATTAACAAGTTTATCAGAATTAATGAAAATTCTCATTCAGTAATTCACTTGAAAGTCAATCATCAAAATCAAATTAAATATATAAATGATTGTATATTTATATCAAGTGGAATTAACTCTTAAGGGTACCAATTTAAAACATTTCCATACAAATTAAGGTAAGAAGAGTTTGAGTAGTTGACTATAACATATATATGGAAAAATTAATGGATGGTATAGTTGAGTTGTAGTCACACTTACTTTATAAGAAGAAACTGATAAACGTTATTTTATAATTCATTAAATGTTTTCATTTGGATCAAGAGTCATACATCTTGACTTGAAGATCTCGTTTGCATTGCAGATTGTGAACCATACAATTCTAACTGATCAATTAACAAACCACAATTCTAAAATTATTTCGAAATTGTCCCTACACTCCAGATTTCCGCGTCCCAGCCATGGAAATGCCCTGTAAAGAATGGAGGTTCGCAGCCTTGGCGTACAACAACAATCATGGTATTGTCTTTTGTTCTTCCTGAGGGGTCACTCTCAATGTATTCCTGTAATACGAATGAAAAGTTGCAAGTCCTTAATCATATTCTTAATTCATCAAATTTTAAAACTATAGACACAATTTATTCATTTATACATCATCAGTTGTGTATAATGCATAAATCTGTGTTGTTATTTGTGAGGTTTGACCAAAAGTAGAGATACATTAACAAAGGCTGTTCAAACAAAATTATGAAACATATTTAAAGTAAGAAAACTAAAATAAAAGTGAACAGTTGTTTACTTGTTCAGAACATAGAATTTCACTTAGTTTCAGCATTGTATAATTGATAATGTGATAGTTGAATATTGCTAGAATACATTATGACAATGATTGTTACAGTTTTTTTTTAATTTTCAAAAACCGAACACAATTTAGTATAGAGACACTACTTGTCACAACGTACAACATCACGAATCTAGCCTATAAAATGCTATTGTTTCATTTGTTTATCAAAGGGGCCAAAATGGTCTACTAGTTGTTTCAAAAATGAACAATAATTATCTGATTATAGTCTTACAATAGCAGTTTTGTATGCTCCCAACTTCTCAACTTCAGCAGAATTCTGTCCAATCCACACAAATACCTAAAAAAACAGAAACAGATATCAATGCATCATATATTTACTCACAGTCAAGGGTGGTGATAACTTTTCATGTATTTTTAACATTATTTTCATAATCTTCACTGCAGTCATCATTAACAATTCTAGCTTGTCAGTTAGCTTTTTTACATACCCATGTCAGTTTTTATAAATATTTATTCAGTAATCTACTGATTTAAGTTTGTTAAATGTTAAGCAAACGAAGTCCCCTTTCCACAACAATGTGTTTAGGACTATTTGGCGATAATTTGACAAATTGATCAAAGTCAATTCCAACTAACTGTAACTGTAGATCAAATGAAATGCTGCCTATTGGTGCCATACAGTTACTAAACTTGTAAAAGGGGCGGGTGTACTTAAATACTAAATGCATATCATGTATACCTCAGTATAGGCATCGAGAATCATTACATCATCTTCATCCAAATCCTAAAAAAATACATTTTTAAATTATTTTGATTTGATTTCAGTGCATCGATGTAAACAATACACATTTTACAGCTTTCTTATGGTATATATATATCACGCTTGTTGTATAAGTAGAAATTATTCCAAAATAGCACAAATATATCATATGAAGCTTTAGAATGGTACATGAGATTTGAAATTGACATAAAATCTTGAAGCTTCCGATGATAAAATAGAAAGTTATTCAACGGCAAAATGCAAATATTTATAATGATGACGTATAATGCTTTCCAATGATACAAACCTGTTGTTGGAAGTCAAATATTTCCTCCACAGTGAATTTCCCTGAGCTGATAGAACAGTGGAACAATCTGGGAGGGATATAGTTGGAATCCTAGAAAAAGGAAATACAGACTTAATAACTAGAACAGGATTCGAACCAGGGTGGCGTCATTTTGGCTGTCACTCGTCCCGCTGAGCATCAACATAGACGCCATAACAGTAAATAAAGATTGCGTCAAATTGTCAGCATTTGTTGAAGTGCAAAATCAATTCCGTTAGTTTAATGGTGACAATTATTTTGTAAAATTTATGATTTTCAGTTTGAAATAATTTTAAATGAAACAAATGAAAAAACTATAAAAAATAAGTTACTTTGATAGGTGGCCCCTTATAGTACTCCTCTTGTCCCCCTATAGCGTCCCAGAATCTAAATGATTCCTCTCCTTCCACGATGACCTCTGGTTCTCTATGGACATAATAATTTATTTATACATAATCTAAATGAATGCTTAATTGTTATTGATAACTTAGCAAATGAAATAAATTATTTTTAGAAATATAAACTAAATTAAGTGTGTACTTCCCATAAGCTTTTCAGTTTTCACATTTAGCATACATGTCACATTTTATATCATTGATATAGGATAAATTGTAATATTGATATACGTATTTGATTATTTCACTTGAACACACTCATGTCAAATTATATTATAATATCAAAATAAAACAAAATATTATCCGTGTATATCATCAGAACAATACAATGTTAGTTCATGCATGCAGTCGAGAAACTTACTTTTCACAGACAAACTCACAACACAAAGCTGCCATTTCCAATTGGTTTTTCTGTGCATTCTATAAAAGGTAAATATAAGGGAAGTGCAAGATAAATTGGGGAAACACACACAATGTGGGTGGGAATCACATAAAAACACACGGTGTGAGTGTACGGTCAAATCTAAATAAACCATGTAGGTCTGGGTATATACACCTTGTTTTAGGGGTGTCAAATCAAAATACACCATGTTGGTGTGATATAACATCGACAACACCAAATGAGTGTTGGGTCACATTTAAATACACCAAGTGAGTGTTGGGTCACATTTAAATACACCAAGTGATCGTGTTGGGTCATCAAGTGAGTGTTGGGTCACATCTAAATACACCAAGTTAGAATTGGGTTACATTTAAATACTTCAAGCGAATGCTGGGTCACATCTAAATACACCAAGTGATCGTGTTGGGTCACCAAGTGAGTGTTTGGTCATATCTAGCTACACCAACTGACTGTGGGGTTACAAAAAAATATACCATGTGTGTATAGCATCTCTTCAGAAGTTAATCATTTCAGAACTTTCAACTTATTTAAAACTTCTGAATCACAAATACTGGCATTACATGTATGTCATGTATTACGTCTGCTCATGGTTATTTCACTCTACCTCTCCTTTAAAAATTAGCTGATTTTCTGGTTCTCCCCTTAAAAATAAGCTGATTTTCTGGTTTATACGAGTAATTTAGACAGTCAAGTACACCTCGTTGATGTTTTCCTTGCTAATAAAAAAAACTATGACCACATTGGCATTTTTACGTTGAGGTTCGCAAGACGCAACCATACATTATATTACTCATTAGACAAAATATCAATTCTAATTTAGGTTAGGGAATGCAGGTAAACTGTGCACCAAAAAGTGATGTACATTGTCAAACAACAACGCTGAAAATGAAAAGGACCTTAAATAATGGTGTCGCAAGTGAAGGGTAAAACAACGCCTGCCACAAAGGTGTCACTGAAATATATCAGTATGACTTACTTTTCTCCAATAAATTCACAACACAATTGAGCCATTTCTTTCTCACTGTCATTGGCATTCTAAAAGTTATAGCATAGATAATTTGTTACACCCCTCGTAAGGTATGGCAATCATTGTACAGCGTGTAAAAATTATTTATGTTACATACCCTCGTATGTTATGGTATTCATTTTATAGCGTGTAAAATATATTTATGTTACACCCCCTCGTAACGTATGACAATCATTGTACAGCGTGTAAAGATTATTTATGTTACACTCCCTCGTAAAGTATGTCAATCATTGTAGAGCGTTTAAGAATGGTACTAGCTTATATTTTGATTTTTCTGTTCGATGGAAAAATATCAGACATTCATAACTTCTATATGTTGTTAAATTGCCAAACATTACAAGGCTTTAACATGTGGTTCAGTTGAGAAGATATGGTTGCTAAACCTTTAGAGGGTGATGTATAGCTCATTGAAAGTCCATACACCTACAAATTATTATTTTCAATGTGATGAAAATTTTGTTTCACTTATTAAATAATCACATTTTTATCTGTAGGGACCAAGTCAAAATTTCAATGTTAAAAACCAATTCCTTCAAAGTTTGACACTGCCCAGCTTAATATTTCTTGATTTCCTTCAAATTAAAAATTGCTCCATTTTAAAGAATGTATGGTATGTATTGAATTTACTTTAAACTATCTGCATAAACATAACTCACAATTTGGCCGGGCCCTATATCTAATTTCAAGAAAACAGACGAAACTATGATTGACAAAACGATGAAAATGATACGGGATACTATTGAAAAAGGATGAAACATGTTGAGTAAATGTTTACCTTTCCGACCCACACGTAAGTCTTGTCCTTGGTGTCCAGCATAAATACACTATTACTGTTCAGGGAAGCCGCTCTGTCTTCTACCTATATTGGTATATAGAAAAATATAATTCAAAATTTAAAAGTTAATAAGTTTAAGCGTTACATGGTAGACAGTATACAATTGTTGCCTCTCCACAGGTCAACCGGCAAAATTGTATACCGAGACTGTAAACCGAGAAACTACTGTTGAGCCAGACCCTCGGTCTCTGTCAAGGTTTACAGTCGATTTATATGATTTTGACGGTTGACCGAATGAAGAGGTCTACAATTGTTTTGTTAGTCAGAAGAAACTAATAATACACATATAGACGACAATCATCAATCATGGCTTCATTTCACAATCTTCTCCGAACCACGCCAGCATTAATTTTTTTTTAATCTGAAGACAGTGGTAGCTAAACTCTCTGTTTTCGGCACATCACTGCGTACTCACTCGTAAATTACGTTCTACATCTTCCAGATTTGTTGAATTTCCTAGCAGAAATTGCCTGCTCCCCCCTCCGTCCCATATTCACGATCACCGGGCGTGACTTTATCCAGGGTACTCCAAAATATCATTCACACTTTTGACAACGTAACATTGTCTAACGACAGGAAGATCTCCCATTTTTTCATAGACCTGTCCTACAGACATGCAAGTTTTGTATGGTATACGTTTTATTTTGATATACCACCGTAATGAGAGCATGGGGTCAATAATTTGTGTTGTCCCCAAGCCACGCTCTTTGGTGCTGATTACAGTTAATGATTAAGTTAATTTCAAATTTAAGTTGGTAATAACCTTCAACAAATAGAAAATACACTTTTGGGCTCAGGATTAGCCTTCTGAGCATCGGCATCAAACATGTGATGCAGAGAAGTTGACTGGTGAAAGTTAAGTCATACTGGTGATACTGGGTCATACTGGTTTGAGGATGGACGTTCCTCTCCTGTGAACATGGACTGATACATTGAAGTTATAAGAAGAAAAATCATTCTGGCATTTGCGCGGAGGCGAGGGGTTAACATCGATTCTGTTATCCATTAGAAAGAAGAAGCAACGCCGTACTGCTCAAATGCTTCACCCCTGTAGTCAGACTCATCTCATATTGTATGGATCGCACCTGACCTGTACATTCACAAGACGAATCCCCTATTTTTGGTGGGGATACTTTAAAGGCAGGATCGATGCAAACAATCCCCAAACAATTGATGAGCTAAAGAATACTAAAACAGAGATTACTGTGTGTGCATGGAGTTTGGATTGAGCACATGACAAAAAAAATCATTAGAAAATGCTACGCAATTAAAAGTGTGAATGATTTTTGGACCACTATGTATATCAACTGAATAAAATATAAACTAAAGATATGCCATGAGTACCTGTAAAGCTCTGGTGAGGTCCTGTTCATTGCCTCGAATCTCAAACAGCATTGCTGTGGGGTTGTATGCAGCATGGTCTTTCATGCTACGGAATCCCTTGGATTGGCCAATCTAAAGAGAACATTTTAACATGTTAAAACATTATAACAGTGCATATAACACTGTTACTTAAATTTTTGTTACATCGTATCGTTTTGTCTTATATTCTAAGTTTCATGGTCATTTTTTCCTTGGTGTGATGTCAAAATCATTTAGTATACTTATTATGCTTTGGCTACGTATGTGAATCAAAATCCATAAATATAGGCTATTGAATAATGTCTTCCACATCGGGTTAATGACTTGTGAATCATACAACTGAGGGGTTGTATTAAAATTCCGAAAATGTACAATATATAATATGTAAATGGTAAATGAGCATGGTAAATAGCGATGTAAAGAGAATCAAACCATCAATATACATTTTTATTCACTTAATGTTCACAATTACGTTTAAATTCCCCTGCCCCGTTTGTATATGTATTACAGAGATATTATATTTCTTAGATATTATATTAATTAATAATTAATAACCTGGAATACAACCAGTCTGCCATGGAAGAGCTTTAGAAAATGTTTAGGCTCTTTGTTCATCACAACACGAATCTGGAAACACACGTCACAAATCACTTAAAGGATCTTTTTAATTATATGTCAGGTGGAATTTAGTTTAGAAATTCTGTAATTTTTGTTTTACCTGCACATGTATGTGATGTTATAACTGAAAATAAATCTGATATAGAAATATATAGAAAATTGAAATCTCAAACACATCGAATGATGATATGTGTATTCATGTTATGACCAAAATAAATGTGATTCAAATACATCAATCTCGAAATATTAGTATTAATGTATGTATTACTTATCTAGTATCGAATATCAGCTGTAATGCTATAATGATTTTATCTGCATTTAAAACACAAGAATTATGCTTTGCACTCAAGTTTTTTCATCAAGCCAAAAAATCGCCACAAGCCTACCTGCAGGGCTTGTCCTCCAAGATGATCATCCAGGGTAATGGTCTGTAGGGCTGAGGCTGCCTTATCCTCTGTGGTGGCTCTCTGGCCCTACACATGTATTGAAGTAAGTTTCATATTCGGTATATCAATTGCATTAGCATAAATAGTGTAATCCACTTTTCTCATCAAAGGTTAACAATTTCATTTTTGGTTGCATGGGCTCATCTCTTCAGTCTACATATCACAATATTCACAATCAAATTCATAAACAAATATAAATATAGGTACAAATTCTGAGGCTTTAGTTGTTTTTATATTTTCAACATACTTAGTTATAAGTAAATACCTAAATATAAGTTAAAAGTACCAACCTGCCAGAAGTATATGATGTATTTATCTTTTCCAGACTCATCTTTGTACATATATGCAACTATGTAACAATCCCCACCAAAGAATATGCCGTGTAATTCTTTAGGGATTTCTTCAAGATCATTACCCTCGATACGGTATATCTACAATATATGGAGGTAAGACTAAGTAACATAGTGTAAAAGGAGAAGGACCTAACTCAACGATTTATAAGGACTCAAACCCGCAATATCCCAAACTATGATAATGCACAATTAGAAAGATCTCTAAATTCACTTTTCTTGCAAGCCAAAAGTAGTTCGTTACTCCATGCTTTTACCTTGATTTCCCCTGAGCCGTCATCGGGCATGTAATCCTCAGATGTAGCTGGTCTGGTCATTTTATGTAGGTCAGCGCCATCTAAATTGTCATCTGATTGCTCTAGAAAAACAGAGAGATTATATTCCTGCAATCTCTAATATCCCTTCACATCCTACCTGTACTTGAATTGTCTCAATATTTCTAGACTATATTTCAGAATAGTTTGGGACTTTTTTTTTATCATACTACGTTTTTAATAATTTTAAAATATGGCATAAATTTTTGGGGATTTGGTTTTATTTCACGATACGATATTTATGTACTAAAGTAATTAGTTCTCTTCCTGCAGCCCTTGATCATTACATTGGTGACAGAGGTTGGATAATGAAAATGATGAAATTACCCAGTTCTAAACTAGTATTTTAAAACTACCTGCTACTTGATTTACTGTGCTGACATCTCCTAAACCCTTCTGGTCGGTGTCATCCTGCCATATCTCAAAGTATTGTTTAAATAGGGGTGATTCTCCGCCATCTGTCACACGTGTCATTGGAGTCCAGTCTGGATAGCCTCTGTAGTCTAGGAATTCCTTTATCAAGTATCAAGAAGATGATAGACATGTGTACATAATGATGACTTTCATTGACAGGGCCCCTCTCCTAAGGTAATACCTTGCCCGTAGCCAGGTTTTTATCATGGGGAGAGCTTTTTACACTTATGGCTCAAAGTTCGGTGAAAAGTGCTCAGTATGTTGAAAAACTGCATGATTTTGAAAGAATTTCTGGCCAGTTTCCGCTCTCCCAGCTCCCCTGGCTACGGGCCTGTCGTGAAGAGGGCTTAAAAACTATGCATGACTTTTAATAATGGGATAATTGTCAACAGTGGGATAAATAATTTATAAATTCCCGAATATACAGCGTTGTATGCTTCAAACCTGAGGACATCACACGATTTATTTTAATCATGGAACATAATAAAACTTCATATTTCCTTACTTCTGTATTTTTCCAAACAAACTTCTTGAAATCGATTGAACATTTCTTGCCAGTCCATACCCAGACGCCACCTATACCAGAGTCCAAGACATAACAGCACTAAAATAAAGAATTGTTAATTCAATATATCTTGATCTGATCCAATTCAAGATTTTAATATTGATAGAAATACAAACTAAATCAAATCCAAGTAAACATTTTCACAAGTCTGACCTTTAGTTGAACACTGAAGTGAAAGTGAAAATAAGAGGTTAACAACCAGGGGGTCATTAACAGAACTTTCGCAAAGTTAAGAATTCGTGATAAGACATATAGATGTCGCCACTATATAAACTATGTAAAGTCAGAGTAACATATAACTTACATTTGAATTGAGCATCCCCTTACTAAGGGGTCTCTGAGCCACTTCTTCTACTTGAATCTTCAGATTGTCATCGAATGAACATCGATAGAGACAGCACTGACTCTCGGGTCCTCTCTCGTTCTCGTTGTGGCGATCATCCGGGTCTCCAGCTTTAATTTCTTTGTCTTTGGAACCAAGCGCCTCAAAGAACTTTTTGTCTGATTCCCAGTTTTGTTCTAGAGGATCAATTATGAATCGATTTTATTTTGACGTATTGTTTATTCAGGTTATTTTTGTTAATAATATTGAATTTGTTCTCATTTTAGATATATGTTGCAGCAAATGGACATTTTAATTATTCTTTAAAAGTTTTACATTAATCTTTGATTAAATCCAAATCACTATTTACAAATTAATTTATGTGGCTTACAAAGGATTACATTTTTACATTGTTAACAGGGAGGTTAAGCTACGCGTTTTAAGAGAACTTATACGTGAACGTGTAATAGTATGACCCCTGGAACATACTGTCCCCATGACAATTTTTCCAGGGACCCAATTAAAACTATTTTTCTTATACCCTTTTCTTATACGCTCAATCGGGCAAGTAAATACTACGAATGAGAGAACGAATTCTTAGAGGACCATAATTCTAAAGGTTCACGTACAAGTTTTCTTATAGCTTAATTAACCTCCCTATTAATAAAAGGTTACACACATGTATATAGAGATACCAGATATTCAGTTTAAGTAAACATCAGTCATTCATTTCTTAATATAAAAAGTAAATTGGAGGGGTCAATTATAAGGGTTCAACAAGCATCAGACATGCGATTGCAACAGGCAGGGGGGGGGGAGATTTTGACACTGTTCCATGATATAATTTTAATTTTCAATAATATTTGGCGTAGATAATCAGGAATTCTGATGGAATGTATGGTAGGTTCTTAACTAATGATATAAATTAATTACAACAAGGTAGTTTCCGCATTACAGATATATAATCAATCCTCTCTGTGACCCCAGTTGAAGCAAAATCTAATGTAGCTAGAATGTTATTAAAAGTTATATTTCAGAAAAATCATAACATTATTTTAAGTGGTTATATATTTATGAATTATAAAAGTTTCATCCTAAATGAAAGTCTAGAATATATCTATGTTTCATTGCTTTATGAAAGTTTGTACCAAAACCTTACAGCATGTATATGTAAAAACGGTTTTCAATACAGCAAATTTTATGATACAACTTTTTATTTGTAAAGCCCGTATTTAATAGAAAAGCTTTAGGCATATTCTCAGCTTTGATAATAATAATAGAAGCTTATTATATCCAAGGCTTAATGCTTAATAAAAAATTTTTAAATCGCAACAAAATCTGTGTCAAATATCATAGCTAAATAAGCTAAAAAGCAAATTATTTTCACATGCACCTTGACTCAAATGACCAGTGTCATTCATTTGCCCAAAGTGAAATGATGAGGGCCATTTCTAGATTCAGATATCATGAATGAATTCAATCTGGTGCATTCTTTACAGCAAAACAATATATGTATTAAATTCACAAACACCAAAACGTTCTTATATTCTAGAAATGGCCACCTTAGACAAAGTACATCAAAATTGCACATTTACCAACGATGTAAATTTTAACTCTTCCTTCCCGATATGCATCTCGTATCAGACGGGCAGTCTGTAGGGTCTAAAGTGCAAATAGGTTAAATGCGTTAGTATGCGAATGGGCTAGTGTTATGAATGGGTTAAGGTAATAAATGGGTTGGTTAAATGGTATAATGTAATACATGACCATGGGTTTGAGTAATAAGTAGGTTAATGGAATCGGTAATAGATTGGTTAGTGCTGTGATTGGTATTGTGTAATATAATTAATAATCAAATAGAATGTTTCAGAGCATATTGAATTCAAACGCAAAATATCGTCATCGGCGAACCAGTTAATAGATAAAACAATATGGGGATAAAAGAAACCCAAGAGTTATTTCCCACCGTCTTTCTACAAAATATGCTAAACGCATGATTTAATTATTATAGCTTTTTTATAAATACATAGGTGTAATAAGAGAAAAGGGTGATGTTAACAATCGAGTAATAAGAGAAAAAGGTGATGTTAACAAACGATTAATAAGAGAAAAAGGTGATGTTAACAAACGATTAATATGAGAAAAAATTGATGTTAACAATCGAGTAATAAGAGAAAAAGGTGATGTTAACAAACGAGTAACAAGAGAAAAAGAAATAAGTGGTAAGACAAAAAGTGAGTGCTTGGGTTGGAAAGAGGATTCTGAAAGAAATCATCACGGGAACGGGATATTTGGGTGGGAAAATACTTCAGAATCTAATTGATAATCCCATCCCAATATAAAACATATAAGGAAGGGACAATGTTTTAAGAAGTATTGCATTATCCCTAAACTATACATCATGTCGGGATAATTCACTGATGTATATGGGATTGTATCGGAGTTGAAATCAACCATAGTCTAAATATTCACTTTTCAGAATTATTGGTGCTGAAACGGGATTATTCATCAAATCAGATACCTAAAGTACATGTATTATTAAGATAAATACAAAAGGTTACTAATAGATACAAGTTTGTCACTTTTACATGAACATTTAAAGGAATTCCTATCACATTTGCGACAGGTTGAATAAGGGACATCAGGGAGAGGGGCTTTGAAGGTATTAAGGGCGTGTTCTCAAAGCTTACCGACAACATATATTTTAGCTTTGCCATCTCTGTCATCTCGAATAGCTTTTGCCGCCAATGTGCCCTGTTGTATTGTGATATCAACAAAACATGTTCATCAATTAACGAAAATACACAGGACGTGTATGGCGTATACCCATAATCAGCATTCCACAATTGGGGTTAGAGTTTTTTTGATATTCAAGTAGTTCAAATTCAAGAGTGTTGCTAATAATAGGGCCAAAAATGAGGGTTTGCCATCTTTGGAAATATAATTACCAATTTTGACAAACCTTTTATTTTTTATAAGGAAATGATCACCAAGCTTTTTTGTCGTAGACAACTAACACATTGAACATAGAAAGGGCAATAAGGAGCACTGGTTTCATGTAAAATTACTCTTTAAAATAGGTAATTTTAACGGTATCAAGTATGTAATACTAAAATTACCTATCGTGGAGGGTATTTTACGTGACACAGGTGCAAGCTTGTTTTAAAAAACCAAAACATTAGTAAAACGGACAAGGCTACAATACTACAATTACACTTATTCATTAATGCATTTTAAAAAGTTGTAATAGAAATGTTAACATCGATAACGAAGTTAGTAGCCTATAGTAAGGAGATGACAATTTTGGATTCGTTTTCATAAACCTTTTTATCCTTGGCCACGCTGATAATACAATTCAGGACAGAGAATGTCATTTGTCAGATTGTATCAAAGCCAAGACAATGCCCCTGCCTGAGGTCTGAAGATAGATTACCCCAAATTTTAAATTTTTGACAATTTTTGATGCTGTAAAGGATTTTCAGTTTGATCTCCCCTCTTCCCTTAATTTTCAGGTCCTGTTAAAATGTGAAGTTGATAATGTTACTATTACAAGACCAATCCCTCTCGCCATACATAAGACTTGCTATAAAGAAATAAAATACAATTTCTGTATTCTGTATTAATCAAAAGTTGAGATTAAAATACTTACCTTAAGTTTTTCCATTCTGTTACTGTTAGGACCAATCCATACCCAGATCTCCTGACCACAGTCGAGTATGAAAACATCGTTCTTTGTTAGGGACGCACACTTACAAGGAACCTATAATAATATTATAAGTTATTGAATGATTTGAAGTGCAATACAGGATATTTTCTGCTCGAGAAATTCCGTAATGGATCGAGACGAAGTCGAGTGCCAATACAGAATATCGAGACAGAATATATCCTGTATTGCACTTCAAATCATTCAATAACGTTGTTATCGTGTGATCCTCTGTATTGCTACTGAGATTGTCCCCTCCGTACCGATATTTTCTGTATTGCGACGGAGATGATCAACGGGGACAATCTCAGTAGCAATACAGATTTTCACAGCACAAGAACTGACCAATCAGAGGGCTTCATTTTACAGATCATACGATAAAAAACATACAACGTTTAATAATTCTTTGGTTTCTTTGAAAAAGATCATTTGTTTGTAGACAAAAAAGTTTACATCGATTGTGATCTCACACCACTTATAGTATATGATATTAATGGAACAGTTATATTTTTAATTTGATTGTGGTGTCACACAACTAAATATATACATTTGTTAATGATATTATATGTGATATTTTGAATCAATGAGGAACAGGTACCTCTCTGACTCTAACGTTCCTCTTGCCCTTCACTTGTAGAAGTTTCTTCTTGAACTTAATGTCACTAACAGAGCTTAGTCCTGATTTCACACCTCCTTTAAGGTACCTGCACAAAACAAAATTTCTCAACCTTGTCTTCACACCATTATGAAGGCCTGTTTTATGGCATTATATAACTAATTTTACAAATTGTATATGGATTTATAAGGATATATCGGGTGTCCCAAAAAAATGAGACACTTTTTACTAAGTATTTTCTCGGCAACTAATAAACCAAATTCACTGAGAATTTGTACAAATTAGCCTGAGAGTATCATTAGCAAGTTGTACAAATATAAAACAAATCAAGTAAAAATTCCCCGAGTAATAAGAGATTCAAATTAGCATGTCAAATAGACCCATATCGGAGCTCTGCGATGAGTCACCTCTACAGTGTTTCTACCAGCTATCAGGTGATAGCATTTGTAAACAAGTCAAAATAGCTTGTCTGTGTGTCTCGTCTACTTAATTCATTTCATTCTTTCCAAATATCCAAAATCCATTCATTCTCAAAATTCATTTGAGGTGATATTGTTAAGAATAAATACGGAAAGGTATTTTGCATGAAAAGGATTAATAAGTGAGATTTACATCGATAATGATTATTTTTACATACTGTTTTTAATTCAACAGTACACACATAATATAAGGCCAATCTCTTACATATTCATAGCACGAGCAGAAGATATCCTAAAATGCCTCAAGTAAAGTTTTCAAATCATTTGGCTCATCTATTGCTGAGAAATCACTTGTCAAATTCCTTCCCCTTTTTGGTACAAACGCGATGAAAATTCTCATTGTATTGCTCCGGTATGGGACATTTTGATATGCTATGTTGAATTTCTTAATACTCGCATAAAATTTATCTGATCTTTGTCATATTTCTGTACCTTGCTAACGATACTCCTGGGCTACTTTGTACAAATTTTCCCAAAATTTGGTTCATCAGTTGCCGAAAAAATACTTGGCAAAAAGTGTCTCATTTTTTGGGACACCCGATATAATATGTAACTTGCAACATCAATAAAATGTCAAAAAAGAGTACATTCCTTTAAATACCGAAACGAGTAGTATAAAGCAGTACATTTATTTAACTTGACATGCTGCTTACTAAATGGAAGTGTTCAGTTTCTTAGCTTTGATATTTTTAAATGTTTTGCCTATATTTTTGGAATAATTTGTATGATAACTTGTGTGTTTTCTGGACAGTGTGTGCTAAGCAGGTACGACTGAAATTCACGTGAGCGCTTCATTTAGTAATTACAATGTGAACGAACGACAATTTTTATCCATGGTAATATTGTAGTAGGTCAACATTTAAAGCATCAATAAGCAAAAATGTCACAAACTGACTGGAATTTAAAAATTAATCATTTGTTTCAGATGTCGAACGCCGAAAACCAGGGTAACAAACAACAGAACTCACCAGATGAATATTTTCAAAAAAGGCTTCATTATTTTACCTGATACCAGCTTTGTAATATGAGAGGAACAGTTTAGACTCGTGATCCTGGACTTCACGATGTTGTATAGCTGCACCACCAAACATATTGTCAAGTTCAACAGACTTCATGGCAGCAATTGCTTTTTCATCTTGTGAACTATTCTGCCCGATCCAGAAATGAATGTCCCACGTCTTAGTTCTTGAGCCCTTTGTCTGGGAAAAAATGTTTCAATACAATTTGACATCTGAGTTATCAAATGCTACCTTGCAAAAATTAAAGCTTTCATAACAACATGCGAAGTAAGGATCGGTAACCCTTGTTTGCATATAGTGATTATTATGAACGTCGTAAACATTTGATTCTTTCACAAAAATTGGGAAAATTGCATGAATAAAGTACCAAGGAATATTGATTCTAATTATAGACTTGTATTGTGAAGTATATATTTTTATTTTTCAATTTTTGCCATTATCTAAACACAATAATTTTGACACGTATAATATGTAGCTGTCAATTTGTCATCATACTCACAGATAAAACGATGTAGGAGTCGCCATCAAAGAACTTGCCATTCATGGAAGGATCCTGCTTAACTACCTTCATATCCTAAAGTATAAAAAATACATATAGAGAACAATATAAAACGTTTAGTGCAATCTAGAGTATACAGTGTACGATAAATCATAAACTGCAATATAAATTACAGGGTGCACACTTATACAATATATAACATACAGTTAAACATAGAGCACATTACCTCGATGCGCCATGTTGTAAGGCCTTCTTCAACGCCAGCTCCCTCAAAGGCAGGATCAAAGTCATAGTCAAAGCCATTGCTTACTCCGTTCTCTTCAGGCATTTCTTACTCTGTAAGACATAATATCTTATTATTAGTAAAAGCCATTGCTAATTCCGTTATCTTCGGGCAATCCTTCCTCCTCAAGAGATAACATCGTATTATAAGTCAAAGCTTTTGCGAACTTCGTTCTCTTCAGGCATTTCTCACACTGCAAGACATAATACCTTATTAGTCAAAGTCATTGATTTTTCTTTTCTCTTTTTCATTGCAAAGGATGATCTAAAATTTACAACGGTCTAATGTTGGAATAACTTTATAAATGATGGTGAACTATTCTTAAATTTTCTAGTGTCCTTAAATTTCCCTGTGTAGTGCGAGAAACATTGAATTATAAAGCGATGGTCGATCAAACAATGACTAAACAGTCTTCAAACGTTTGATGATGAAACTGGGTATATACACTGATACATATTAACAATATTCACAAATTCCACAATGATATTCCACGAAGCCCGTACGTAAGGCGAGTTGAATACCATCTTGAGAAAGTATCCACTATGCATACTACCCTGCGTGCAGAGTCTAGTTAAACTAGATGAAGCTCTCTTTTAAGAAGTGAAGTCAAACGAATGCAAAGGGTATATGTATACTGTACACCTGTAATAAAAATGAAGCTAACGAAATGCAGTTCACGGAAATGCTCTCATTTCAAAGTTTTGTATTATTTGTTCACGAAATTTTCACAAAACATCAAAAAAAACTTTGAAATGAGAACATTTTCTTATTGAACAACCTGGTAAGTATTTATTGTAATAGTGTACCACTGAAGCTAGAACATACTTTATGTAAAATGCATTTCTGGTGAGGTGCTTTTAAAAGGCAAAAAGTGATTTTAAAGAGCTTTATTTTTACTATGGTTCTATGTTATGTGGAAATATTTTTTCATTGCAATTATAAAATTAATCAAGTAGAGTGCGATACATAATATTAAAATTATAATTTTTTCAGATATAATTTTGATAAAGTTTTGATCCTATGCTGTGTATATATGAATGTGTATGTATATACATATCGAATTTCTTATCACATTAATTAAAATTAAAATAGCATCCCTACTCCAAAACTTCTAATACAAGGTTTAAGCTTTTCAATAGATTTATAGTGGCGCAGGCTTTGAATACCATAGCTACACTTTAGTTATACTTTCTTCGAATTATCAGATAAGTGTACGTTCTATGATGTAGACCTGATAAACTTGAGCTGAACCCATGTATAAAAGTTCGGGATGGATGTCATTTCAATTGAAAATAAAGTAGAAATGAGTGGAACTAGCAAGTGGTTAAGTAAACAAACACATAGTCAACACTCTCAACTTCATAGCAATTCTTTATAATGTTCTATATTGAAGAAAATGTGAAAAAGTGATATCTCAAAGAGACATTTCAGGCTTGGGATAACTTGACATATGTACATAACTTGTGATTATTGTTCATGCATATGTGCATACTATGTACAAAATTGTGAAGTTACACTCCCTTCCATAAGTTTGGAAACCAGACGTTTTCTTTGGATAGCTCATCAAAGGCCCTCAAATATTTAATGTTTGAAAGTCAATTATCGTTATTTTCTACAATAGTCGGAAATGTATGATTTTTATTCAATGTTTGAAAATCAATTCGGAAATTTATAATTTTATTTTTAATCGCCCAACCTGAACAAGGATGATCGGTGTCTATTGGACGCATATATACACGTTGATAATTCCTTTGTACATTGTATTTCAGTAATGTTTTGTTTATGTTAATTTCAAAAGTTTTTCATACACAGGATAATAAAAAGATCGGAGCAAATGTGACCACAACATAAATGAACGAAACTATGAGACACTCGGTTATGGCCATTGCGATGGCCATTTTGAATTCATGTCCCAAGTAGGTTTGGTTTTACCATTATAAACTATTTTAAAAGCAAGCAGCATATAAGCAGTACAAATAGAGAAACTCAACCAATCAAGACAGAGATAATTAGATTTGGTAGACTTAGAAAGACTTAGCAATCGGTTAGAAATGGATATTTTTACATGGTATATTTCTAACTGAAAAGTGTGAATCTGAGATTGAAAGAAACAGTTTCAATAAATATCTCAATTAACGAGCAATCGTATAAAATGCATAAATGTAGGAATGCTTATCGCACCAATGCTTGTCACATTATAATATATCACATCAATGCTTGTCACATCAATTTCTATAACATCGATGTTTATCAATGCTAACCAATCCTTGCCACACCAATGTTAATCACATTAATGCTTGCCACACCAATGTTAATCACACCAATGCTTGCCACACCAATGTTAATCACATCAATGCTTGCCACACAAATGCTTCTCAAATAAATGCTTGTCACATCACTATTTATCATATCAATGCTTGTCAAATATATTTGTCATTTGAATGTTTGTCATATCAAGATTGTTTTACCATGTCTTCTTTGTAAAGACTTATTAATATTTAATTTTTTGTATTCAATAACATTGAATCAATTTAAAATTTGAATTAATGACTGAAATAAGACAATGATATGCAATAAAACATTACATTTTGTGGTACTTTACTATTATAGCGAAAACTGATTTTTCTTAACAAGGTAATAATACTTTAAGACCGATCTACAAATGAAAATGCACTGAAAGACTAACCTATTAGAAACCAGCTCACTTATTTAATTAATGGTCTGATATTGATTTAAAATCGTGCACCTTACTTTGAGTACAGTGACATCTGGTCGGTTCATTTGACAGTTTTTAACCAAATTATGAATAAATACTATTTACTATAATTTACTAACTATTTTCTATAATTTACTTACATTTATGTATAAAGGAGTCCAACAGATCCAAGTGTGTGTATTAACCAGCAATGCCAGAATATCTCAAGGACTTTGAACTTTGCAACAAAATAAGATATGGGACCTGATTAATACACTGAATTCAAGAGTTGGTCATATACGGCAGTGTTGCGTACACATTGACAAATGTAAGTCTTGATAAGTTACCTGCTGGTGGTCTTCTGTTATAAGAGTACAATATTACATCAATTAATGATTCTGTTGGGTTCTCTCAGTATTGATTCTGTTGGGTACTCTCAGTAATGATTCTGTTGAGTACCCTCAGTAATGATTCTGTCGGGTACCCTCAGTAATGATTCTGTTGCCGGGGAACTCTCAGTAATGATCTGTTGAGTACTCTCAGTAATGATTCTATTGGGTTCTCTCAGTAATGATTCTGTTGGGAACTCTCAGTAATGATCTGTTGGGAACACACATTTTGAGTCTTTGTGACTGTCATTTAGTTTTAATAGCTACCATTTGAAAATGATCAACAAATGAATCTCAATTGAAATTAACTTTGGTAATTAATGTTTAATTAATTGATTAAATGCCATTTGAATTTGAATGAATGTCATTTGATATTTGACTGACTAATAAATGCCACACATCGACACAATGACGTGTAGTAAACCTAAGAAAGAAGATCCTATTAAATCATGAATTGCTTGTACATGTTCTAAATGGGATGGGTATTTCTTTCAACAATAAGCTCTTCAAATTGTCTTACATAGTTGTAAATTGCACGAGTTTTGAGATAAAAAATCTAAAAATTCAGATTTATTTTTTCCATTTTTAACCATCTATGCTACACTCCACTACAGTGTAAACTACACTACACTATAATACATTACATTTATACTGCATTACACTACACTACACTATAGTTGGTTTAAACACAACTTCAGCAGATTCAATACATCTTTTATCCCACCACTTTACACTATATAATTTGTAATGTATAGAAATGAGCCGCCACCCACAAACAAATATCAATAAGTATAACTAGACATGTAAATTGAACAAGTTCAATTTAAGACTCCAGATTTCAGACTTTTTTTAAGCTGAGTCATCCAAATACTTGTAAGCTGAGTCATTCAGAATAGGCTGAGTCAGCTAGAATATAGACATTTAGACAACTCTTAAGAATGTTATCTTCGACTCCATTGGCTTAACATGGGGATATCATCATATCGACTTTTCGAGACTTCAAACCGCTATAACTATCTAATCAGAAGTTGGATCGAAATTTGACTTAAAGATTCTGATTCCTGAGAAAATTCTACCCTTAATTCATAAATCATACTTTAAATTTGGAGAACTTTTTATTTTGACCTACTTTTCAGACACCATATCTCAAAAGTGGGTCAAAATACTCTATGACGGCAGAAGGCTTACACTATAAGCACACTCTTTGCTACCTGTATACAAAATTTCGAAGCAAATCATTAAAGTGTAATGTCAGAATCGCAAAAATAAGGAAAAACTATGATTTTGACCTAGATTTTGACCTAGGCATTTTGGTGTCCAAATTTTAAAGCTAGATAGCCTTCGAGGTCCCCTTCTTTTATAGGCTTTCAGAATGTTAAGCTGTACTCAGTTTATATCTGGTATTTTACACTTCAAAAAATATTTTTTCTCATTGACATAACATGGGGCACCAAATTTAGCGATTTTTGAGCTTTCAAAACGCCATAACTTCCGAATCGAAAGTCGGATTGAAATTTGGTTTGCAGATTCGGATTTCTGGGAAAATTCTACCCTTAATTCATAGCTCATATGTTAAATTTGGATAACTTTTTATTTTGACCTACTTTTCGGACACCATATCTCAAAAGTGGGTCAAAATACTTTCTGACGGCAAAAGGCTAACACTATTAGCACACTCTTTGCTACATGTATACAAAATTTTGAAGTAAATTATTAAAGTGTAGTGTCAGAATCGTAAAAATAAGGAAGAACTATGAATTTGACCTAGATTTTGACCTAGGCATTTTGGTGTCCAAATTTTGAAGCTATGTAGCTTTTGAGGTCCCCTTCTTTTATAAGCATTCATTATGTTAAGCTGTACTCAGTCTATATCTTATATTTTACACTTCGAAAAAGTCTTTTTTCCCATTGACTTAACATACAAATTTAGCGATTTTTGAGCTTTCAAAACGCCATAACTTCTGAACCGGAAGTCAAATCGAAATTTGGTTTTCAGATTCGGAATTCTGAGGAAATTTCCTATAAGAATGATATCCTTGACATTGGATTCGGAGAACTTTTTTTTGGACCTCGTTTTCGGACACTGATATCTCGAAATCGGTTTGAGATACCAAAAAACTAAATCGACTCTAGATTTTCTACTTTTTTATTAGGAACAAAATGAAAAAAACCCGGATCAAAAATATTGAAGGACGACCGAGATAATGGGAAAAAGTGATAAAGTACTGGATTTGACCTAGTTCTTGACCTTTGACCTAGAAAAAAATTTGACCTAATTTCCCAGAAAGCCAGATACATTCCCTAGTCAACCATGTAGGTTGGATTAAGTAAGATGTTATAGTTGGAGAGAAAATCTGTTAGGAGGAAGAAAGAAAGAAAGAGGAATAACTAGACTTTGGAAATTGAACGAAGTTCAATTTCAGACTCCAGATCTAGACTTTTTTAAGCCCAGTCATCTAAAATAAGCCGAGTCATCCAGAATAAGCTGAGTCATCCAGAATAAGATGGATGGATAAAATAGGAAGGTAGGATAGGATAGAATGGGAAGGAACGATAGGATAGAATAAGAAAGAAGGATAGGATAGAACAGAATAGGAAGAAAGGATATGATAGGATATGATAGGAAGGATAGGAAGGAAAGGATACGAAGGAAGGATAGATAGGAAGGATATGATAGGATCAGTTAGGAAGAATGAATGAATTTTTCAATATTTTTTTCTCTACTCTTGACTTTCTATCAGGATACCATCAGATCGATTTTCCGAAATTTCAAAACGCCATAACTTCCGAACCTGAAGTCGGATCGAAATTTGATTTAAAGATTCGGATTCCTGACAAAATTCTACTCCTAATTCATAACTCATACGTTAAATTTGGCGAACTTTTATTTTGACCTTCTTTTTGGACACGCCATAATTTCGGAACCGGAAGTCGGATCGAAATTTGGTTTGCAGATTCGGATTCCTTAGAAAATTCTATCCTTAATTCATAACTCATACGTTGAATTTGGAGAACTTTTTATTTTGACCTACTTTTCGGACACCATATCTCAAAAGTGGATCAAAATACTTTCTGACGGCAAAAGGCTAACACTATTAGCACACTCTTGGCTACATGTATACACAATTTCAAAGAATATTATTGAAGTGTAGTGTCAGAATTGCAAAAATAAGGAAAACCTTTGAATTTGACCTAGATTTTGAACTAGGCATGTTGGTGTCCAAATTTTGAAGCTAGATGGCTTTTTAGGTCCCCTTCTTTTAAAAGCTTTCATTAAATTAAGCTGAACTCAGTCTATATTTCGAATTCTTCACTTCAAAAAAATCTTTTTTCCCATTGACTTAACATGGGCACCAAATTTAGCGATTTTTGAACTTTTAAAACGACATAACTTCCGAACCGGAAGTCGGATCGAAATTTGGTTTGCAGATTCAGATTCCTGACAAAATTCTTATCCTAATTCATAACTCATACCCTGAATTTGGAGAACTTTTGTTTTGACCTACTTTCTGGACGCCATATTTCAAAATCGGTAAGAGTAATTAAAAAAAAACAGGGACACTTATGAAAGGGCTTTTCCTAAGCTACATGATGAAAAAAAGACGAAGACGTTTCGATAAATAATGACGAAGATAATTGATAGAATGTTGAAAATGTAAGATTTGACCTAGTTCTTGACCTTTGACCTAGATAAAAAATTGACCCAATTTCCGAGAAACTAGATACTGGACCTAAATTGAACATATACAGGACTTGACTCAATGTCTTCTAGTTAAGGAGAAAACGTAGGTAGAAGAATAATAATAATAAAGAAGAATACTGGCAAAAACAATAGACTCCAGATTGACATCTGGAGTCTAATAAGAAAACAGGCAAAAACAATAGACTCCAGATTTTCAATCTGGAGTCTAACAAGAGATAATAATTACCAGTAAGTAAAATATCGTGCTGTTCAATTTTATACCCAAAACAGCGTAAGAATAAATGTATTAGCCATTAAATGAATTAAACGGGAATGAAGAGAATCTTGAAATTGTTTAAAAATGCCCAAAAAATTGTTGAGCTTCTCAAAACCTTAAGAGAAAGTTAAGTAAATAAGAATCCCCAAGAGAGTTTTTAAGTATGGGATTAGTCTAGAACTGACTATATAACTATCTGGTTAGTCATTGAATATATATGGCGCTATTGGAAATCAACAGCAAACAATAGAGATAGGAAATATTATGACACTATACTTACGATTGATGTGTTAATAATTTGCCCGCACAACAAATTTTGATGCTAAAATTCAAAATGCAATGTACAGAGTACAGAGTGTCTCAAAAAATTTTTGCAAGTACAAAATTCTCAATATTTTTTATAATTTTAGCATTTACCCTAAAACGTTATTTAATACTTAAAGAGCAGACTCTCTTGATTAATTTGACACCAGCAGATTTAAAATCTGTCTATGTTTGACTGCACATGACAAACTTTATACACTCATGTGAAATCTGACTTGCGCCAACTTCTCAGTGGTTAAAAAAACAAAGAACGAAGAGAAAGCATTCCTTCGACAGTTAATTTTATACACAATTGAAGATTGACATTTTACTGATTAATTCTGCAATTTTCCAATCTGTATTTCGCTGCATGGCTGCCGTACCCATCGTCTTAAACATTTGCTCGCCTCAACATATCCCTACAAGCACGTGTGGTAAGCTCCGTTTCTTCTCGTACCAAACGGACTTTATCAACTGTTCTTTGATAAGGTTCATTCAGATCAATTGGGGGTGTTGTGAAATCCAGGTGCGTTAAGTCGGGTGAACTTGGGGATCACTCGACTAGGTTATTAAATGCAAAGATTCGATTCCTAAAGAGTTTTGTCACAGTCCTTCACTCAGTACTGTCAACCCCCAAAGATTTTCTCGCGGGACAGATTTTTTAGACCCAGTGCCCAAAATTCGCGGGATTTTGCGGGACATCTACTAAATTCGCGGGATTTCGCGGGACATTTAAGGGATTTGCGTGATTGCGCCTTTAGGCCAATTTTTTTTTATCAAATTCGCGGGATTTCGCGGGACCATTCGAGGGACAAACACCCTAATTGCGGGACAGTTAACAGGTTTACCAGCAAAAACTTCATAGAGGGACAGATTTTCTAGAAAAAGTGCCCTAAATTTGCGGGATTTCGCGGGACATCCACCTAAATTTGCAGGATGTCCCGGGACATAAAAGGGATTTGCGTGATTTGGACTAATGTAAAAGCGTGTAAAAGTACTTGAATCAAACTTTCAGATACTGATTAATCAAATATAATGCACCGTTACATTGTAACTTAAATAAACGTCAACATAATTTCACAAAATACGCATAGAAATATTATTAAACTTTATTGTAATTTATCAAAAACACGAAACCATGCTTGAGGTCAAGGAGGATTGGCTCCCAGAATGCAACACCGATATTCTGCAAAACAATCACCTAGCGATAGCTTTGTTGGAGAGTATCGGGTCATTCTCCATGCAGTCGTACAAATTATACAGACACGAATAGCAAATGACGCATGCGTGGAGATTAAAGAATATCGAGTTGGAACCCTGGCTTCCAATCCTCCTTGCTTGAGGTGTGAGTATCGTAATCTAACACGAAATTCAAAAATTTGGAACAATACTTTGCACTTCTGGCGTCGTGACCAACTACTACCATACTGTAGGCATGGGCTTTCAATTGAAAGCCCACGATATAGGAGTTCGATTAATCTACATCAAATTATAGGGAATGAGGTTACTTTTCTAGATAGGGTTTGTAGAAAAAAACGGGTACCGGGTAGTAAATCCTCCATGCTGGGTTCAAACTTTTTTTTTTTATTCCTTCATTCTTATTTATGTACATGTAAATATAAATATGTACATGTAAATGTAATGCAATTAATAATATAAATAAAATTTACGTAGACAAACTTTGTACCCGGTCGAAAAACCGGGTACCCAAAAAACGAAATAGACGAATATACAACATAATTAGATCATTAGAAAACGTGTAAGATTTGTTTTGAATTTACAAAAATGTATGTAACATCCTTCAAATTGAGCTAGAAGGTTCAAATAAAAGGCATTTTAAGCCTCTTTTCTTCCTCTATCATCATGGTCATATTTCCATTGGTAATGAAGGGGGAGGGGGTGCGATCGCACCATCACACCCTCTCCTGGCTACGCCAATGACATTGTAAGACGATTTGAATAACAAGACAAATCAATTTTACTCTATTTTCAATGAGTTCGTATGTTGGTACGTGAACATAACCAATGAAAATATGGTCAGGACGATAGAGGAAGAAAAGAGCCTTAAAATATGCTTTTTATTTGAAGCTTCTAGCTCAATTTTGAAGGATGTTACATACATTTTTGTAAATTCAAAACAAATCTTACACGTTTTCTGATAATCTAATTATGTTATACTCGTATATTCGTATTTTTCATTTTTTGGGTACCCGTTTTTTGACCGGGTACCGGGTACCAAGTTTGAACCCAGCATGGAGGATTTACTACCCGGTACCCGGTTTTTTCTACAAACCCTTTCTAGATATCAGCGTCCATTTATTGTAACTCGCGTTTGCTAACATTTGCTCAGTTCTGAGATGAAGGCCACACAGATAGCAAAAAGGCCAACGTTGGAACTATTTGTGACCTACATCCCTATTGTCGTAATTAAAATGAAAGTTAAACCCTTCCTCTTTATTTTGATACCAAACAACAGCATGCTAGGTACTTGAAATTAGGTAAACTTTACTCCTCAAAAGTGCAAAAACTTAGCTTCTTATATAAGATAATCACCATATAGGGGATTGCAACAATTTCGGAAATTCGCGGAGGTCGAAAGCCACATTTGCGGGACTTCGCGGGACATTGCGGGACACGCGAATTAGCCTAATTTTGATCGAATTCGCGGGATAATCCCGCCATTCGCGGGACACTTGACAGCTCTGTTCACTTGTGAAGGGTACACTGTAGTGTCATCCTGTTGTCACCACCCATTCCGAAAATGACCATTCTGCTGGTGCTGGAATCTTGGAATAAGGTCCCGGAAAGGCATGACATGTTCAACCACTGAGAAGTTGGCGCAAGTCAGATGAGTTCATAAAATCTGTCCTGTGTAGTCAACCATAGATGGATTTTAAATCTGCTGGTATCAAATTAACCAAGAGAGATTGCTCTTTAAGTATTCAATTGTGTTTTAGGGAAAATTCCCCAAATTTGAAAGATATTGACCATTTTGTACTTGTAACATTTTTTGAGACACTCTGTAGATCTAAAATGGAGAAATTACAGGAGTTACTCTAGCATTCTAGTTTATACTCTACATTGTGAACTTGCCTCGGATCAATTCCTGTTACAATGATATACGTGAGGCATGATTAACATCATGTCAGGAAATTCCATTGTCCACCCGCTATGGCTCAGTGGCAGAGTCAAGGTTACCACGCTCGTCGCTTGGCCCAGGGTTCGATTCCCAGTTCAGACAAGTAGTGTTTGTGCGTTCATGATGTAATTCTGGGTGTTTGACTGTGTGGTTCACGACTCGTATAAAAGGCTGTGGTTTGTACATGTATGGATGTCTATTGTCTATGTACCCGCGTGTACACAAAAGAACACAGGGCTCCTCCAAGGAGGGGTTTCCTCTGTCTTCTAGTGTAAAATACGTAAATTACGGAATACTAGTATACCAATGAGGTATTGCTCGCCATACATGTATATGGCGGTAACCAAGATACAATACAGGAGTTTAGCATAGCTAAATAGTTGGAAATACTCTATAAACAGCCAATAGATTTTCAGGAAAATAATTTTAGGCCTGAAGCAGTTCCCCATTGAACCAACATGTAAAACACATTTATACTCTGATTTTAACATCATAATGATATCATTTCTGTTTCTTCATTCATTTTTAGAAATTCAACATATCCTAGGCTAGGTGATCTTATAGGCTATATCATTGGCTTATGAAGTTTTTTAGTCTTTTAAAACATTGTAAATAATGAAAAATAAAGATGAACATTGGCTATTTTATTTAAAGTATTTGGCTTCCCGGGGGTCAATAAGTTTATAATATATAGCCACCCTGAGTACTGCTTGTCTTAAGTGCAGCTTGAATTACAATGTGTGTAGGGGCAATCTTAATGTCTACTTATGAATATATTCTTGTACACAAATCAACATTCGAAGTTACATTCCAAGAAAAACACGAAGCACATACATACAAAGAGGTAGTCCAACAACATTAGACCTAGCCTGGGCCTCGTTTCTTATCTGACATGTCTTATGGCCCCGGCTAGGTCTAACTTCCATGATGATTTTGCCCTTGATGCGATCATTTAATCGTTCAGCAGGTTTCGACATGCGGAACGAATTAACCGTAATAAGATGGTATCGTTACAGAAATAATGTGATCAACGCATGCATACATACCTTATGAATAAATACAAATCATCACATACCCCCCTGTAACCTCATCGATATATAATTATGAAAATGTTGGGAGAAGGCTTTTTCTTAGTTTAGAAAACTCTGTTCTGGTTCCGGTAACATCGAAATGGCAAATCCTTTCAGGAATAAACCGCCGTTAGCAACACTGAACGAAACAAGTTCATAAAACGAAACGAACCCCGGTTATCCGATATATAAGTACAAAATATTGTAATACTGTAGGAGGCTTGCGATAAACATTGAAGTTATTAAAATGTAACAATTATTACAAAGCATGTATGCTGAGTAAAATACATGATCCCAGTTATAAACAATTGAGTGTATTCCTAGGTACGTTTTAATTTTGCAAGCAGAAAACAATAAACACATAGGCACAATTATTCAACACAATCACAATCTAGCACAATCAATGACATCTATATTTCTTTGAGCTGAAATTACCAGTAATCAAATGCATTAATAATGTTGCGAGTATTGCTTTTTAAAGTTTTTATAAATAACAATAGAGTAAACTTGGGTGAATACACGCGCTGTTTGAATAAAGCAAAGATTCATGTCATACTGGATGGTTATAATAAATATCAATATTGAAGAACAATTTCGTTTCGCTGACCAAGTTTACTTTGGCGACGCACAGACAGACATTGCCGGTTGAAATATTCGTCTCATAAATTGGTAAGAATAAGACTCATTTTACGATTAAAAATGAACATTTAACACAATAATATTATGTGAAATCGCCTGATGAAATATGGTTTTATATTATTGTTAAGTATCAGTGTCATATTAGCGAGGAAAAGTGGTTTCGATAGATCCACAACTTGCATCAAAGGAAAGAATAGCATGGAGGTTAAACTCAATAATGGCCCCAAGAAAAAATTCCTAAAAGTAAAAAACGCCGTTATTGAGTTTAACGACGTTGAACTAACAAAGAGGAAGTGTTATTAAAAGGGAAAGTTTAGTTCAATAGTTTGGCTTGTTTGAATTTTGTGATACCATTTTGGCAGGCATGCGCAGTTTGTTAGATTTTGCGGCTTCTGCGCAGCTGAAGGAAAATCCAAAAATAAAAATTTGAAAGTGTATTTATTTGATGTTGCAGATTTCTGTTCGCAATTTAAAATGCGTTAAATGAAAAAATAAGATGACCCACCAGGGCTGCAAACATTTGCGTGAATTTAAGTCCACAGATGGAACTGGGTCATATCGAATTTTGGTTTCCTATTTTGTGGCATGTTCATCAACGGAAGCAAGAAAGAGAAAGGTGAATAGCAGTAATGTAGCACAGACAGCAATATATATCCTCTATATATACACGATTCGAAGTCTGGTTACTTCGAAAAATATGTATTCTCATTTTCATATTTATTCTTTTTCTCAAGTGGGTGCAAAATTCTCATTTTCACAAATTCAAACCAAGTTCAGTCTAAACTTCAGACCAAAATTTATCAAAATATGCCAATTTTTGATGATTTTTTTCATTTTCAAGTGGGTGCAAATGGATTTTCTGGTGGGTCCAAGCCTGTTTAAATATCAGGCAAGTGTTGCACCCACTTGCTAATGCTGAGGAGATCGCTGTGCAAGGAGCTTTATTGGCACAGAGATTTGACTGGTATAATCTATAGAGCTGTATAATTTATTTTTATTTAACTTTCAATCATATTTGCAACTCCGAACTTCTTGGTGATCTTGACGTCATGTCGCAATCCAGCAATATTGCCAAAATAGCAAGACATTGTGCGCTGTATACTGACTCTAGGGATCACTGGTCAACTTTTTGTAACGGGGGTGCCGCAGAAATTCAAAATATCTACCCACATCTAGGGATTTTTTCTCTTGACATGATTAAATTCAAAAACTTTGCGAATTTGTTAATTTTGATGAAAATCAAGTTTTTCTCTGTCCAGATTTTCATAAAAATGAGAAAAATTGTGTTTATGTGAACGTTGCATTTTATCTTATATTGCTTTAAATAGTATTAGCAATTTGGAGTATATCACATCTAACTTGATATAGATGCGCAGGAAAATTACTTAATTGCACAATTTGCACTCAGTAGATGCATTAGGTGCTCTTTTGAATCAATTTTTCTATGTGTCTTCAAAACTTCCATCAACATTCAATATTTTTATAATCTGAACTCATTTCTATTTTTCAGGCCAAGTCTTGTATTTGTCACAGCTGTAGAGTCATATCCGCACGTCTTCATTCCTGTCTCTCTTGTGTTTACTTCGGGTGCTATGGCGGCAATGACCATATTAAGCAACACGCTACAACAAAAAGACATAATTTCGGTAATGGTCCTCATTAGATGTGGTATCAGCTATTGACCATGGTTTATGGGAGGTTCTTTTGCCTTAGAATTGTATTCTATTACTGTATATGAAATTAAAAAAAGGACAAATTCAATTTTATTTTTTCATGCTGAACTGATTGGTTTAGTTGCTTATACAGTGTGGGTCGTATCAACTCGACAGTAGCCCTGGTGGATGTAAATATTTAGAGTTGAGTGTAAAATTGAAGTGACTTGCCACACTGTCAAGATGAAAAACATAAAATTCACCATTTTTGAATATTATAGAACTAAGTCAAGTTTAAGTACTTTCATATACATTACTTTCTTTTTAAAGATTTTTATTTACAAGAAAACTGTGAGTATACATAGTACTATAATCTATTATCAGTGGCAACACTGTGGTGAAAAACAAGTTGATTGCCACTTGGCCAGTGACAGAAATATCCTAAGACCCACACTGTTATATAGATGGAGCATGGGCTTTCAATTCTAGTTGAAAGCCCATGGATAGAGCAAGTAAGATGGAACTTTGTAACCACTTAGAAATAATTTGTTTCAGCCTGTATTGTATTGATCTCTAAAAAGTACCAGATAAACCAAAGTCACATATGAAACCATCGTGAAGATAATCATACCAGTATGGGAATGATAAAATGCTAATTTATATTTCAGCTGTTGATCTCTCCCATGGAGCTGTTTTCTGCTTCCTCTGCAAGGACTACATTTATGACGCTGAATTTGATGAAATCTTGGCCATGTCTCGTAAAGCATCTAAGCAATCAATAGGTATGTAAAAGAACACGATAGATAGAAGATTGCTTATGAATCCATTGGCTATTATTATGTCACTGTCTAACTTTTAATTGCACTATTCGTCAAAATCACACAATTGCAAGCTTGTCATGAAAGATCTAGTGATATCCACTGTTCACACTTATCAAATTAGACAACCGGTGAATATTTAGGCATATTCACCCAAGTGGCAATTCCAAGTAAAAGGATTAATTTGTTCAGTGTAAGTCAAGGTTTAAAGCATGACAGAAGTGAAGATTTAAACAAATATCTTGTCTGAAAAAGTCAAAAGTAATTGAAAATGGGCTCACTAATCGGGTTACACTAAACGTAACACTTAACGATGTTCAAAGTTTATACTAATTGTTGGAGGAGACTGGGAACTATATCGAGTACAAAAATGTGAACTGATCACAAAGTTAAATGTTTTTGTGAAGTGTGAAATTAAGTCAGGGATCATAACAGAGCCGGCACTCTGTCAAATGTAGTGTTAGGACTGGACATTATGTCAAATGTAGTGTTAGGACTGGACACTATGTCAAATGTAGTGTTAGGACTGGACACTATGTCAAATGTAGTGTTAGGATTGGACACTATGTCAAATGTAGTGTTAGGACTGGACACTATGTCAAATGTAGTGTTAGGACTGGACACTATGTCAAATGTAGTGTTAGGACTGGACACTATGTCAAATGTAGTGTTAGGACTGGACACTATGTCAAATGTAGTGTTAGGACTGGACACTATGTCAAATGTAGTGTTAGGACTGGACACTATGTCAAATGTAGTGTTAGGACTGGACACTATGTCAAATGTAGTGTTAGGACTGGACACTATGTCAAATGTAGTGTTAGGACTGGACACTATGTCAAATGTAGTGTTAGGACTGGACACTATGTCAAATGTAGTGTTAGGACTGGGCACTATGTCAAATGTAGTGTTAGGACTGGACACTATGTCAAATGTAGTGTTAGGACTGGACACTATGTCAAATGTAGTGTTAGGACTGGACACTATGTCAAATGTAGTGTTAGGACTGGACACTATGTCAAATGTAGTGTTAGGACTGGACACTATGTCAAATGTAGTGTTAGGACTGGACACTATGTCAAATGTAGTGTTAGGACTGGCTAATATGTCAAATGTAGTGTTAGGACTGGACACTATGTCAAATGTAGTGTTAGGACTGGACACTATGTCAAATGTAGTGTTAGGACTGGACACTATGTCAAATATAGTGTTAGGACTGGCCACTAAGTCAAATGTAGTGTTAGGACTGGACACTATGTCAAATGTAGTGTTAGGACTGGACACTATGTCAAATGTAGTGTTAGGACTGGACACTATGTCAAATGTAGTGTTAGGACTGGACCAGAGGTTTAGATCCCCACTCGTATACTCGTAATTTGAAGAGTAATTTGTCAAACTCAACTTATTTGTTTGTAGCTTTACATCCCCTTTTAACCACACGTTTTGTCAAATATAGAGACGTTTTTCCAAAAAGTTTAAAACTTTTTCCAGTTAGGACTGGACAATGATATAATGAAATAAATATTTCACTCGCTTTTGGAGAATACTGTACATGTAGCACTTTCACAGTTGATACTCCATGAAGCCTGAATACCACTTGTGAAAGATGCATAGGTATTCACCTTATTAGAATCAAATATTTGTTTTTATTGTTTGTTTTAACACAGGGACATATGGATATGAAAATAGAAGAGGCAAAAAAGCGTGGAAAAAATTTTGGGCCCCTAAAACCCCAAAGTGGGCTCAAATTTTGAAATTTTGAGGCCCATTTTCTTCAAAATTTGGCTTTGAAATTAAAAAATAAGGCCTTAAAAGGCCCACTTTTTGGGGCCTTAAGGCCTTTTTTGGCCCAAGCCCCCAGCCCCCCCAAGATCCGCCAGTGTACAGGGTGTAAAGACATTTTCAGTAGTGTTCTAGGTCATTTTTGTTGGCTCACACAGTGAGCCTATGAGATCGACCAGGCGTCCGTCCGTTGGTCCGTCCGTCCGTCCGTCCGTTGGTCCGTCCGTCAACATTGGCCGCACAAATTAAAACTGCTATTCGGATTGAGTCATATCCACAGTCATTTTATGCATAGCCATAATGCCTATTTGACCTATCGTCGCCATTTCCCAAGTTCGCCCGGTTTCCGAGAAATAACTTGTAGTAGTTGCTGTATATGCAACTTATGTCCTCTGAAGATTTCAAAGCTTTAGGAATTACAGTTTTTGGTGCTTACTCTATAAAATTTGACAAAAAGTAGGACTTTGTCATTTTCAGGAAACTTTCTTATGTATAAAGTCAATGGCAGGTTTTGTGATTGACAAGTTTCTCAAAGTTTGCCTTATACTTGATCATTTCTTGCAATGAATTACATCATAACTAGATTTAAGCATTCCCTACATATTGCTTAATATATGTCAGCATCAAATTTTTACCGTTTTTGAGATATTTGACGTAAAAAAAACACAGTAAAAATAAGTTATTTTTCAACTTGCTTCAATTTGACCAAATTTTTTTTGAAAATCATCTACAAGTTACCAGGAGTTCAAATCTGACATTAGTTTTAGGATTTGACCAAAATCACTTGACCTCCAGTGACCTTTGAAAGGTCAAAAAGGTTGATTTTTCAAATTGATTTTTGGATGTAAATTTTGGTCAGCTTAATCACAAAATACCTTACTGAGCTCTAAATAAGTAAAATTTTCAAGGTCAAAGGTCATCAAACTAGGTCACACAACTGTGCTGTCTAAGTTTCTCAAAGTTCGAGACTACAAATCCAAATCAACATTTTTGTCCTCTGAAGGTTCCAAACTGTGTGAGCACAGGACCGTGGGTCCTATTTTTAAAATATCTACAGGGTACGGCACCCTGTTCTTGTGAGAGTTGTTACTATTGTTAACAATTTTCATCAGTAGATGTTGCATTCATTATTGTGTTATTACTGTATGATATATAGGGTGTGGTGACTTCTCAAACACAACTATACCTATACTGTCATACACATGCATACTCTGTGTGCATCTTGTGAACTTTGTCACTTTCAAGTTTTCATCTTTACTGTGATCTGCATTCAGCTGGTCAATGAGATCTTTAGTATGTTCTATAAAAGTCCCTGCTTTTTTGTATCCTCCTTGGTATTCTGGCCAGTAAGCAGTAAGGAGATCTTCCACGAGATATATCCCACCATTTGGTTTCACATGGTCATATAGATGATCAAACGTTACTTTGAGCTGGTTCATAGTGTGTCCCCCATCATCAATAACTAGGTCAAACTTTGGCAATGTTTTCAGTGCTTCAGTCCAAAATTTGGGATTTCCCTGATCTCCAATTATGATCTTTACACCCTCTTCTTTATTTTCAAATCGTTTTGTTTTGGCGTTAATGTCTAGGCCATAGATTTGTACACCCGGACCGAAGTAGTCTCGCCACATCTTCATGGATCCGCCATCTCTTACTCCTATCTCAAGCATTGTTATCTGCAAAGTAGGTAATGGTGGAATAGATATACATGTAGGTCAGGCTAGGGAGCATTTCAAAAGATCGATGACAGAAAATTAACTGTATTTGGACAGTAATGGGAGAGGGGTCATTAGCCTTCAAAGTTAGCTTCCCACAATGTTCCCAGGAATTTTATTTGAGTAAACTTTTTTTGCAGACATAGTTTGGCCTAAGGTGGTTGGTGTTTGGAATCTGTAACAAATGGCAGGTGGTGACATTTTGCATGTTAATGCCCTGTTAAAAATTGAAACCTCAACCTTGCTTTCTGTTTAGAATTAAAATGTTGATGGGGCGGCATTTATGAAAAATATTTCATTAATAGAATATCCGCATTGCAATGCAATTGTCAACTTATAAATGGTTTCATGAATATCTTGGTTTTCTTAAATTTATTCGGTATACTGAGTGACAGTTTTGTAACTAGCATTTATACAGAGATGATGTAGATACCGGCAATATTAGATAGGGCTGTTGTAATCAGTCAATATGGTACAACGAAAATGGGACTTCTGCGCATGTTAAAATTTTTCGTCAAAACTCAACTTTTGTTCAAGTTGATACGATTGTCTTTCGAATGAGACTTACCTCATTCGAAAGATCATAAAAGACTTTATCTACCGGTATACTGAAAATCTTAGATCCAAACATAGTAGAATACGCCGTCAGTCCGCATTTGATTTTTTGAAGTGAGTTTCGTAGATCGTCAGATTTCTCAGACTGATATCGGGTTATCTCAAATTGGTTCGTTTATAAATACGAATTTCTTGTTTTGAGTAGATCAGGTACCTGTTTTAGACACAAAATTGATTTAGCTTGACATTGATGTGCACATTGGCACTTTTGAGCATGTTAATACAAGTTTTTACACTCTTAGCACGAGACGGGTTTTCGAAAAATCTGTTATCTGATTCACTCGATTATCGTATAGATATGTATTTCTGCTGACATTTCAATACCACATCACATAGAATTACGATGCAGAATGATAATAAAACACAAAACAACTACTTAATTCCACTTGTTATTTCACAGGAGGTAAAAATGCAAACTGCCTAGATTCTTTGTAAGGGTCGTCAGACATCGGATTGGCCACCATATTTGAAATGAAAATATCACTAAAGAGAGCTCTGCGCATGTCTCAACATTTCGACTGTAATGTCCATCTTGACAACTTAAATCCCCAAAAATTGTAGCCTCCACTAGGTTTCTTTACATCATTAAAAATCAATTAGTTGGTGATCGGTTGTTCATGCAAAAAAGAAAATAACAGTGATCTGATTTTAAACTCCTAAAATCATGACTTACCTTTTTGTTCCTGAATTTTGCAAAATGTCTGTGATAGATATCAAAGTAGTGTTCCCATTTAAAAACTTCGCCAAAAGATTCAGACTTTCTGTAACTTTTCCACCATGTCTTAAATGGATTGATATTTGTATCAACACGTGCGTCTGGTGGTCGGAAAGATTCTAATTTTTCTTGTTCTTTTACAATTTGATGTAATAAAGTTATTACTAAAACCAATGTTAGAAGTACTAAGGGTAGAACTATTCTATAAAGATTTGTCATGTTTATTCGATGATAGCAAATTAACTCGTGGTCCTAATGATGCAAAAAAATATTTTATAGGATTTATTTTTTCATTAATGATTGCCTTAGGTAAGAATTTATGACTAAATTCCAGTGAAGTTTGACATTTTTCCAGTTTGACAAAAGTATTAAATAAAACTGTTTTATAGGTGTTTTTACTCATGATATTTTTATTCATTACATTGATTTAATACTATTTGCAGTTTCATACAGCTACTAAAGAAATCTTCATTGTACACATATAATTAATAATTGAAAATACATTATCTATAAATGTTTCTATTTCATGAAATTCACATTTTGTGGAACACACTATATAATAAAAACCATAATTAATCACCTTACCTAAATACAGGCACATGTATATCAGAGGGAAACAAGTTGTCTGAATTCAGTCACAAACATTTCTTTGCTAAACAACTTCAAAAATATATTTCTTTGCGTTTGCTGCTGATTTTATTCGTTATATTTTATAAAATGTTTACTTCTAATGTAGTTAGAATTCATTCATAAGAAAAATATTAAGTTATTCGTAACAAACTGTTAAAAACGAATACTTAGGAATTTGCAAGGACAGAAATTGTTTATTAACACCGTTGCTATGCAGTTCGTTTTGAAGTGACGTCATCCCCATATCCGTAATCTTAATCGTCTAATAAACGAATACCACGTGTCGATGTGATGTTTTAATCGATAAAATTGAATTTCTTACATATTTCTCTATCTTGTTACTAGATAACAAGTTATGATATTGATGAACTCGCCAGAAATTAACATAATATTATTTGAAGCGTTTTTAGAAAATTTTGACACCGCCATCTTGAAAACGTGTAGTAATGTTTGAACCCAGTGATTATCGATCTTGGCATTTTACAATTTGTTGCTCCGCGGGGATTTTTACCTAAAGACACATCAAATACAACATTGATTACCAATTTCGATGGTAAAATCATTTGTAAACGTCATGATTAATGTTATATCAAAGTTTTGGCGTTGTTGATTTCGTAATAAAGAAAGTACTAATTTCTGAAGCTTTCTAAGATCGTGCCCCGGGAATTTTAGAACTATTTTAACAACGTCAGAGAGGTAGTGAAGGTACGCAACGAACGAAATGAATTTTGAGAATGGGACAAAGACTGATGCTCGTGATTATGCAATGTTGATTATGACCACATTTCCATACTTTTCTGACTGAAATTGACCAGAAGACTCTAATTCACATGTAATGTCAGGAAAACCACTCATTGGATTTCCTTCAAACTTACACAAATGATATCGAGGATATCAAGTACTAGAGCTGATTAACTTTTGGGCGGCCATCTTGTTTTCTGGCAGCCATTTTGAAGATTTTTCGAAAAATCTTGTCATCGCCATTTCAGAAAATCCACTCATCAGATTTCCTTTATATTTACACACATGATAGAGGATATCAAGTACTAGAGCTGATTAAGTTTTGGGTGGCCATCTTGTTTTCTGGTGGCCATTTTGAAGGTTTTTCGAAAAATCTTGTCATCGCCATTTCAGGAAAACCGCTCATCGGATTTCCTTCAAATTTACACAAATGATAGAGGATATCAAGTACTAGAGCTGATTAACTTTTGGGTGGCCATTTTGTTTTCTGGTGGCCATTTTGAAGGTTTTTTGAAAAATCTTGTCATCGCCAATTTAGGAAAACCGCTCATCGGATTTCCTTCAAATTCGCACAGATGATAGAGGATATCAAGTTCTAGAGCTGATCAACTTTTGGGCGGCCATCTTGTTTTCTGGTGGCCATTTTTAAGGTTTTTCGAAAAATCTTGTCATTGCCATTTTAGGAAAACTGCTCATCGGATTTTCTGTACATGATAGGGGATATCAAGTTCTAGAACTTATTAAATTTTGGGTGGCCATTTTGTTTTCTGGCGGCCATTTTGAAGTTTTTTTTCGATAAATCCTCTCATCGCCATTTCAAGAAAACCCCTCATTAGATTTGCTCCAAATTCCCACACATGATAGAGGATATCAAGAACTAGAGCCGATTAACTTTTGGGTGGCCATCCTGTTTTCTGGTGGCCATTTTGAAGGTTTTTGATAAATCTTGTCATCGCTATTTTAGCGGGACACATAAACAGATAAACCATACCACAATGAAGCACATATCTCCACACATCATAGAGGATATCTAGTTCTAGAGCTGATTAACATTTTAGCTCAAGATGTGAGCTATTGGACCACAGCCAACATTTTTTTCTTGTTCTTGAAATTTGTAAACATAATAGGAGAACAATTTCCCTGGTTCATAGTGTCTGCCTATTTGATGGTGTGATCTAAAGGTATAATATACAATGTACAACCCTAGGGAAAAGTGAAAGATCGATATTTTATAATGAAACTGTACTTTTGACAGAAACAAATGTCAATTTTACGTTAAAAGTAATCTCGCAACATTGGTAAGACTAAATGCCAGGTAGGTTATGGCAAACAATTTCAGACAGTTATATCTTAGGGACTATTATTACTATTTTCTGATCATGAAGACAGGAATATCTTGCAGAATTAGGTAGCGTATGCAGTGCAAATGTCTATGGCAAAGCAAAATAGAACCCCCCTTTAGAAATCCTGGCTACACGCCTGTATACATATCGAAAAAAAATTTTCTACACGATACAAAGTTTTATTTATTTAGAAAAAACATCAATTCATCATTTGTAAAAACACAGAAAAGTTTTAACATAAATAATCATTACATACATGTATGTTACAATCATGAATGTATGGCAACAAAACGTAAAATTTCTAAATCGAACAAAAGGCAAACAAACAACAACAACAATGATAACAAACATAATGATTTAACAGTAACAGTTTTTTATTTCTCTGTGGAAAAACCTTTTTATCACACATCTTCAAAGTGCGATATTGTCGGGTCATCTTGCACTCCTGGGTATGCAGGCAAGCGCCACATAAATCTTGTCATTAAAACTCCATTAAAACAACTTACATAACAGGTACATGTTCAACTTATTTTTACAGGTAAATTTTTGATAAAAAATGTGATACCTATTATGTGACTGTTCTTGATTATGATGATAAACAATATCTTTTATAATGATATGTTTTAGGACTTGATAAAACTTGCCAACCATGGGAGCCCTCGTGTATTGAGAAAGAGCTGATGCAGCTGCACCCAAAACGGCGCAAAGTGACAGAGTACTCAACAATAGGTAAACCAAATTAATATTTAAAACCAAAAGGACTAGTCTCGGTCTGGAGAACAAAGTTGATAAGTCTACTGCACATTTCGCCTGCTTTGGACAATTTTGATATACATATTCACAAATTGTAGATTTAAATGTCCTCTTTTGAATATTCATAATTTAATTTGGGTGTTTTTTCTTTATTTTTCATAAGAAAATTATTGTCGCAGTAGACTGATGAACTTCGTTCTCCAAACCGAGACTTGTATTTTGGCTTTAATCTCTACTGTTATGCATCTTGGGTATGTTCATGTTTTTGAAAAACAGACCTGTGAATGCTATCAATAATTTTATCTTATTCCCAATATAGCAGTAAAGAAAATATTGCTCTACTCTAAAGTTGTCAAAAATGAAATCCACACCCCCAAATCTCCCAGAAGAGACAGCTAGTTCATTGTACCATTTGCTATGTAGAGATGGATAAAAAGATGGCAGCACATGTGTTGGTATTGCCAGAATGCTATTGATAGTATACCAGTATAGAGAATGCTTAGTAAAAATCCCTCAATTTCTTGATTTATCAAGTATTTCTGTTGGCATTTATGTCAAACTCCATTGGCATATAACAATATGATCGTGTTGACATATTGGTTGTGGTTTAACATTAAATTGTGAACCAAAAGGGAATATGACATTTAAAGCTTTTTATGTCCCCACCACATAGTGTGGGGCCATATTGTCGGCATAGGCGCGTCCGTCCGTCTGTCCGTCCGTCTGTCTGTCTGTCTGTCCGTCCGTCCGTCCGTCCGTCCGGCAGTTTTCTCCAAAACCGCTACCGATATCACCTTCAAATTTTCAGGGATAACTTATGAGTGCATACAGATGTGGACGAAAAAGTTTCAAGTCGATACCTACTTCCTGTCGGCCATTTTGAAGTGAAATGCTAAAATCCTTGTCTGCAAACTTTAAGAAAAATGGCTTCACTGTTGCTTTTGAAACTTTAACATCCTGTTCAGCTCACTTGATTCTAGATCTGATTAGGTTTTGGACCTGTTAGCCCAATCATGGCAGCCATTTTGAATGTCTTAAGAAAAGTTAGCGTGCGATAATACTTTGTATCATATTGTATGGTGTTTTTGAGTTTTCATACTTAGACTATTTAGTAGCTTTATAAAAAATTTCAGGTGTACTTTATTGTAAAAGCCTATGTTATTGCTAACAGTAGTTATATGTGCTAATTTTGTAAAAAGAAATCAGCAAAAAAGTATAATCACTTTTTTATTGTCGGCCATTTTGGATTTTTCCATCCGAAAATCTTGTCTGTAAAGTCTTGTCTATGCGTTTTCAGGCGAACCGTTTGGTAGATCATTTTCAAATTTTCAGGGATGATTCTTATTATGAAAATCTAGATCTGATTAGTTTTTTGGCATTCTGGGTAAATGTCAAGGCAGCCATTTTGGATTTTCCGTCCTAAAATCTTGTCTGTGAAGTCTTGTCTACGCGTTTTCAGGCAAACCGCTTGGTAGATCATTTTCAAATTTTCAGGGATGATTCTTAGTATGAAAATCTAAATCTGATTAGTTTTTTGGCATTCTGGGTAAATGTCAAGGCAGCCATTTTGGATTTTCCGTCTTAAAATCTTGTCTCTAAAGTCTTGTCTATGCATTTCCAGGTGAAGCATTTGGTAGATCAATTTCAAATTTTCAGGGATGATTCTTAGTATGAAAATCTAGATCTGATTAGTTTTTATGTCCCCACCACATAGTGTGGGGCCATATTGTCGTCCTAGGCGCGTCCGTCCGTCTGTCTGGTTGGTTGTCTGTCTGTCTGTCCGTCCGACGTCCGGCAGTTTTCTCCAAAACCGCTACAGGTATCACCTTTTAATTTTCAGGAATAACTTATGAGTGCCTATAGATGTGGATGAAAAAAATTTAACTCGAAACCTACTTCCTGTCGGCCATTTTGAAGTCAAATGCTAAAATCCTTGTCTGCAAACTTTAAGAAAAACTGCTTCACAGTTGCTTTTAAAACTTTAACATCTTGTTCAGCTCACTTCATTCTAGATCTGATTAGGTTTTGGACCTGCTAGCTCAGTCATGTCAGCCATTTTGAATGTCTTAAGAAAAGTTAGCGCGCAATAATACTTTGTATCATATTGAATGGTGTTTTTGAGTTTTCATACTTTAACTATTTAGTAGCTTTATAAATAATTTCAGATGTACTTTGCTGTAAAAGCCTACTTTATTGTTAACAGTAGTTATATGTGATAATTTTGTAAAAAAAAATCAGCAAAAACTCATAAATCTTGTCTGTGAAGTCTTGTCTGCGCGTTTTCAGGTGAACCGTTTGGTGGATCAATTTCAAATTTTCAGGGATGATTCTTAGTATAAAAAATTTAGATCTCATTAGTTTTTTGGCATTCTGGGTAAATGTCAAGGCAGCCATTTTGGATTTTCCGTCCTAAAATCTTGTCTGTAAAGTCTTGTCTACTCGTTTTCAGGTGAACTGTTTGGTAGATCAATTTCAAATTTTCAGGAATGATTCTTAGTATGAAAATCTAGAACTGATTAGTTTTTTTGCATTCTGGGTAAATGTCAAGGCAGCCATTTTGGATTTTCCGTCTTAAAATCTTGCCTGTAAAGTCTTGTCTACGCGTTTTTAGGTGAACGGTTTGATAGATCAATTTCAAATTTTCAGGGATGATTCTTTGTATGAAAATCTACATCTGATTACTCTTTTTGCATTCTGCGTAAATGTTAAGGCAGCCATTTTGGATTTTCTGTCCTAAAATCTTGTCTGTAAAGTCTTGTCTACCCGTTTTCAGGTGAACCGTTTGGTAGATCAATTTCATATTTTCAGGGATGATTCTTAGTATAAAAATCTACAAACAGATTAGTTTTTTGACATTCTTGATAAATGTCAAGGCAGCCATTTTGGATTTTCCATCCTGAAGTCTTGTCTGTAAAGTCTTGTTTACATGTTTTCTGGTTAACTGTGTGACGGATCAATTTCAAATTTTCAGGGGTGGTTCTGAGTATGAAAATCTAGAACTGACTAAATTTTTGGCATTCTAGGTAAATTTTAAGGTGGCCACTTTGGATTTTCCGTCCTCAAATTGTGTTGTTAAAGACTTGTCTACTCATTTTCAGGATAACCATTTCACGGGATCACCACTTGGTGGGGACATTTTGTACACATTTGTGTTCTTGTTTAATATTGTGTCAATGGAGATTTAGCCTGAAATTTTCAGAAAACTTGAAAATCCCTAAGTTGTTTAATAGAAAATTACAAACAGAATCTAAATATGCCATCAAATAAAAGAAAATGTTGATCTTAAATGGTTAAAAACACAGATCTCCTAAAATCTCATTAAAAATGAGACTTAAAGCTTCATGTATTTACATCCTCCGATCACAGGGCTTCAAATCCAGAATACTATTCTTCCTTTTTACCCCCTGCGATAAGCAGTTAGCATTTTCCCGATTAAGAACTCGCAATTTGATTGGCTGTTGCAACACTGCAACAGAAATCATGTATAAGTCATTGCGCATAATTAGATCGCATGATTCAGTTTAATCAGGTGCTTCCAAATTGGTTATAGCAGGGGGAAGAAGGAGGCATGGCTTCTGGACACCTGCTTAGGAGGATGAGCTATTGAGCAAACAATCATTTCTGTAGGCTAACCTTAAGCCCATATATCCATAGTTTTTACAGAAAATAGGACAGACAGCTTGGATGCATAAAATAATATGGTGGTTACCCTACTATCACACCAAACTAGTTCTCACTACGTTCTCGAAAACGGACTTCAACTGTGTACTAATGGACTGGACGTACTTAGAACCGTTTGGGATCTATTTACAAACTTCATCGAACGTACTCGAACGGGTAGGTTCTCTAGAACTTAGACAATGCTCAAAATGTTCTCGTGGTCGTCACGTTCTACAATTAGAACGAGTGACAACGTACTAATGACGAGCTGGACGTACTACGAACAGAACCGCAGTACTTCAATCCTACTAGGGACGTTTTAACAACAAGTGGAACTGTCTGAGGACGTGTTGAGAACGAGGTAGAACTCATTGCAAACGGTTTAAACTGATTAAGAACGTATTTAACACTGCTTATGAACGAGTTAGCAAAAATATAGCTATCACACCAAACAAGTTGCCACTGCGTTCTTCAAAACTGGTTCTAAACTGTGTGCGAGCGGAATGAACGTAGCTGCAACTTTCTAAGGTCTATTTACGAACTTTATGAACGTTCTCAGACGGGAATGTGATTTTAGAATTTTGAATCGATTCAAAATTCAATTGCGACCATACCATTCTGTTATCAGGTCATGATGACCTTCTAGACTAAGGGGCGCGTTCTACGGCGTTGCACACCGATGTGGTGCGACCTGAACGAACTGCGAACGAGATGGACGTATTGAAGACTGTTTAAGAACGAAGAAGCTAATTATTTCAGACATATTTCCCGACCACAGCCAGATTGAGCCCATTTTACGACGTTTTCGTAGGACTGGCAAGAACGGGTAAGAACGAGTTTGGTGTGATAGGGGGGTAACTAAGGTGCTGGGGACTATACATCAATTGATTGCTGAACTATTTTTAGGCCTTAACGATGGCATCCATCTTGGTATTACATAATATGACTGAAGAAATACAATGGTATCCTGAGATGACTGTTTATTAGTTGACAGTTGCTCTACTGATCAGGGATTCTGTTAAATTTTAGGTTGTTTAAAATGTCACCAGGTAGAAGATCAGACATAGGCCAGCCAGAGCGTTGCAATTCCCTGGAGGCCTGTGGAGTGTAATTCATGAAAATCATACCCCGGGTCATCACATCTCTGTAGCCATAATGGCTGCAGGTAAGAATTAACTCTACCTGATGACATTGATTGTTTGTGCGCTGGGGGATTTATCTATTATTTCAAGCTATTGTTAATGACTTAAATATTTTGCATATTATTTCAGTTTTCTAGCCTTCATCTTACAACCATAGACTTTATGGTCATTATTTCAATCTAAATAGATTATCTATATTATTTTTTAGATTTTGGTTCAAATACTTTATTTTTAAAATGTTTGAAATATTTATTATTTGCCTTGAAAGGATATAAATGTGGGAGGGGCAAATTTAAATTTCCCATATTTGAACATATATGTGCATCCAGTATAACCACTGTTCCACAGCTAGTTACTATGACAGGTCGTCAATGTAACAAAATGGATGAACTTCTTGGATAGTCCCAACACTAGGACTTGTTCTTTTGTTTTTTCGATGTAAACCTACTTATAAGTCAAGTTGCAAATTATAATGTGGCACAAAGTGAGACAATAATAGTCTAGCTTTAAGAAATGCTCTCAGTTTGGAATTTAATTTTAGATAAAAGCTGTAACAAAAGTGAGGGACAAATATATGAATTGCAACTTCATTTACAAAACAAATTCCAAATCGAAGGCTCTTTTTAAAGCTAGACTATATTTCCTACCATGGGCGTAGCGCCCAGTACGCTGGGTACGCACAGGCGTACCAGATGGTTGCAAATTCGCTCCAAATACAACCAAATTTCAAAATTTTCCTGGGGGAGAACCCCCAGACCCCCCTAAATGCTTGTTTTTTTATTCTTGACTCTTGTTCCTGTGGTGGTGGCGTACTACTTGGAAAAATAGCGCTACGCCCATGCCTACCCTTGTGCCAAGGTATAATCTGCAACTTGAGTAGGTTTAAATTGACAAAACAAAAAGCTATCCAGGTTGTTCATCCATTTTGTTACATTGACATTTCGTCAAAGTAACTAGTTGTGGAACAGTGATAACCAAACATTCAAGATGAAACATGCATAAAGGAGTACTGCCCCATAATTGACATTTCAGTTTTAGGAATCGGACTTATTGGAGTACATGTGTTCTTGAAACCTAGCATAAAATGTGATAAATTACACTTAGCTCATTGGCAAAACACGTCTTCCCTCTTCTTAGAATCAAACTTGTAGAGGACTTAAAGTAACTGTATTGTGCGCCACTGCTTAGTCTTTTTCATGGCTGACAATGTGACGAACATAACTATTTAATGTTAAATGAATTGTTATTTTGTGATATTGCAGGGCTTCGAGGTCTTATAAATTTGGGGAACACATGTTTCGTGAACTGTATTGTGCAAGCTTCGACCCATACACCACTGCTTAGGGACTTCTTCCTGGCAGACAAATATAACTGTTTAATGTTAAATGATTCATTGATTTGTGGCATTGCAGGGCTCCGAGGTATAATAAATTTGGGGAACACATGTTTCATGAACTGTATTGTGCAAGCTTTGACCCATACACCACTGCTTAGGGACTTCTTCCTGGCAGACAAACATAACTGTTTAATGTTAAATGATTCATTGATTTGTGATATTGCAGGGCTTCGAGGTCTTATAAATTTGGGGAACACATGTTTCATGAACTGTATTGTGCAAGCTTTGACCCATACACCACTGCTTAGGGACTTCTTCCTGGCAGACAAACATAACTATTTAGTGATAAATGAATTGTTATTTTGTGATACTGCAGGGCTTCGAGGTCTAATAAATTTGGGGAACACATGTTTTATGAACTGTATTGTGCAAGCTTTGACCCATACACCACTGCTTAGGGACTTCTTCCTGGCAGACAAATATAACTGTTTAATGTTAAATGATTCATTGATTTGTGATATTGCAGGGCTTCGAGGTCTTATAAATTTGGGGAACACATGTTTCATGAACTGTATTGTGCAAGCTTTGACCCATACACCACTGCTTAGGGACTTCTTCCTGGCAGACAAACATAACTATTTAGTGATAAATGAATTGTTATTTTGTGATACTGCAGGGCTTCGAGGTCTAATAAATTTGGGGAACACATGTTTTATGAACTGTATTGTGCAAGCTTTGACCCATACACCACTGCTTAGGGACTTCTTCCTGGCAGACAAACATAACTATTTAGTGTTAAATGAATTGTTATTTTGTGATACTGCAGGGCTTCGAGGTCTAATAAATTTGGGGAACACATGTTTTATGAACTGTATTGTGCAAGCTTTGACCCATACACCACTGCTAAGGGACTTCTTCCTGGCAGACAAACATAACTGTTTAATGTTAAATGATTCATTGATTTGTGACATTGCAGGGCTTCGAGGTCTAATAAATTTGGGGAACACATGTTTTATGAACTGTATTGTGCAAGCTTTGACCCATACACCACTGCTTAGGGACTTCTTCCTGGCAGACAAACATAACTGTTTAATGTTAAATGATTCATTGATTTGTGACATTGCAGGGCTTCGAGGTCTAATAAATTTGGGGAACACATGTTTCATGAACTGTATTGTGCAAGCTTTGACCCATACACCACTGCTTAGGGACTTCTTCCTGGCAGACAAACATAACTGTTTAATGTTAAATGATTCATTGATTTGTGACATTGCAGGGCTTCGAGGTCTAATAAATTTGGGGAACACATGTTTTATGAACTGTATTGTGCAAGCTTTGACCCATACACCACTGCTTAGGGACTTCTTCCTGGCAGACAAACATAACTGTTTAATGTTAAATGATTCATTGATTTGTGACATTGCAGGGCTTCGAGGTCTAATAAATTTGGGGAACACATGTTTCATGAACTGTATTGTGCAAGCTTTGACCCATACACCACTGCTAAGGGACTTCTTCCTGGCAGACAAACATAACTGTTTAATGTTGAATGAATCTCAACGCTGTTTGGTCTGCGAGATGTCAAGGCTCTTTCAAGAGGTATGTCCTAAAATTATAAGTTTTTTTATTAAATTTTTTTCAGTATCCCAACGATCAAATTTCTTAAGGGATATAGTTTTAGCAAAAATATATTTTTTCAAGATGGCTACTGATTTGAAAATGGCTGGATTTTTTCATGAAAATCTAAGTTTTTCATTTCAAATGCAAGTAACGAGTATTTCTGTTTCAAGTTTTGGAATTGTTTCTTGTAAATATTTCTTTGTCACATTACATGTATATACTGTGATTTTTAGCTTGAGTTTTCATTAATTTCTTGATCTCTCTGATGTATGCCAAATGAAAGGAATTTAAAGTAGGTTTTAAATATTTACATTTTTCTGGTTTGAGCTCATGAAATCCTAAATGGACACCTGATGTGTGTTTCTTTTCAAAAATTGATTTTTCATTACATATGACTATTATAGGTATAAGTGTTCTCTTAAGTTAGAAATTACATTTTTATATTTTGAAATGAGTAATCTGTAAATAACATTTTCAATTGTTCAGGCACTTTGTTTTCATTGTACTTCGCAATATCATATCGCAAAAAGATGATATATCTTATTAAATGATAAAGTTATTTAGGATTTGAGATGTTGAGGTTTTTGCAGCCTCTTCTGAGACTTTTGGTTGAAATTCTTGAAAAGTGGACACCCATGTACTCTGTAAAGATTTCTTGTTGAATAGGTATGAAATATTTGGACATTTAAATAAGGTTCCATATGACAATGAATATGCTATGAGCCCATGAGATTCATTGTCAGAAGGTTGTTAAATCTTGGATGTTCTGTTTTCATGGTGATCGATAATTCTTGTTGGCTTGCTTTTTAGGGCACATTCACTTATCGTATTGGGCTTTTCATTTTTAGTTCTATAGTGGAGTACGAACTCCGCATACACCCTACCGGTTGCTCCACCTGGTGTGGACACATGCACGACATCTGGCGGGGTATGAACAGCAAGACGCTCATGAATTTTTAATTGCAGCACTAGATGTCCTTCACCGACATTGTAAAGGTAAACATCTTGATCTTTCACGATTCACCTTTCTAATAATAACCCTGTTCCCATTTTGTGAACAACAAAAAACAAGAGTAGCTTATATATGTACAGGGTGACACAAAAAGTGCCACCCACATAATGTTGTATAACTTTTTTGTCCATATGATTCCTGACTTTTTCTCTTGCACATTAAAACTAGACTCCATGGAGCAACTCCACATGAAGTTTCAGATGACTAGCTCAACTAGGTACACTGAAATTTCTTGTGGAATTGCTCCATGGAATCTAGTTTTAGTGTCCCAAAGAAGAAGTCAGAAATCATGCAGACAAAAAAGTCATGCACTCTTATGTGGGTGACACTTTTTTGTGTCATTGTGTACTTTGCAGCCTGCAATTTGATTGTAAAGTAAATTGAAACAATTTTTTTGAAAATTACTCCAATTTCTGACATGAATGTGTAAGGATGACATCATAGCCAGTTACAGGAAGCAATTGCTTAAGGTTTATCCCATGATTATTGTGTAATTTGTACACTAACAGCCAGTGATAATTTTCTAGTATTATGGAGATCCGTATGATATTTTTCTAAAAATTGTTAATCGTCCCATATGTGACTGAATGTGGTTTATCAGTCGAATATAAAGCTTATATCGTTCATCAGCCGCATTCCAGTATGGTAAACAAATTAAAATTTTTGGAATTTAAAAAAAAAATTCATTGTAATCATGGGATAAAACCAATATCCTGATCTATCTTATACGCTAGATTATCTCTGATGTCACTGGATTCTCATAACTTTTCCATTTGCAATTTCATAAAAAAACTGCATTCATATTTTAGAATAAAATCTAATATTTATATGATTCCAGGGAATAATGGACTCTCGAAGAGTAATCCCCACCACTGTAACTGTATTATAGACCAAATATTCACTGGAGGGCTGCAGTCAGATGTCACATGTCAAAAGTGCAAGTACGTTCATTTCACTCACCATGAATAAGTCAGTATAATATTTTTTGTTTAAACGTCATGAGGATACTGGCAAATTCAAAATTTATAAAATTGGGTATTTTAGACATTGAACCCTTTTAATTGTTGTGTCATGTTATTTGTGCAAATAATTCTAAGACACTTTGATAAAGCTAAACCAATATTGAAATAGGATAGTAATTTTAAATATAATGTCAATGTGCATTATCTGTAATGAATGGGAGAGGTTCAACTGCTTCGTTTGACCATATTAAAACAGAATATTGAGACATTGATATGCAAATAAATATATGTTTGCATTGATGACGACCAAGAAGTGTTCAGAATCAACACACTATATATGTTGTATTATTATGTCACCACCAAAAAGTGGTGACATATTGTTATGGTCTCCGTTTTTTTGCGACGGCGGTTGGCGTCCGGCGTCTGGCGTCCGGCGTCCGGCGTCTGTAACAATTTCTTACAACTTCCTATAACTTAACAAGTACTGTTTAGACTGACTTCAATTTTTTTCTAAATCATCTACATCTTCTCAGAAGTTCAAATCTGACTTTAGATTTGACATTTGACCTTCAATGACCTTCTCAAGGTCAAAAAGGTCTTTTTTCAACTTGCTTCACATTGACTAAATTTTTTTTCAAAATCATCTACATGTTCTCAGAAATTCAAATCTGACTTTAGATTTGACATTTGACCTTCAAATCTGACTTTAGATTTGACATTTGACCTTCAATGACCTTCTCAAGGTCAAAAAGGTCTTTTTTCAACTTGCTTCACATTGACTAAATTTTTTTTCAAAATCATCTACATGTTCTCAGAAATTCAAATCTGACTTTAGATTTGACATTTGACCTTCAAATCTGACTTTAGATTTGACATTTGACCTTCAATGACCTTCTCAAGGTCAAAAAAGGTCAAAAAGGTCTGTTTTCAACTTGCTTCAAATTGACTAAAAAATTTTTTCAAAATCATCTACGTGTTCTCAGAAATTCAAATCTGACTTAAGATTTGACATTTGACCTTCAATGACCTTCTCAAGGTCAAAAAGGTCTTTTTTCAACTTGCTTCACATTGACTAAATTTTTTTTCAAAATCATCTACATGTTCTCAGAAATTCAAATCTGACTTTAGATTTGACATTTGACCTTCAAATCTGACTTTAGATTTGACATTTGACCTTCAATGACCTTCTCAAGGTCAAAAAAGGTCAAAAAGGTCTGTTTTCAACTTGCTTCAAATTGACTAAATTTTTTTTTCAAAATCATCTACGTGTTCTCAGAAATTCAAATCTGACTTAAGATTTGACATTTGACCTTCAATGACCTTCTCAAGGTCAAAAAAGTTCAAAAAGGTCTGTTTTCAACTTGCTTCAAATTGACTAATAAATTTTTTCAAAATAATCTACGTGTTCTCAGAAATTCAAATCTGACTTTAGATTTGACATTTGACCTTCAAATCTGACTTTAGATTTGACATTTGACCTTCAATGACCTTCTCAAGGTCAAAAAAGGTCAAAAAGGTCTGTTTTCAACTTGCTTCAAATTGACTAAATTTTTTTTTCAAAATCATCTACGTGTTCTCAGAAATTCAAATCTGACTTAAGATTTGACATTTGACCTTCAATGACCTTCTCAAGGTCAAAAAAGGTCAAAAAGGTCTGTTTTCAACTTGCTTCAAATTGACTAAAAAAAATTTTCAAAATCATCTACGTGTTCTCAGAAATTCAAATCTGACTTTAGATTTGACTTAAGATTTTACATTTGACCTTCAATGACCTTCTCAAAGTCAAAAAAGGTCAAAAAGGTCTTTTTTCAACTTGCTTCAAATTGACTAAATTTTTTTTTCAAATTCATCTACATGTTCTCAGAAATTCAAATCTGACTTTAGATTTAACATTTGACCTTCAATGACCTTCTCAATGTCAAAAAAGGTCAAAAAGGTCAAAAAGGTATTTTTTCATCTTGCTTCAAATTGACTAATAAATTTTTTTTCAAAATCATCTACGTGTTCTCAGAAATTCAAATCTGACTTAAGATTTGACATTTGACCTTCAATAACCTTCTCAAAGTCAAAAAAGGTCAAAAAGGTCTTTTTTCAACTTGCTTCAAATTGACTAAATTTTTTTTTCAAAATCATCTACATGTTCTCAGAAATTCAAATCTGACTTTAGATTTGACATTTGACCTTCAATGACCTTCTCAATGTCAAAAAAGGTCAAAAAGGTATTTTTTCATCTTGCTTCAAATTGACTAATTTTTTTTTTCAAAATCATCTATATGTTCTCAGAAATTTAAATATGACTAGATTTGACATTTGACCTTCTCAAGGTCAAAAAAGGTCAGAAGTTCAAATTTGACTTTACAAGTTCTCAGAAGTTCAAATCTGACTTTAGATTTGACATTTGACCTTCAATAACCTTCTCAAGGTCAAAAAGGTCTTTTTTCAACTTGCTTCAAATTGACTAATTTTTTTTTCAAAATCATCTACATGTTCTCAGAAATTCTTCTTAAGGTCAAAAGGTATTTTCCAACTTGCTTTTAATTGACCAAATTGTTTTAGGTGGTGACATTTTGTCATGTTAATGCCTTGTTTCAGTAATGTTTCCACGACAATTGATCCCTTCTGGGATATCTCATTGGACCTTGGGCCTCCACCCAATAGTCTTCTGCTGAATCCTGCTCTCTATGGGGCCTTCGAACAACCTACCTCACTGATGAGCTGTCTCAAGAGGTATGTTAATGTCTTTCTTCATTTAATGTGTCTGTACATATTTTTCCAGGGGTTTCATTAGCAGCAGGCAACAGGCAATTTTCACTGGTTGTTTTCACAAAATTGCCTGTTGTTTTTAGGGACTTTTGAACTTTTCCATGTTAAATTTATGATTTCCATTATTTTAATTTTACCTGTTTTCATTTATTTACCCTGTAGTGAGAAATTCTAGTGAAACCCCTGCATTTCGCAACATTTTTCGATAAAATCGTCCAGTTTATACAAGACTCATTTGACATTCTCATTCTTTTTTCTTTAGATTTACACGTCCTGAGCATCTCGGTAGTTCAGCAAAGATAAAGTGCAGTAAATGCCACAGTTACCAGGAGTCAACTAAACAGCTCACTATGAAGAAACTTCCTGTAGTGGCATGCTTCCACCTTAAGGTAATGATCAACAAGTTCTGAGAAATCTGGTTAAATTGTTTGTGGTCATAAAATCTTTGTGCAAAACTTTTCGAACACCAGTAAAACCTTGTATGATTTATGTTGAAATCCCTGAAACCATTTTAACATAGCTGATATAGGGCCATAAACCTGACGAAACACATGCCTTTGTTGTATTCATAGGGGTAACCTAGAGTTTGCGATGTTCATGAAATTAACCACAATTTGATAAACTACTATTAATATGCATCGAGTCTAGACTGGGGCCTAGACTGTGTGAAACCAATCCCTTTCATTTACTGTAAATGAATATAAATTATATATGATCATGTAAAACAAAGACAAATAAAATATTCTTAATGGTAATAATAATGCGTGACCAGAATGTATAATATTTTTAATATGAAAATTTTATCCTACATCCTATTCCAGAGATTCGAACATTCAACGGGTTACCACAAGAAGATCTCCACATACGTTGAGTTCCCCGAGGAGTTGGACATGACCGCCTTTATGTCATCATCACGTAGCAACAACAATGGTTATAGCAACCAGGTGGTACATCTTACAGCTAACGGACTCACCAGTCAACACAAGTTAGTATCACTAAATGATATTATTGTCAGTATTTAATAGACATGTAGGAACAACACCAATGAATCAAGTAATAGACTAGATGCGAGTAGAAATAATCTTGGTTTACGTCATTAACTATATGGTTTCGAAAAAGGTTTATCAAGTTTGAAAATTTGATTTTTTTTTTGATAATGTGAATTCTAGTTCAGGTTGATTCCCCATAGACCCCATGTTACAAAATCACAAAAAGTGAAATACCTTTTCTTGTATTGGACAGATAACATTTTTTTTCACTGGGCATATTATGATTTGCATAACCATTAGATACATAAGGGTTATATCAAAATTGAACAACTAAAACAGATGTAATTTAAGTTAAAGGGAACTTTCTAATATACCGCCATGCTATCTGACCCGAACGATTCACCTGATGGTGAAACTGGTAACTACTTACTCGCATCTGCGTTACTGGGAGATGGTCTGCAGCTCTCCTGTCAACATATGCTTCTTACCAGTGAATTCATTAAAGACCCCATGATGCAAAGCTTCATTGCATATATTTTTTTCGATATTGCAGGTATTTCCCATATATATTATAGGTATTCTCTAAATATATCTCGCATATTTCCTGTTTATTTCAGGTATTCCCTTTATATTATCACAGTATTCCCATGTAGTTGGAATTCCCTTAATTTATCGCAGGCATTTTCCAATATGTTGCAGATATTCCCTTCATATATCATGGATATTTTCTAGTATATATATTTCAGGTATTTCCCATAACAAATGGGTATTCACTTTATATATCACAGATATATCCCTTATATATTTCTCACATATATACATGATGAATTCTGGTAAATGGGTATGTCACAGGTATTTCCCACATATTGCAGGTATTCCTTTTTTATATCACAGGTATTTTCCATATATTACAGGTATTCCTTCGATATCACAGGTATTTCTCCAATATTGTGGACATTCCCTTTATATATCTCAAATATTCCCTCTATATATTGCAAGTATTCCTTTTATTATATATTGCAGGTATTCCCTCTATGCAGTTGTTAACCACAGGGGTACAGCAGATACAGGGCATTATACATGCTTTATTAGGCAGCACAAGAATCAGTGGTTTAAGTGTGAGGATCACCTGATTACCAAAGTAGACTTAAAAGATGTACTAAGGAGTGAAGGGTATGTTTGAATGATATTCATGTTTTAAAGTCCTTGTATATTATAAAGGGCCACCAAAATTTAAAGAAGTAAAAAATTAAAAAAATTTTGACTTTTAGAAAATAGGAATGAAAAGAAAGAATGTGAGCAATAAATTGGTACATTTTTTCCATGTTTATTCAGTAATAATTGTTCAAGTTTTATCAATTGCTTTCTTTTGGCCTTTTTCACAAGAAATCCTTATTACATGCAAATACATTAATATAACCATTTGCATCTGAGTCTAGCGGTTCGGTTTTAATTTTGAACGTAGTTATTATATATTAATTACTACAAGTTTCATGTATCCTTGGGGTTTTAGTAGCATTTTATCTTTAATTAAATCATGTATAGTAGAATTTAATTGACACAGAGCATTTGTTCTACATAGGACACTTTGCAACATAATTAAAGCTAAACAAATCGCTTTCAGGCTACATATTCCTATATTACTATTGAATCATCCATAATCATTAAGGTATCATGTCCATCATGAATAAGGCCTCAGGTCAATTCTAGTATAAATGTTTAAAAGTTATATGAGGACAGAAACCAAATATAGTTATTGGTATTTGGAAATACAGATACACTTTTTGAAAAGTGTTTTTTTAATTGGTATTTCTATTTTTTAATTGGTATTTCTATTTTTTAATTTTGACATCATTTTCAGTTCTATCCTAAATTGTTTCAGCTTGAGTATGAAAGAAATTTTTTAAATATTGAATTCTATATCTTGGAAAATGAAATCTTTTTGACAGATTATATGTCAAGTACATTTTTTTATTCTTAAAGAGTCATGCATATCGTTTAGCACATTGAATGCTCATTTCTGGTGTTGCTCACTGTTTAGTATAAAATGCCCAATCCCGGAATAATACTCGAGGGTTCACAGGCTCAAGGTCATTGTGTCAACACCTCTTACTGTTATATAGCATTAGTATGTTATTGATCGTCACACATTTATGAAAGGGAGATTTTTATTTTGAAAAATTAATTTTACATCTCCAAACAATTTCAATTAACTGGATTTTACAAAACTCCCCTTATTTTTCAAAAATGGACTGATCCAGTTGACTCGCCTGGAGCCGCCATATTGTTTTTCTTCGGTAAGCTTATCGGAACCCTTTAACTCCTGTTTTCAGAGATGAGACTCTATTCTTAGTACAGTCCAATCATGAGAGATTAGGCTCTGCTCCCGGGGGGTTCACTGTGTACAAAATTTGGCGCGGGTCCTAGGCTGAACCCTCAGATATCAATATATTCCCATACCAATATGTCAAATTTGGATGTGTTCCCATACCAACTGATATAGTGCCCAAAAGCCATACCAAATGCCCAAATATGAAACCAATGCCATGTCAAAATATAGGACCAATGCCATACCAATGACATGACTTGTCCAAAGTAGAATATTTCCCAGGAAAAAAAGCTATTTATTTAACTGAAGAAGGTCCCAGGAACTGCAGAAAGAAGGCGATCTTTGAGGAAACGAACCAAAACAACCTCATATTAGGATATGTGTAACTACTAGACCAATTCCATACCATAATTGTGAGATAATATATTTTCCATGACCATTCTCATACAAGAAAGTTGAAAAATCTGACCGCTTCCATCCCTCAAAAGTCATAATGAGGGGGCATTCTCATACCACATCCTAAAATTTGGGTCCATTGCCATACCAAATGTCAAAAAAGGAACCCCATGTGCGCCGAGGATCCCTGTCAAGGTTTATATACAGTGAACCCCCCGGGGCTCTGCTTCATGGGTCATAATATTGCAACACAGATTGAGACAAGTCTCTGTTTATAGGCCTCTGGGACACCACCTAATATAAGAGGAGGGAAAACCCCATAATTCAGTTGATGAAATATGATTTCCTCCTTCGCTCACCTCCTTTCCCGGAAGTACTTTCCTCATCTTGGTTTTCAAAGTTTTCAAATTGACCTAGTTTTAAGCCAATCTACGATCGACTCGCTAAACCAATCAGCGACGATGTTATCTCAATACAGATTTACATTATAAGCGTATGTCATCTTTGAACCCTGGGTTTTTTCCCCCTCTTACCTTATATATTCTAAGTCACTTATTATACTACCCTGCCATCTTTTAAACTGAACAGAAATTTTAGTGTATTAAATCATTATCATTGATATTTTCTCATTTTCAGGTATCTTCTCTTTTACCACAAACAGATTCTGGAGTATGAATAGATGGCAGCACAATACGCTGATGTGAGTAGATAGAACTGTTGCAGTAATCTGGTGTAAATGTGATGAGACCTGGTTAAATATGCTATAATGGCAATTGGATGCACTAAGTTTGTTTTCAGTGAATGTTTAAATTAATGAAATGTGAGTTGATGTCAATCATAAAATGTTTCTCAGCATCATATGAGTTGATATGCCAGTACATGTATCCAAATGACCTTATTGTTTGAACCCTGTTCATAAGGGCAGGAATATGTTAATCTGGGGGTCATTAACAGAAACTTACGAATTCGTAAATCACTTGTTGTAACCATGGATATGATGACGTCACAGTTAGAGAACAATGGGTTTTACGAATTCTTAACTTTATGAAGCTTCTGTTAATGGCCCCCCCGATCCTCAAATTGCAGTACAAAAAGAGGGTCAATATCACTGAAACAAAAACTGCCAAAAACCACCAGGCGTGGCATGATTTATGTTTTTCAAAAGTTAAATAACTTTCATTCATTTTCATTCTCGGACAGGTCTGTGAGAAAAAGGTCTCAAATCCAACATGAATTTGCAGTATATGTATCTGATTGATACATGAATTAACAACTGAAATAAAAAAGTATTATAACTATACATGTATAGTCTATAATACAAAATACTGGCTCATTTGTAAGCCTACACAATTTGGGTTCTATGTGAAGTGTAAAAGTGAATGTTTCTCATAAACTTAAGAGATTGGTTGATTGGTTAATCGAGTGATTGATTGATTGTTTGATTTACAAAAAATGTTGTCTTGCATTAAGTCCCTCTACATCCCCCACCCCCTTTCACACTAAGATACATGGACATGCATTTATACTGGGGCTAGGGAAATGTAGATAATTGGAGAGAGACCCAATGACTGATGGAAAATTACACTGATGATACTAGTATAAGTTGACCATTTGGTAAATCTCTAAAAGCTCTCGCCTTTCCCTACCCAGTGTGTTTTACCTATCGGTGTGTATGTGAGTTCAAAAGAAAGGGGAGGGGAATAAATGTGTTGAACAGCCGCTTCCTTGTCTACTTCATCTCCTTGCAGAAGTGCAGTATTGTATGGTTGGGGTTCTTAGGGGTTTGATGTAATGCTGAAAATATCATCTTTAAGAAGCTTGTCAGTCTGAGCAAAATTGTTCTTACAATAAAGCCACAAAATGTTACATGATTGACAAATTGTTGGAATTTTAAAATTTTTGTTGTTGCCTTGTCTCGTTTAACAAATTGATTGGCAGTAAATATTGTCAGTGACGACAGTTTTGATTGTGTAGGACTTCATAATATGTACTTATATTCACACACATTTTATAAATGGACATTAAAAGCTATTTTTCTACCTATTGGTTCTGTATGTTTTATACCAATGAATTGAGACTTTTGTCTTTAATGAGTGTAGTATTGGAGTATATGAATAAGATGTTGAATGGGTAATGAACAATGCAGGACCCATTAAAGCATGCTGTGGGGCATTTTGTCTCATAAGAAATATTGATGTAGTGTTTTTCATGTCTTGGAGTGTGGATTTGTCAAATTGGATAAAATAAAATTAATGAACATGATAAAAAGTTTTGTTGAATTTGTCTGCTAGAAAAAATGAATGCCTGAAAAAGTACAATATTTTCATTTGGTGTTTACTCTAATTTGGCAGTTTGACAATGCTGTACATGATTTAAGTTTAAATATCCATCAATATGAATAACCAGTTTAGAATATTTAAGATATCTGAATGTATTTTAATAAATGGGTAGTCATCAAATACCTGAAAATGGTGAAAATGCCAAATTAAGTAATATCGAATTAATACAATTTACAGTTTATGTAGGCCTTAAAGTGCAGTATTTTCTTCCCATCGGGAACAGATGAAATGTGGTTATTATTTATGAAGTTATCCCTATTAACATGTTATTAAATCTACACCAGAAATGTAAAATGATAAGTCCATATCCTAAGGGAGAATCAATAGATAAGTATAACTCAATAGATATTTCATCTAAAGGACGATTCTCGGTTTGGAGAACGAAGTTCATCAATCTAAATGAGCATTATCCCTGCTTCGGACAAATTTGATTTTTTTTACATAATATAGATTTGAATGTCTTCTTTTGAATAGTCATAATTTAATTTGGGTAATATTTCTAGATTTTTCGCAAAAAAATATTAGCGCAGTACACTGATGAACTTGTTTCCCCAAATCGAGACTAGTATTTTATTGAATCGGTCTAATTGAGCGTTATCCCTGCTTCAGACCAATTTGTTATTTTTACATCTTGTAGATTTAAATGTCCTCTTTTGAATATTCATAGTTTAATTTGGGTAATATTTCTATATTTTTCATGAAAAAAATTATTAGCCCAGGAGACTGTTCTCCAAACCGAGAATCGTCCTTTCTAAATTCCAGAACAGCCACCAGTAAGAATTTAAACCAGTAAGTAAGCTAAACAAATAATAAAATGTTCCTTAATTTTAGCTATTGCCCAAAAATAACTCAAGTTATTTATTAGTTACTATTTGATATTAAAGGTCGTATCAGATCAAGTGAACAATGAATTTCAACAAAAATTTATTCAACCTTAAGATATTTTAGGCTCATCATTCCTTGTCATGTCTATTTTCTAAAGAATACCCAAATTGCCTATTTTATTTCAGGAAAACTAAAGATGTTTACAATTATATGTATTAATTTTTCTGTAAATGTGGTGACATTTATTATTTGGGACGATTTTTGCATCAATTTTATTGGCACTACTAAATAACTAAAAACATTCCCTAAATATCTAAAGATGCTCCTTAAAACAGCCAAAGTTTCTAATTCTAAGTAACTAAAAAATCTCTTAAATAACTAAACTCACTCTATCACGCCTTACCATCGCGTAAGCAGGCGTCACCGTACAGCGTCAAAAAATAGCGGAGTACAGTTTTCTGTACGGTAACGCAAATTAACTGCTTTGAAGCAAAAACTATGACAAGGGTTTAAAAAAATTAATTTGATGAAAACTAATACGATTTCATGTGAAATAAAAACAGCATTCTCTTGGAAATGGTTTTAACTTTCTGATTATGATAAACGTTTTACGAACACTGTTCGGATTTTTTCTGAATGAATCGGCCCACATAATCGACCAGAGTGAAAAAAGGTTGTTTTTTCACATTTTGTTTGGTTATTATTTTCCCTACCGTCTGAGAGTATGGATTATTTTTATGAGAATATGTATTTGTTACTTACACATTTTAGAACGGGCGAAGATTCAGCAAACAACCATTCATTATGTATATTTAAAAAAGATCAAATTTGTACGGTGACGCACCAGCTGTACGGTGACGCTATGCTTTGATGAACTCAATGAGACTAAGATTGTATGAAATGGAAACTCTGGAGTATGATCATTTGTTCATATATAGTGCATGGGCGCTACAGTTCAACGATATCTTCCACAGCTTAATGGAAGGTTACTGGAAATGTATGACACGGTAAGGATCATGAAACCAAAAACTCTCTTGTTGCTATGTTATTGATGTTTTAAAACAAGGGATGTCACAAGTAAATCTCATCTTGCACGTGTGACTTTTTAGGATGAAAGATGCAATATCTTGCATGGGGAAAAGATGGCTGTGCAGGCTATCTTTGTTAGTCATATGAGAAAAACCTGGTTTAGTTCAAATGATACCATTACGTCAACTTTCAAATAGTTAACTCCATGATAACTAAAAATAATGAAATTAATACTTCCTGTCCGCCATCTTAAATGCGAAGGTGACGGCTGTAACCTTCGCTTGATACTTACCAGTGATAATGTACATGTAGATCTGACGCTTCTTTACCTCTTGTTCGAACAGTAAGCTTAGAGCACTTCATAAAATCTAAGGAAGCGTCACCGTACAGCTGATGCGTCACCGTACAGTTCTGATCTTTTTTAAATAAATACACCGAATGATTATTTGTCGAATATTCATCTGTTCTAAAATGTGTAGATAACAAATACATATTCTCATAAAAATAATCCATACTCTCAGACGACAGGGAAAATAATAACCAAACGAAAAGTGAAAAAAACACCATTTTTCTCTCGAGTCGATTATGTGGGCCGATCCAGTCAGAAAAATTCCGAGCAGTGCTCGAAAAACTTTTATCATAGTTAGAAAGTTAAAACCATTCCTAAGAGAATGCTGTTTTTATTACACCCGAAATCGTATTTATTTTCATCTAATTAATCTTTTTAAAACCCTCATTATAGTTTTTGCTTCAACTCAGTTAATTTTCGTCACCGTACAGAAAACTGTACTACTGTATTTTTTGACGCTGTACGGTGACGCCTGCTTACGCGATGGTTAGGCGTGTCTATATGTCAAAGAGCAGGGTAATCTATAAGTATGTTGTAAATATTAAGGACTATATTTGATGTAAAAGTTAGATTGGTTTATTGAAATGTAACTACCTAAACAAAAAATGAATAACACTCCCTTTCAAGTAGGATGTAAATTCTTTATAACTTGTAAGCTAAGGATCAATGGAAATATTTGGTGTGTTTAACGTATATATTTCACTAATAAAAAACAATTAATCAAAATCTAACCTACAACTTCACCCTATGTGTCAATATACAGGAAAGAAGATAAATTATGAAATCGTCTTTTCTCTAATATTCCCCGCGGTTTCTCAGTGTCTGGTTACTTTATTCCTCGTTTATTTTACTCATTTCTACTCTATTTTGAACTTTAAAACATGACTCTATAGTATTTTTAAGGACTGAAGGTCACCTGATAAAATATATTTTATCTGCTTTAGGGGACGTGATATGTTTTTGGTGGGTTAAGATTTTAAAAATCGGTATTTTTAAAAATGCCAAAATGAGCAAATCATGTGTGACTTGAAAACCTCTGTTTCTGAAAAAGCATGTCAGAAAAAAACTGTGACTGTATTCTCAATTACTGGTGTTGTTTAAAAATCAATGCTAAAAACTAACAAGGTGGCCCTGTCCCCAAGTTGATGTGCAATGGACCTCTCATAAGGAAGAAAATGCCATTTGCTTCAAGATTACACATATGTTTATGATGTCTGTATTCTAAGTATTGGACATGCATCATATGTGGGGCAAGTGTGAATTGATGTCCCAGAGGAAGAAGTCTATACCCATCATCTGGTATTTTACTACATTCTCATTCTGAATCAATATATGGGAAATGATAACAAAGGACGAAATATACGTCCAAGGGATATTTCGTCCCCTCTGTACATCTATGCAGTGGTTTGTGGCAGGTGTAAAAGGGTAGGAGGTCCTATCAAATTATGGTCCTACTCTCTATTGATTTAAATGGTGACCTCTTTCCCTTATTATCTTATACACAATCAGGGCCAGAAGGGGCCGTAAGGAAAGGAGACCATAATCCACAGGGGACTGTAATTTCTTTTACACGGATCTGTGTAATTAACTTCTTATTCTGTTACTATAATTGCTTGATCTGGGTCACATAGAATAAGGACTTTTAATACAAGATACTTATATTTATTGTTGCAGGAAAAGTTGTCCGCATTAGGAGAAGTCCCACACATCTCTTGACGTTCAACATTTAAGAAATATACCAAGTTATTGAATTCATGTGCAAAGTCCGATTTGTATTATAATTTAGGTTACATATCAAAAATGAGAACAACACAACCAAATTGGAACGATATAAAAAATTATTACTATCACAAAATAGTTTCAAGACTATTTCACAAACGACTTCATGAAAAGAATTAATGTCCGCTGTCCCAAATTATATGATACTGATTTAATTAGCCAAAGACAATATGCAAGTATACACGTACAGTAGTCCCGCGAGTGTAACGAACAATTTGATTGGGATGTTTCCAAACACAGCTGATCGCTAAGCTGGTAAAAATGGCAAATATGCGTCCAAGTGATTCAAAGTGCTTCTTTTACGAGCAATATATTTTTTAAGTTATCATTGCATGGTTACAGTAACCCCCTCGTAGTAAAATCTTGTCAGTTTCGGCGTTTGCCCCCGCAAATTTACTTCATTTTTATGTCATATCTCTTTTTGTTTCAAAAGAACAACCTTAATGGATGTAGAAATTATTTCTAACAAATTTTTGAGATGATGTATCCTCATTAGCGCGAAAGTTTACAATTAAGGATAGGGTGGGTGAACAAAAAACGGCAAAAAATTTAGGGTGCGAGTCCCCGGTAAGTAGAGTATATTAGCACTTATCTCTCCTCTCTACATTCGGGTGACGTCATCAAGTCTTATATGTAGCTAAATTAAGATACCGACTAATCCATTCACTTTTTATCGAATACCCAGAAGCTCTTTACGAATTACGTCAACGGGTTTTCCCTATTCAGCTGCGTATTTCCCGATTTCTACTAAAATCGGTAGTGTCTCTTTTGTACTCTTTCCGGTGCAGACAGGTACAGGGGATATGCTGTGGGGTGGAGTTATTGTCTCCTGTCATTTACACAATAGGTCGCGTTTGGTATTTTTATCCTGGCGCGGGCGGACTATAATTACAGTAGCATCGACTTATAAAATGATACAACTTCCAGAACGATTTTATCGCGAATTTGTTTTTTGAACTTGAGACTTCTGAGTAGAGACGCAAATATTGTCGAATCAATGTCAATGACGATTGACGACGGTATGAAGTGTCCATAAAACATTTTTAGACATCCGATCTGTCAAGTGAATTGAAATGACGATTGACGACCGTGCGTAAATATACGTAAAATAGGATACGTATTAGCGTATAGACGTACAGATAAAATCTGTTTGACAAACAATGGATCCGTCTATGAGGGAGAAATGCTACAAAATACTATTATAAGACTTAATACCCAACTTTCTGTAAATGCAGCAAGCAATGCCCTCTGGCGATTGTGCCTTCAAACTCTGTATCAAATAGGATAAATATCTCTAAATCACATGAGTATAGACCATGAGGTTAAAATACTGTAAAATAATCGCTTTCCCATATATATCGCAATATATCGTACCGCCCCCCCCTCCATAACCAATAGAAAGAGAGCTTTAAAATGTTTTTTATTTGAAGCTTCTAGCCCAATTATGAAAGAAGTTGCATCAATATTTGTAATATTCAAAACAAATCTTATTTTTGGCTTTTTTATGACACAATCGCACCTCCCCTGACTGTAAACCGATTTTTTAGGGCAATCACTCCCCCCCCCTGAAAGCCGCCTATGCCCCTGACAATCGCCTTTGTAATTTGGTCTATTCCCCGGTTTTTGGTCAGTGACGATTTTTATTAATGTTTTATATATTGTTTGATGGGTTTATATGTGTTTGTCTTCCGAGGCGTGAGATTCTTCCCCGTGTAATACTGATTATTTGCATTTAATTTGATAATTTTCTCAAGCTAGAGGTAACTCCAGACAATAACTATGGATTGCTCTTCGATTTGGACGGTTTTATGGTATCTTTAAACAGCTTACTGTATTGCGCTTACTTATAGAATTATATAAGCTGTTAAAGCACTGGAAACGATTATGATCTATTGTTACAACCCCCTCAGTGAGATACATACGTTTTCTTGGATAATATTATGGAATGTGTTTACGTGTTTTTCTCCTGTCACTAACAGTTGCATTAGTTCATAGCGTCCCCCGGGGGCCCGGTGTGAAACAAAATATTGCCCTCTAGGCCGGGTGATATTGTCCTACTCGCTTAGTACTGAGACCCAGCCGACCTCTGTGTTCATGATGAATAATTTGATTTGGGCCACTGTACGTGCCAATGTATGTAAACCCGAACAGTCAATATATAATGCAATCAACATGCACTTTTACGGGAGTGATCGCCAACTCCGGCCGCGTCATGGCGTAAAATGTTTTGTTTACATCCTTTTTTCAAAGAACGGGACTGGGGCTATGTTGTACGCTCATTTCTTCAGTAAGATGTCTTTTGAAGTCAAGTGATAGGTATATGCTGTCGAAGCTCTCTTTAATTTGAACTTTTGTGAATGGTACGATAGTGTAAGAAACTGGTCTCTGGTCATTTTATGATAAATATGATATTGGGATAAAGAGACGCACCGAGCGCTGTCAAGAGTTGAGGGACAATATTTCAAACGGTAAACGAAGCGTTTAATAAAAGATTTGAAACCTCTCTAAAGCTGTATGACAAATGACACGGGGATAACGTTGCCCCTGGCATGGGGGGCTGATTTATCGTTTTACCCTGTCACTTTCCGAGCCATTGAGTACAATACTATGGTACTAACCGACCGCTCACGCTCTTTGCGTTCATATTGATCAACGCAACGACGAACCTGATTTATATATTTATGAGCGATTTTATGCATCCCTAGACTACCGTTCATTCGTTATCAGGTTTTCGACACAACTAGAACTCTTATCTCTTACGATGATATGATTTAACACTTACTACAGGTCGTCTCTCAAAAGCATTTGATACACTTTGAGTGCAAACGCGGTGACACTAGGCAAGGTTACGTTCTGTGTTCAACTATTCAAGAGTTAAGATCTTACATAGGTGGGACAATCAGGTATCGAGTTCTTTATAAAAGACCCTCACAGGGCACTCACAGACGGAAACGTCGGCTCGTAGTGATTTTTGATGGTAATGTGTTTTCGTTCCGGATTACACTCGACATCTGGAAATTCACGAGCGTTCGCGCCTGAGAGGATTTCTGAGATCCGTGTTTGGCAGTACGGTAAATTAGGCGTCTTGCCAGTGAATCGGCCCCGCGCTCAATGTGAATAGCCGACTGACACCAAAGTTTAGCCACTGCAAGAAACGTGATGCCAGAACTCAGTCAGTGATCTAGTGAGCATTACACGAAACACAGCGGACCAGAAGCGAGAGCTTTTTAGCAAGTTATACATCGTAGGCCTACAGGCAACAGCTCAAACTAAACACTGAAGACATTTATAAAACTTAGGGAAAGTCGGGCTTCCCGAAATACATGTAAAATATTGGGATGGATTTAGCGTTAGAACGTCAACGCAGTGGCCGTGGACGTAAACGTTCGGACATTGGATGTGTACACAATTTAGATCGTGGATCAAAGCCTACAAACGACACTTTGGAGTTTAAAACTCAGAGAAACATTTCATTTTTAAAAATGAACGCAGGAATACGACTAAAAGACATATGGCTTCTGGCTTTGTATTATATTATTCTGACATGTGTAAAGGACACATATGCTCATTCCATTCCTGACCATGAAATTGGGAGTAAAGATGAGTTCAAAACAACATCCAGAAGTGTTCTGATTCCTGAGAATGCTCCAAAACCAGAGGTTGCAGATCCCTGTAAATCAGGTAAGCCTCATATGGGGGGGGGGATTCAGTATCACATCTCTATAATTTAACATCCCTTTTCCATATTCAAGGGCAGACTTTAAATTCATTACTGACCAATTGGGGGGGGGGGGGGGGTACTTATTTTTGAAATTTTGTAAATCAATGACAAACTGGATGTGATTGTTACTTTTAGTTTTTAAAATCTAGGCCACATTTTTGTAAGTAATTCAGATTATTTTTAACTACTTTTAGACTTGGGTTACCATGTCTGCTAGTGATACTTTGTACACATTTCAAGTATTCCAGTTTTGGCCCCATATTCCATACTTTTCTACACCCCTCATATTACACATGCTACACCCCTCATAACACATGCTGCTTTACCTTCACTAGATTTATTTCTGACATATATACGTTTCACTAATCTATTGTTTTGTACTCAAGCAACATCTTTAGCTGAGGTGAATAGCAAATCTGACATTTCTTTCAAAAATAGATTGATGTAGCATCTGTTAGTGTAGATCTCTCTTAACTACAGCCAATTTACAGTTATTGGTTGATTGATCAGTTGATTGATTGATTGATTGATCACTTATTTTACTGATAGCTACATTACAGCACCTTTTTATTTAGTCAATTTCATTACCTTCCCTGTTTTGTTACTTTGTGTGTGAAGGGGGGGGGGGCATTCTCAAAAGTTATTATACTTTTCTTTAAAAACAGAATCTTAAAAGATGCCTATCATGAGAAAGCATGGCTTTCTATGAGTTGCATTAAACAATTACATGAATTTTGCAAGGTAGAGATGCTCTGAGTATCAGAATTAAAGATGTCAAAATTTGATCCCAGGGTTAATCCTTTTTTATTTTTTTATTTTTTCTTGTATCTTACACATCTTATACATGACATTTACAAGTCTATACAGGTATTACACATTTTATAAGTAAATAGGTACTACAGGTATTTAGATTATATCATCTCCATGCAAATAGAGGATTTACAATAACAGAGAGTTTATCTTGAAAACCGGAGGCAAGTAGTACTACTTTAAAAGGGTATATAGGTTTGGAAGCAAATCAAGTGGTATACATTTTTATTTTTCTGACCACTTATCCAGTTACCCAGTGGCACTGATCTATAGAAGATACTTATCAATTTTAATCTCCTCACACCAATTATCTGATTACTGCCATATTAGCCCTTACAATATGTTCATATGACCCTTACAGATATTTGCTTATTCCCAAATCCCAGTCAATATTATATTATTTAACAAATACTGGCATATAAACCCTTGTAAATATTGTAAAATTGATGTTGTTTTATAAGCCCTTACAATATTATAACAACAAGTCCTTTTGAGCTTTGAAAATAAGCATTGAGGAGGGGGGGGGGGTGGTGGGCAGTTGTTTATGTTTACTACCACTACAAAATATCTCTTGTGAACTATTTTATTTTAACATTACAAAAATCTCATCAAATACTGTCATTAAAACCCTTTCAAATAATGTCATTACAAATATAAATAATATCATGTAATTATTACAAAAGCTGTCATATAAAGTATCAAAAATGTCACATCATCTCTTACAGTCACAGAGACTGGCATGTGAACCCTTACAAATTTTGACACTTATATATTAATAAGGGCCTAACAATTCTTGGATTATACCAGTCAATAACTGTGACACTTTTCTAGGGTACTTGCCAAAACTTATTTATAAGAACTTAATCAGTATTGTAAAACTCAATTGTTATTAAGCAGAATGCAGATGTTTGGATTTTTTTTATTTATATTACTATCTGGCTATGACTCTTAAATATGTGTAATATACAATAAGAAGCATGTAAACAAACAAACCATATGATGGAAATCATAATAATCACAAGGGAAATGTTAGAAAAACAAAGAAAAACAAAGAAAACAACACCTAAAAACCATATATATTAATCCATGAGTCTAACCACAACAACCACAGCTAGAAACAAAAGCACAGTTTCTCATTACCAAAACCCCAAAAAGAGATCAACATACAGACATACACTTTCCGATTTATCTTTTTTCACAAGACTATGACATTCAATGTAAGATTTATTTTCTGTAAAATCTTAAGCAATTTTATGCTCTTACTGCTCTTCCATGTAGAAGTGATTCAATCATACATCATTAATTCATCATGTATCGATTCAGCTCTACTCCAGTTTCAACTCTTGATCAGGGATATGATTTTTGTCAGTCAAGCATTCAATTAATCAATGGGGAAAACTGTATTGATTCACGCCGTCTGCTAGAAAGGTTGCATCTGTGATTCTTATTTCGTACAATTTCTCTTTAAGATTTGAATAAACTATAACGTTTTCTTGCATTTCTATACAATTAAATGTGTGCTTTAAATGTCTATTTGATTTATTTCTTGCTAATTCCACTCTTTTTCACTCTATTTTGAATTTCCAACATGGCAGTTAATCCATTTTCATACTCAGATGTTTCCTACATAAGCTGGTGTCTTAGTGCTGTTACAAGAATCTCTTATTTATTAATCACACCAGGATTCTTATTTACTTACCTTTTCGATATTAATTTGCACCCGGTCCCTTGCGTAACATACCTTTATTTCCTTCTCAGTTTTCATTCATCCATTTTGTTAAATTTGGGGTTTGGCAAAAAGGGAAAGAAAAGGTTTTGCAAATTATAAAGCCTCAATAATTCAAATTGCTAAGTAAATGAGTTCTAAGAGTTGTTTTTTATTTGAAGTTTAAAACGTGTGTCATAGTTCCACTTAGATCTTAAAAGCATCTTTTCTTTGTAATGAAATGTCTTGAGGGTTGTTTTCTTAAGTTGAAATGTAAGGTTAACACTGGCTTATGGCATATCATTGTAATCTATTTTTATGAGGCATGTTTTTCAAGAAAATAAGCTAGTTCTGCTACAACCCACATAGTCTCATGTGTTGAGAATGGCTTCTTTTGTTTAGACACAATGGTGTAATATAAGAACATGTTGTAAGTCTCTTTTAGTGTTGCTTCAAAACAATAGACCCCCTATCTTCTTTATAACTGTTGTAAAGAAAGAAGGGGGGGGGGTCCATGCATGGTCTTAAAGCAATTGACTAAGCTGGGGGGGGGGGGTCCAGAATCTGAAAGCAAGACTTAGGCTAAGGATGAGGAGGAAAGGCAAGGGGAAGGGGGGGGGGGGGGTGGTACTATGAGACAAGGCCAAAGGAGGGTAGTTGTTCATTAGCCTAAAGATGTTTAAAAATAATGTTCCAATAAAACATTCATACAAAGTAAATGCTATAACCTACAATAAGAAAGCTATACAATGATAATGAATTTCAGAACCACACTTACCAATGTCCACCTTTGGTTGGGGGAACCACATTTAACTTTAATGACCTTAATCTCCAACCCACAAACTCCAAGGAATTGTAACATTATAAAGAATGTAAAACTTAAAAGGCTACACTCAAAATGCAAGGAATCTAAGCATACTATATTGAGGGAGTACAGTACCAACTGTAGAAACAACATATATTGCATATGAGGGAAATTCAAGAATTAGGATTCAATTTGGACTACAAATGTCCATGGGCTTCGGAAAAACCATGATATGTTGAAAAAACCTTGTAATCAAAAGTTTGATGGAGATCCGCTCTTGTGTATGGGATCCTTGAAATAACCCCCTCTTGTGTAAAGGACACTACCTCAGTGAGCTGACCCCCTCCCCCCCCCGTGTCTGCTGAGAACCCTTCCCACATACAGGGCTGTCAACTCGGGACCACTTAATATGAGTGACTTACAAATGTTGGACACCTAAGTCAAAATCTGAACACTTTTGTCCAAATTTTGAACACCTTTGACCAACTTTTAAACACCTTTGGCCAAAGTTTGAGCACCTTTGCCAAACGAAAATTTCCAATTAACATGCGCAAATTAACTGGGTGACTTCAAATTCTTCAGCAAATGCATGACAAATATGCAAATTGCGGGACAGTTGACAGGCCTGCACATATGATAACTCCCTCTCCAGGGACCCTTGATGTAACCCTCCTCTCTGTACAGTGACACTCCCATATGATACGACCCCTTTCTATAGGACTCCCCTAGTAACAGCACCCCCCTGCATGACCTCTTTTATGAGATGACCCCCTCCTGAGTACAGGATGTACAGGGCAACAATGATATTGCCACTGGGGCCCATATTCACACTAAATGAGTGGGTTGGCAGATCAGCTGATGAAAGGAAAGATTCAGAGTATGCTGATACCATGGGCCCTGCCTAAAAACATTCAACTGGCCCTGATTATTTGTCTCATTTCTCTCTAAAATTTGAATGAAGGGCATGACTTTTTGGCACTTCTGAATAATTTAGAGTGTTGACTAAATGCCTGTATTTTTGTTCCTTGGTTTTATCACTCTTTTTCACACTATTTTGCATTTTTAAATAATATCACCATGACATATTTGTTATCTGGTTTCCAGATTCTCCTGAAATCAAGGCAATTAGGCCTAGAGTATCAGTTGGCCTTCTCATATGACCTGATTCCCCTGCCATGTCATGGTGGGTTGTGTTTTAAAATGCAAAATACAGTGGAAACAAGAGGAATAAACAAAGAATAAAGTACATGTACATGTAGGCAACACTCTAAATTGTATAAAAATGTCAGATAATCAAACACTTAATTCAAATTTCAAGAGAATTTCATATTTTAATGATGGTGACATGAGAGAAAGTTTTATAATGGGGGCATCTCAGATGACCCATTTCACATTTCTTATCTGATATGCAGTTTCAATTTTACAAATTGATCAGATTCATCATATTTGGAAAGTTTCAATTTGCCTCTCACACATATTCAAGTACCCTAATACCAGAAGATAGTAAGATGAAACCTGTAAAGTGGAACATCTCTAGAAGTAGAACACCTCTGTTAGTGGATCACTTTCAGGGTCCAAAGACCAATTGACTTAATGTTAATGAACCTATGTAAATGGAACACCTCCAAAGTGGAACACTTTTTAGAAATACCAAATGTGTTCCAGACAGGTTTAACTGGAGTAATCATTAGATAAAGTGCTATTCATACATTGAAAAGGTACATTTCAGGTAATGCCTCATACTACTCATCTGCTCATAGGCTTTCCATTATCTTATCAACCAGTCACTGAGCTTTTTTCCCACCCAACAACTTTAAAAAAACATTTATCTCAAAGTTATGTCCATGTTTTATTGTTTTGGTTGATAATGAAATCAGCTGTGGTAAAACCTTTATCTTTTAAATCCTCTTCTTGGGCCATCTGCAAAACACATGTGTGTATCCTAGATTTTGGTTTCTTAAAGGCTGTCTGCAACCACATAATTTATATGTACAAGAGATAAGCAATAAGTTACAAACATTTAAATGTGTATGTGTCAAAATTGTCCTTAGCTTATCTAGCCACCCTTGTGATGGTTGTAATGTATTTTTAAGACTCTAAATGTTTAACTTATTTCTAGTAAAAACACACATGTAATACTTTATATCCTCATATATAGCCCCATCTATAGACTTAAAAATATTGAACATATTTGAAATAAATAAGCAGCAGAGATATATTTTTATGTTTAAATGGATCAACGACAAGGATAATTACAAACAAATATTTCCATCTTTTTTCAAAACAGTTGAGAATAGACACAATTACAACACAAGAAATAAGAAATCTTATGACAAGCCAAAAACCCGCACTAACTATGGAAAATCAATGTTAGCGTATTCTATACCTGATATTTGGAACCAACTACCCCCGCACATTCAATCCATCAAAAGTACCATTTTCATGAAAAAACAAACCAAGAAATATTTATTGCAACTTTAATTCCTTCCTTGGGCAATTTGATGGCACATATTATATTTTTTGTCGAGGGCATGCCACGGCAGATCCCCAAACTGCATAATGTAACATACTTGTATTTTACTCACTCCATCTGTGGGAATATACACAAATTTTGTGTCACCCACTTCATTGTTAACTATTGTATGTATTATATGAAATAAATAAATAAATAAAAAAAAAAAAACATGAGGGCCTGAGTCTAATACATTAGGTGTAAATGAAGCTATGTTGATCTATCCACATTTAGTAACATTTATGCCTACTTGTTGTCTGTCCTATCTAGAGTAATGCATTTTTATGAGTAATGTGATAAATACACATTTCTTTTTCTTAAAGCTCCATGCATATCTAGTACTGTAAATTGTTCACTGTTAACCATGCCTCTTTTAGAAAGGTGATAGATAAATGTATATTTCATTCTCTTAAAGTCTTGCATATTGTATATTGTATTATCTTAAAGGCTCATTGCAAGCCATGTCTCTTGTAGTATTATCTGATAGGTAAATTTATATTGCATTCTCTTTAAGGCTCATTGCTAACCACACCTCTTTCTGTTTCAGCGGGGTTCATGGGAGACATAGCTCTTTCAATCATTGACTATCAACGGGAAACTGCTGCCAGGAAACATCAGCTAAACAGTCAACATAATATCATAAACAAATCTGTAGAGTATAATCAATTAAAAAATAAGTTAAAATTAAAATTAGCCGACAAAAAACTGAGTAAATCTCAAAGAAAGGAAATAAAAGAACAATTAAGAGCTCAGAAAAAGGCATGGAGGAAAAATAGAAAACAAGAAAGGAGAAATAAAAAGAGAAATAAAAAAGAACACAAAAGGTAAGTAAAACAATGCTTAAAAAGTTCACCCTCTTTAACTTAAACGAAAGTGACATCCAAATAATCGGTAAAATGGAAGGTTTCTTTTTATCATTTTTATAGCTTTAAAAAACAAAAATGTATTTGTATGACTGAAAGAAAAATCAGTCCCTATGGACTATTTAATCAATTCTAAGAGAGAAAACATTGCATTTGGACATATTACTCCTTTAACTGTTTATGCAATACCACTCCTTTAACTGTTTATGTAATACTAAGAGAGAAAACATTTGGACATATTACTCCTTTAAATGATCCTCATTTTTCAGTGCCAATGGTAGAAACAATAAACTGATCTGGCTTTATCACCTAACCTTCATAATATTTATCAACTGTTTGTTTTACTAATGTTAATATTTGTTTCAGGCATCTTGCAAAAAGTAAACCCAATAAGCAAGAAATTGATGAATCTAGTCAACCCAAGGATATTACCTTCACCCGATATTATATTGATGATAGCGGACATGCCAAACCAAAAAATGGACTCACCAAGGTACAATATGGACACACCAATGAGAAACATGGACACACCAACAAGAAACATGGACACACTAATGATTATTATGGACACACCAATAAACATGAGCATAGCAGATCAAGGAGAGCAGCAACAGCTAGGCCAGAAAGACTTTGGGACCATGGAGTCATCCCTTATGAAATTGAATCCAATTTTACAGGTAATTATCACACTTTATCTGATGTCAGTTACACATGAAAATGTCAAGAGGGGGGTCGTTTTGAAATTGGAATTAGAGTGGAAAAGAGTGAAATTAGCAAGGAATGAAATATACAGGCATGAAGAGAACTCTCTAAATTGTATAGAAATGTCAGAAAATCTGCTACTTCATTCAAGTTTTTGTTATGGGAAATAAACACAAACAAAGTGACATTTTTATTACCTTGGATCCCAGTAGTGTTTAGTACATGTTCTGGTTGTTCTGGTAGATTATCACAAGGCTCGTGGAGCCATCTGGGTGCTCCTGTTTATTTCACTCTAATTCTCTCTAAAATTTGAATGAACTACCTGACATTTCTTTATAATTAAGAGTGCTATTAAGAGTGTCTGTTTATTTTATTTCTTGTTAATTTCACTCTTTTTCACTCTATTTTGCAGTTTTAAACATGACATCCTTGGAATTTTTCTCTTGGAGTAATGCACCTGCAATTTCACATGGAATGTTTTCTGGTTTTCATTCCCTAAAGGATAATATTTCAAATTATGAATTTCCACTTTAATGATCCATGCATGCCACATTTCTTGATATCAAAACCCTCAGTCAGTACCAAACTAAAAGTACCATTTCTAAAGAATGTCCCATTTTCTCAAAATGACTCCTAATTTTGAAAAAAATTAGGCCCAAAATAGAAATCCATTATTTTGGAAAAATTCATACTCAAAATAAAAATCCATGCTTTTTTTAAAAGGCCCACCTGCATTTGAAGGATTAGACAAGAGGAAAAAAACAATTCTCAACTTTCTAAAACCAGATTCTGATAACTGATAAAGCTGGAGATAACCAAGCCTCATAAATGGATAATGTGGGAGGAAAAGGTGCAAGATTATGGGCAACTTCCCTAATTACGCCCCATGTCTGTCTCTGATACCAGCTCATGCCATGAAAAGTTATATCTGGGTGGTTCTGGTTTTATTAACAGCCCACCCTTGAACATTAGATTAATCAGTGGTTGCACTCTGTTGTGCCATGTTGTGCCCTGTTGTGCCATATGCAGCAATCTTTTTTTTTCATCTGGGGATTTGTCAAGTGCTAAAGTGGAAGTCACATCTGTCTCCTACAGTATAAGAACTTATTCTTAAGGTGGATGACTAACTTTGGGCCCTTTTGCTAGGTTGTATGACAAAGTACCAAGTTATGTAGTTATCTTGTCTCCATTCTGCCTTCCTTAATTTGAGTACAAAAGATGCTCTGAATTCTTGCAATTATACTGGAATTCTTTAATGTCCTCACAAACGTGTGCTCTTAAAGTTTCATATTTGAAAATAACATGGGTTTTCTTCTAAAATGAATGAAATACCTGTATTTGGTGTTTATTTGGAATTAAAATGTCATATGCCTGCTCACTTTATTTCTTGGATAATTTCACTTATTTTGCATTTTAGACACTTGACATTAATGTTATATTTTTGGCAGAGGAATGGACCCTGCAGAGTGCAGAAGACCTGGTCCACATCTGTTCCCTTCTGAAAATTGTCTTGATGGTCATATTTTCAAATGCAAAATTGAGTGAAAAAATGTAGAATTGGCAAGAAATAAAATAATCAGCCATGTGGGCAACACTCTAAATTGTATAGAAATCCCCAAAATGCAGACACTTTATTCAAATTTTAGAGAGAAATGGAGTGAAATGGGGATGAAAGAGGAGGAATCTTGGAATAGGGATTTACATCCTGGGAGCAATTAAAAGTTGATACTTAGTATTTTAATGTGATCCTATACAGACTGTTACTTGTGATTTTTGTGACCCTTGAGGGTCTTCAAGAAACAGCTGGTAGAGCAGTTATGTTAAAGATAAAAATGTCCACCTGCTCATGCTTATTTCACTCAATTTCTCTCTAATTTTTGAATGAAGTGTCTGATTTTCTTGCATTTCTATACAATTTAGAGTATTGTTTACATGTCTGTGTATTTAATTCCTTGTTTATTTAAGTGATTTCACTCTATTTTGCATTTTGAAACTTGACCCAAATGTTACTTTAAGAATGGTTTGGTCACTGGGGGAGGAGTTATTCAAACTATGCATGAAATCTTCTGTTACCATTGTTTCTGTTTTGACTTGCATAGCATATTCATTACATTTATTTTGTAAATGTTCCACTTTATCACTATTTTAAAAAAATGTATGAGCCACCCGTTGCCATAATATCAAAGCTGAAAGAAAGCTGAAATTTGGCACAACTATCAAAATTTCTACAATTTTGCAACTGTTTTGACTGTCCCATATTGAATGTGTATAATATAATGCATTTTCTGTCTGTGCTTTTCATTTGAAGAATTGATGTAAACAATATTTGAGGTTTTAAAGTGGATACTTTGCTTTAAGATAAGAGTTTCTCCATTTCTTCCACATGAATTTTAAGATATCTGGTATTTCTCTCAAATTTAGAGTATTAGTTTTATTCTGGTTTACACAGTTCCTTGCAGGGATCACTAATTTTCACCTTATTTCACGGGTTTCATGATCTCTATGATGCTTCAGTGTGAGTAACAGAATGCCAACTCACACTGAATCTGGTAACTCACATAGATACTGATACTGTAGATTTTCTTGATGACATTATATGGGGTTAATACCATTGCATCGAATCTCTGACCCCCTCCCACATACCATTGGTTGCATATTGCAATAATGTTGGTCTGAACTGTTAAAGGGGTCCCAAAGGTGGAGGTTGCTTGTTATTTTTAAGAAATGACCCTTGATTTCCCAGCTTTAGTGAGCCCCATTGGGACCCTCAAGTTGAAATAAGATCTTGTAGACAACACAAAAGTTTCCTGTGTTACATTAAGCAAGTACCCTTTGCAAATGTTTGATTGTCATTATGTATTTGACACTCTTTGAATTTAAATATGGCTAATCTAGCATATTGAGTCAGAAAATATTATACAGTGAAACTTGTGTACATTGAACACCTATGGAACCACAAAAATTATGTTCACTATAGGAAGGTGTTCAATACAGAGAGGGTAATTTAAACAGAAGTCAGTTAAGTATGTGGCAAGAAGGGTGTCCATTAGAGACAGGTGTTCACTAAAACAGCTTTTACTGTACTACATTTTTTACAATTTACTTCATTTTACATTCAAACTTAATGCCAGTTCCATGCGAGATTATTAAGATTTTTCAAAACTGAAATCATTGATAATGTCAGAGTGTGGTGTAGTTAACTATTGGGGATGCAGGGTAGCTGCATGGGGTACACATATCTAACAGATGCAATGGTATCCCATGCTTAAAATCCATAATTTCGTTTAGCTCCACCACTTGATTTCACTAAAAAAATGTTATAAAGTTTTTAACTTTCTGACATTTCTGTACAATTTAGAGTGTTCACTACAAGCCTGTGTACTTTATTTCATTGAAATTCCTCTCTTCATTGCTAAATTTCACATTTCCATCTTTACTTTCTCCCAAGTATATCATCATCAACACAAGGGGTCTTTATCTGACACAAACCATGTTAATTACAACACTATTATCTTACATGTAAATGGAACAAGATAACTTGACATTTTGTAAAACAATGCATGATAAGAAAAGAAAGATAACTTACAAATAGGGCATAATAACAATGCATATCACTGGCATAGATTTCAGTCAATTAGATTCTTGTTAATTTGGCTCTTCTGAGACATATAAGCTGTATAAGGCACTTTTCTGAAGGAAAATGAAATTTAAAGGTGATTTAATTCTGATTCTAAAATCTTTGTTATACCTTAAATATTTATTGTATGTATGGACAATAACTTGATCTTGTCAGGGCACATTTAGAACTACAAGATTTGAGGCCCATATTACTTGGGAATTTATTTTGAGTAAATCCCAGACTTGGGAAAAGCATATTCAATGGGTTTTGTGTTTTGTTCAGAAAACAAAAAAATCTGCCAAATTACACCAAAATTGATCAATTACAAGACATGTATTTTGGGGTTTTTTCTCCACAATGTTTGTACCTAAAATACTGTTATTAATTCAAACAGATGAAAAATTAATCAAAAGAAAAAATAATCTATAAATAACATAACCTGACAAAATATCCTACAAAGAATGTTGTAATTTGATTGATGATCCTTTGAATAATAGAATTGAAGTTCCCATGTGAATGCATGAACATGTCAGTGTGCAGTTATTTCCATTAATTATGTAATATGCACAGGTGAAATACCAGTGCATTCACAAATATAGAAATACAATAAATGTTCCATTCCAGTTAAGGACCAAGTGGATTAGGTTTATGGGTTTAGCCATCAAAAACACTTGGAATGTGTTTGTGTACTTGGATTTTCATGGTTTGCTCTATTGACTTATCTTTTGTTTACTTAATATAGTCTTTGAATGTGTTATTCCTCTTTTATATAAATTGATTGCTTTTTTCTTCAGTATTTCTTTATAAAGTGTCAACTACATGTCTGTTTACCACATTGTGGGATCCACAGCCTTTACTATCCTTTTGGAATAGTTCAGAGCTTTAGGTAAAGAGGGACTCGGTTATAATGAAAACACGCGCTACGCGCTAACGCGCTAGCGCACTAACGCACTGTTCAGAATGATCGTTCCCACAGGCCCGGGAACATGATGTATAAACATCGAGTGAGTGAAGAGATTAGGTGGCTCATCAGAAAGCAGAAGTATGAAGAAGCCCAATGTTTGATCGTTAACTGTGCAGATTATCGATTGTCAGTGTGTTTTATCTGATTTAAAAGGGAGATAGAAAGTAGCACCTTACAAGATGAATGGTCGCAGATATGCGAATATGCTCCCTATTTCATTGCATTATTTGGGTCCATCCATCGGCGAGAAAAATCCCGTTTCGAAATCTGAGCCGGGGGCCCGACTACTTGACTAATGACTTAATATAATGTTTATTTGTCGCATGTTACCTCGTGTTACCTCTTAATATCAAGTCATGGATGTTTTATATATCTTTACTCTTTGTATTTGA